CAAGGAATTTCAGGACATCCTAGCCGAGGACTTCCTCCTGTTCCTTGAGAAAATTTTATACAAGCCGTTTTTGAGGAGATATCAGCTGAGGAAAATCTCGACTTGAGGAAATCTCAAGTTGAGATGTTTTATACAAGTGGGGCCGGGGCATTACCAGTACTTTGCCTGCATTTAGATAACCTAGGATATCGAAACATAATACATACATCAGTCATACAAAAGCAAGGTGCAGTGTAGCAATGTCAAGGCCCATTACTCCTCAATTACAGAGTTATTGCCCTTTACTGAAATTTTGTGTTGTAAGCATAGCTTTGCCTACATCAAATCTAGGATTATGAAGCTTGTTGTTTACAATGGTCATACCACACATTCATACATCTGGGACGATCACTTTAATTTGGCATGGTCCTAGTCCTGAGCATGTATGTAGGACTGCCACTTGACCCTCGTCCTTAGCATTTATCTTGGATGGTTACATGACCCTAATCCTTAGCATGTATCTGGGACCGCCACTCGATTTTAGTCCATAGCATACATCTAGTACTGTCATTTGACCCTAGTCATTAGTATGTATATAGAACTTCCACTGGAGTTCTAAGCATGTATTTTGTACCATTACTTGACCTTTGCCCTGAGCATGCATCTGGTACCATTACTTGGCCCTATTCCTTAGCATGCATGTAGGATGCCACTTAATTCTCATCCTTAGCGTGTATCTGGGATGGTCACTTGACTCTAGCACTGAGCATGTATCTGGTACTATCATTTGACCTTAGTCCCGAGCATGTATCTGGGATGGTCACTTGACCATAGTCCTAAGCATGTATCTCTTGCCCTAGTCCTTAGCATGTAGCACCACTTGATCCTATTCATTTGAATACAAGGATTTTCCTGAACCATGCAAAAATCAATGTGATTAACATAATATCATCTTAGTATGACTAATGTAAACCCTAAGTTTCATGATCCTTGTTAGGCTATAGGTAAAGTTATGCCCTGGACACAAAAGGACGGATATATTTCATATGCTCTCTCATGAATATTCATAGAACATACCAACATACGATAGGCCTGTTGCCCAACGTAAAGAGCAATTAGGATCAAGTGTCTTACCAAAGGAAGTGAGCACATCAGCACAGACCTGTCCTTTTCTCAGCTTTCTAAGAAACACAAAAACTATTAGAATAAGGAGTCTCACATCTTGAATCTTCTGCTGAGGTTACCTTGACCAAGGCTTTAACCAATGGAACTGTTGCAGCTCCAAGAGAGAAAGGCCTGAAACATGAAACCTTACACCTCTTCAACAAAAACAAATCTTTTCTAATTCTTTAGGTTTAAAAGACAGTTTTTCATTTTTTCCTGAGGGTGCAGCATTTTGACAACTAGAAATCAAAACGTTCTGAAGTATGAATTCACATGTGGGTCTGATATGGAAGGAATCATCTGGATCACATGAATTAACATAATGTGTGCCTATATACTTTATACTATATAAATTTTTCACGAGCCTTTGAAATGACAGGTCTTCTGAAACATCCACATAAACCTGTTGACTTTTTATTTTCCCTTTTAACAACTTAATTGCATAGTTACAAAAGTTCTCTTGTTAAAAGAAAGATCAAGTTTAAAAAAAAAATTGATATATAAACCAGGATTTTGAAAACAGAACAGAAACATCAGTGACATCTACAATTGTTTATTACCATGGAATACAGTTTAAGTATTCTCAGTGAATACACAAGAGAACTCATCCTCAACCAAAAAAATATCTCGCTCTGAAGCCAATGATAATGAGAAGACCATTTACACCGTAAACCTGGTCATTATCATTCACACAGTCCTTCCAATCTTTATCATTCCTTTCATTCACAAACATACAATCTTTTGCATTTTCTACCTCTCTATTTCATGTTAACAAAACAAATTCAATGTATCTCAATGCAGCATTGTGAGTATAATACACTGACCTGTATAATTAAAATACACTGGGGAAAAAAAAAGAAAAAAAAACCAGAAAAAAATAAGATCATGAAAAAAAATTCAAATAAATTACTTAATGATCAAATAATTTATAATCAAATTAACATCATGTTATATGAAGTTCCTTCAGTATCTCATTACAATGTATGATCAAATGCACGGTTACTGAGAATATGTTGATAAAACTATGGTCAAGTATTAAATCACTTTACTTTTAGTTCACTGAATCCAAAATGTCTAAATTTTCTTATATATTAATAAACCTCCAAAATAATCATTACATAATTCAGTTACAAAAAGATGCACAGTACTAAGCAATTACATGGTATGTATAGGTAAGATTTCAAGGGACTAAATGATTAGATGTCTATGTCACAACCAATAAATAAGTGTTACTAGCATAACATCTAAAACAGTAATTATTGCAGGATTTTTTTCCCGGTAAGTTCAGAAGATCATTTTAAAAACACTGATAAGTCCCAATGCTAAGAGATAAAATGAGTTCTCTTAGTGTGAATGAGTCTTACTGGAAAAGCAAAAGTACAGAACTCAGATATCAGAATCCCAAAAATCACTGTAAAAGTATGTTTACATTAGAAAAGTTATGCATTTTTGTTAATTATGAAAGTATAAAAAATTTGCACAACCATTTGCCTAATTCACGTCATTACCTTTCATTGTAAGCATTGTCATTGTGCATGCACAAAATTTAGAATACAAAACAAATCTTGCCAAACAAGGCCAAATCATTGAGCATCTAACCTGACATTATTCTTCATATCCATTTCTACGATACTTATTACAATATTGGAGTGTAGTGGGTATTTCTAGAGGTCATGCAAGTAGCACATTGCAAGTATAATCACTTCTTCGAATCCGATTAAAACAAACCAGACCTTTTATTCAATTAAAATAATCAACAATCACAACAACAAATGGTGACAGACAAAAAATCAATTGTTGATGAGCAAAATTTCATAAATAAAAGTAGTTTTATAATCCTACAAATAGGCTTATTTCAGGTTTCCATCTTATCTGCAATAAAATGCTCTAGAAAAAAAGACAGTATCTAAACATTTAGTCCCTTTACAACAACAGAGATACCCAAGTAAAAAAAAATATTGTAAAAGAGTTAATGAATGACAAGAAAGATAAAGCGACAAGTTCTGTAACAGTTTTCCCTGAATAGCTGGTCTCATAAATCAATGTTTTGATTTCATCAATATGTATCTTGAACTTTCAATTTTTATTTATTCTCCATTTTGTGTTTGCTTTCTATTGAGATGAAGCGTCATCTTTGGCATAAAAAATACCACGTAAATTCTTCTAATACAGTTTATCTACATTATCTGTATTTCATGTGTTGGTGTAATGAGCAAATTCCCTTTTCAATGGCAAAGGAATTTGAAAATTATTATTTATTCCATTGATAATAAATATCAACATGGAAATGGCACACATACAAAAAAAAACACAAACAAACATACAATAACAAAACCACTTCCTTAGGCTAACTTTGTAGACTGAAATAAATACATGTCAAAAAATAATTTGAAACTCAAACACAACATCCTCTACTGTTTAAGCTTTGTATTTAATTCTCAAAATTACCATCAAACTAAAATACTAAGTTGTAAACCTCATGTTCTCGCATCTTTTTTTATTTCTCATCTGACTGGAATGCAGATCAGTTTCCATCTATGAGAGATGCTAATGATGGTTTCACAGATACTTCCAAAACACAAGCTTACAGAGTGTTTAGAATGCCAGACTGATACCCTTCTGATATTTTGATTTTACTGATGTACAATATGTAATGACAATTGAATAACATACTTTTCAAAGAATTTTCACATTTTTATACAAAATTTACAGCTCCATGTAATGATTCCTGAAAAGATCAACTTTTTAGTTCACGCTATTTTACCTACTTTGGTAAGATTACATAAAATTCAATAAAAAAGTCATTAAATGATAACATGTGTTACTTACAAAGAGTTATCAGACAATATACAATAGATGACATTGAGTACAGATGTAACCAAGGCCACTAATTTAGTGAAGCAACTTGGAACCTATGAAGTGAACTTGTTTCTAGTATATTTAAGTGTTAGCCAATGTGTCCATTTTCTCCAGGCTGTGGACACCATTCCTACCTCTCATTCATAAATTTGGTTTGTCTTTGGTCCTTGACAATTCCTTTAAAACTCTGTCAAAGGTGTAAAGATATTTTCAAGTGGTCAAAGAAAAGATCATTACATAAGTATAGTAAGGCAAGAAAATAAAGAGATACTGTATATAAACACATTATAGTCACTTGACAGATTCTATTTAACAAAAAAGTCTATGAGGATACTGCTCTCATTGCATATGACTACTTAAATTATCATAAAAATCTTCAATCATCTATTTTTTCTGCATGTGTACCAACTTCATTGCATCAATGAAATGTGAACAGAATTGTAACAAAGAACAATTAAAACAAGGTATATCTTAGCCAATCTGAAGTGACCAGGTCTGACAGTCATCTCTGATAAGGATCCTAGTAACTTCACATTAATAATGAAGATAATCGACATATACCCAAAACCACCAAAGTGAACAATGATAAATATATTAACAATCTTTCATACTTGGGTGTTGGAGCATGGTTTGATTTAGCAGGGCAATGTATTGGTCTTTGATATCAGTATTTAGACAAAACTCTGAGATGTACCTAAATAATATCAGTAAACAGAGTCAGAATTATATCCAAAAAATTGAATTCTTACTTTTCTGAGGATCTCTTTATTTGAAAAATAAATACTAGTATCAAGTTGCCTACATCAAACTTTAATAAAAAATGGTATAGAACCAGCAATATACAACTTGAAATCAACAAAAGCACCTCTTAATTCACAGAATTAAATGCATATGTCACAAAAAACATTGATATAAATACATTAACTAAACTTTTAAAAATAATATTGTAATTATTAATTCAACATCTTTGAACAATGATGAAAATTTAATAAAATTGCTGTTCTTTTTAAAGTTAAAGAAAGTACTGACATTTTGTTAAAAATCAGTAACTATGTAACCAAATCAATCATAATGATGTACATTCAAATAAACTTATGTCAATGCAACACAAATTATATGAAACAAGAAGCCAATAGAACTTTTACCATCAATTTTAAGAGTCATACATGCAGGACATTTTGTGTCTTGTGATATGTCAAACTGATGAAAAAGGAAGCAAAATCATTGGTCCTGCCCCTTCATCCCAAAGACATTAACTTCAATTACACACATATGATAAATTCTACAAAGAATCTTATAACCACATCTGAATAAAATTTGCCAATGTAGGGAGAGCAGTGTTTTAAAACAGAATACCAAATTTTCAATTACAGACCCTACCCCTATACTAACCACTCTTTACAACATCAGTACATTTATGAAAAATATGATTGGCCTTTTCTAAGATTGTTACACTCCAATCTTGATTAATTCTGCCATGGTCTTCAGTAGAAGTAGTATTTGAAAAGAGAAAGTTGACAGATGTAACTGTTTCATGGAGGTAAACTAAATCATACTTTCAATATTTTACTTTCTCTTGAAAAACAACCTGAATGTACAAATTGTTTAAAAGAAAGGTAAAATGGAAACATGTCTTGAGATATGACATAAACCAAGTAAAATGTATGAGAAATAGACTAATCTTAGTATGGCCAGTGTGAGCCTTTATAGTATGAAATGAAATATAAATATATACCGATGGGATGTTTAACACATACTTAACAAAAGTTATTATGGTTTGTCATCCTTATATTTGTTGTTTATCAATGAAAATTTAAGTATGGGCTACTGAAAGGGTGATAACAATTCTTATATCAATATTTCTTCTTTATCAAAACACTGACAACAAAGTCTTACAATAGATAATTACAATGTATTTTAAGAAATAACAGATCTCCAATGAGCTTTTACTGCATTTGAATATCATGAAAACACAAACACACACACATCCTTACAGTTACATGCAATTTGAGCTTTCTGTCTCAGCATTTGTTACACCCGAGTTCAAACCACATCACGGAGTTCATGTTTACACAGTAAACCCATCAAACAATCTCTTCTTATACTGATATATTAATTAATATATATTTATAAAATTTAAGACTTTTTAGCTCTTACAGTATATGTAGCAATACAAATCCAACAGCTTATTTGGCAGACTCTGTATAAAGGAACACTAGCTGTGCATGACATACAGAATAAAATATACATCACAGACATTATAATTCTCTCCTGCAGGTAAACTCAGTTTGTATTTTATGATGTTGGAATGTGAATGGGGATACATATTTGTTACATGTACAATGACATGCTACAGGAAACAGAGTTGACATTGAAGTAAAATACAACACCTTTTTCAGTGTTAGTCTTTAAACTATAGAGAAAGAGATAAATTTATTGCAGAACCAAGTAACAACATGTAATAATTTTCTCTGGATGATTTTCCATAAAGAAAACAATTCAATTCAGTCCCCACATTGAGTTAAATAAGAAGTTTTTTTTAAAATCATTAAAATACCTGTCATACATAGTTATAACATAAGCTTTTAAGTATACATATGTTTGAATTTATTATATTGACTCCCTCCTCCCCCAATCCAAAATGCCCATATCAAGGTAACATAATTTTTATTTACAAATAAAAAAAATCAATTCTTTGTGTAGAAATAATGACCTTGTAGTCTATATCAAAAGATTCAACAACAGGATTTAAAACTGAAATTTTATACATATATTCTATCAAATTTACAGTATTATTCAAACAATTTTCAATAATGAACAAAACAGTTCAGCATGGACTGAAATACTGATAACAAAATAAAAATTCAATTCAACATTGAAAGAAAAAGGAAATGGTAAATATGTTTTACAAACAAAATGATACATCCCCATTCACAGTTAACACTAGCAGTGTATCTGAATACATTATCTGATGATGTGTATCCTTAAACTTTTAGGCAGCAATAAAAACCTCAGGAAATTGTGCACTTCATGTTCTTAATCCCTCCAGCTGAATCGACTTCTTTTCCGTGATGGAGAGTCCATTAGCACATCAGGAGAGGATGTTCTCTTACGTGAAGAATCATAATTTTGGGATATTTCATCCATTATAAAGCGATTCAGTTCCTCCATATTATTTCGAGGCATTTGTGTACTTGGAGTACCATGAGGCCTATTGTAGTCCACACTGATGTTTGACATTGCACCATTGAGTCCTGTAAAGAAAGAGTTTATATTTTGTGATTATCATCCCATGCCAATGCATAATACAAGCCTTGTCAACTTTGAAATTATGGTTAATGTGCTAGGGTGTGATAACAACGAATTTACAAGTACAATATTTGTTCAAAATGTCTTTCTAATGTTGATGCATTTGCGTTATTGGAAAGCTACAGGGGGCTGAACAATGATGGTAATCAAATTGCTGGTGACTACTCTAAAATGTTTAATCATTTCGTGACAGTTTACCTTGAAGGGCAATGGCTTCTCTAAATACTTGTAGATCTGGTTCCGGTTCTGGCTCACACCCTTCTGCACCAGATACACGTGGGGAATGAGACCTTTCCAAGCCACTGAGTCGGGAGGAGGATGTATGACGAACTATTGGACCTGACAACCGATTTCTAGCTGGAGGAGACTTCCCACAAAGAAAGGCAAGCAAGTCTTCTCTACGTATATGTCTACGTCTCTTCTTTGCCCATGCAACAATGTCCTTTGTTCTGTGCTGCCGTCCTCTTTGAACGCCAACATCTACACAACGTCTTAGGGAATCTACACTATCTGTAATCATATTTTGAAATAAAGAATGAAATTAATCAAACTAGAGAATATCTGAAACAAAAATACTTACACTCCCCAAGAAATATTAAAGGTGACCAGTCACCATGGAACCATAAAAACACCTGTCCTGGATTTTCACAAACTACTGTCACACCCCTCCGACACATCCCCAAAGAGATAATAATGGTGAATACTATCAGTCACCTTGAAACTATGAAAAACTTTCTCATCCAGGATCTTCACAAACTATTGCCACACTCCTCTGTACCAGATACAAGTGAGAAATGAGACCTTTCAAACTCAAGTGCTATCAGTATATCAAATGACATTTTTATTAATAGCTGGGCCAAGGCCAACCAAACGTAGGAAAGTGAAATATGATGTACAATTAACCTCATTTCATTTAACCTTGAAATATTCTTAACTTATTTCTATCACTGATGCTTTTTGATACTTATTTGATGAACAGATTTTATACCATGGTACTGAATATGTATGATCCTTGCAACCAAATTGAATACAAGCTGTTTCAGTTTTATTTTGGACAAGAAGTACATCAAAAGATATAAATTAATATCGGCACAGGAAAACAAAAACATGTAACTAGACTTGATAGCACATAGCCAGGAATAAATACCAAATACCTTTAGAAAGGAAAGATGATTTACTAACTCCATCATTTCATGACAGGGCTCTCGATCTGCAAGATTTGGGACTGAATCCCAATGCAAAATAGTATCTTTTTTCCCAATTTAGACCCCAAGTTTTCCCAATTCTAAGGAAACGCTGCTATTTTTCCTAATTCTAAGGGCCCCGGGCCCCAGTCCCAAAATGGGGTGTGAGAGCCCTGCATTAACAAATCACACAATTACCTGTTGATGTATTTCATTTATAAAAAAAGTATACTATAACAATATAATCAAAATTGATGTGTACAACAATAGTACAATGAAGCAGAGCAGTATATACATCTATCCCATGCCAAAAATAAATATGTAAATGGTAAAGTAAAACAAGTAAAATGTCAAGATAGAAAACAGAGCTAGCCAAAAAGTTTGAATGATAAATTAATTAAAGCATGTTGAAAGTTTTTTTATGGATTGAAAATTGAGAGAAGAAATCTCTGGAAAAGATAAAAATGCAAACAAGACCAAATAGCAACAACTTTTTGAAATACTGTTAAATCCAAATGTGATCATGAGAGCACACCTGTGTTAAAAGCCAACCAGGATTCAGAGAATCTGATTAAAAACCTGAGGAAGGAAATCTTTCCACAGAATTAAAATGTTGAATTAAACAAAAACAAAGCAGTCATACCTACAAATTGCCATGGAAGAAAACAAGCTCATGCCAATGTAAAGCTTACACAACTTTGAAAGAAATAGGTTGAAAACTGATAGAGATCTCAGACAAGATAACATTGTGAAACAAACAAATGGCAGTAACCATTTCAAAACACAGTTGAATCCAAAAGCACAAGTTCATGACGCATTGTGATTCAGCAAAGATGATTGGTGGAAAAATTGACATGAAAAACAACCCTTCAATGGTGTTCAGGACAATACAAGTTCAAAAGTTTAAAAAAGATAAGTTGAAAACTGGGGGAGGAGTTAACAAGACAGAAAACACCATACCATAATGTCTGCGGAAATTTTTTTATGGTTATATAAAGAAAATAATGCTAAACAGCAATGAAGAAAATGCATAAACTTTTATCCTTTTCGAACAATTTTGAAACAAAATATCAGCATATATTATCACTCTTGTTGGCTCAGATGGAGTGTTGTTTGAGGGGTCTTACTGTGGGAGGAAACCAGAGTGCCTGGAAAAAAACCCTTCGTCTGGCAGGTGACCCCTGTAGTTTTTCATGTCTGCTCAAGGAATCAAACCCCGACAATCTATACAAAAGGCCAGCATGTTACCACTGTGCCATCTGACCATCCCACAAATAGTAATTTACACAAAGCATATTGTATGCATTTTACTAAAAAGCTGGAAACTAGACATAGCAATTTAAAATTTAGAGTGGATGACCAAAAAGTCAATACCAAATGACACAAATGAAAGGCAAGGAGCAAATGGCAACTCTTAAGTGGTATGTCAGTCCATTTTTTTCATGAAGAATCCTGATACATAGTACACGTCCTGGAATCATGATTTTGTGGACCCACCCTATTGATTAGTAATGAAACTCATTGAAATTTTGGAAATGCGTTCTAGACTCACTAGCAAAAATATTATACAAAGGTACTGGGAATTAGTATCTAACAAATATTTCAGATAGACATTACCTTTATAGAGACTAGTTACAGATGCAGCAGCATTCTGAAATGGTATAAACAAGGAAAGCCCACTGTGTCGATCTGAAATAAAAACATAAAAAGATATGCGAGACTTTGAAAATATTTCCATACACAAGATAATTATCATAAAAACTTTTTGAAAAGGGTAATAATAAACTTGAAACATAAACCTATTTGCGGTACTGTATACAAACAGATTTTAGTGGTGATCTTATTGTAGTCTTTTCATTGCTGAATGTATTGTGCTAAAATATGATTGTGTTAATTAAAGTGTAGTTTCTATGTGCTGCTTATACACTTTACATGTACAGTAATTACATATGCAGATGAATCAAACTGTTTCTCATACAATACGACAGTGGTTTAGCCTATTAAGTTTGAAATTGATTGAAGACTGTGACAGGAAATCTTTTGGAAAAAATTCCAGTTATAAAATGCAGAACATCACATTTATAACAGTTTGAGTAATCCATGATTAGATAAAGAATACATAAGGACAGGGTAAGTATCAAGTGATCGCTTTCATTGTGGGTTGATAGATCTCGTCACATGAGGAGAGTGACACACTCTGTAACTATTTTTTAATAACCCGAGATATTAATTGTAGCTCATTACCTAGTGTTGGTTTATCTGCGTACTTCAATCGAGTCTATTTAATGGGCTTAAAAAGTGGAATCATTTGCAATAGTGATGCAGTTGCTCCCTTACCAATACTGGTACATCCTGGGAATAATTTTTTGGAAAAAATACTGAAATCAAGATGTCCAAAGTACTGATTGAGATGTTGGTAATTATGGACAAATTTTTGTTCAGTTTTCTATTTGAAGTCAAGGTGGAGGAAGGTAAAAATTTTGGTGTAATTTTCATGTTTCTTTTTGTTCTTTAAAGTTGAAAGGCCCAAATCAGTGTCATGGGTCTTCAGATGATTATACTGGGATTCTTGTACATATCTTACAACACTTGTATTGGAATATGAATATTATCGTGAGTTGGTTGGCCTAATTACACATGTATTTATTTTACATGTAATCATATAACTGTAATTGAAAATAAGGACATATCAATATATGTAAGGTTGGCATTATGTCATTATGACGTTATATTTTGCCATTTACCCAATATTTAGCCATACTGGTGTAAGAAATTTTGAAACGGAGCACATGTACTGTACTCCTATTTGTCCACATGCTGTTCAATCATACAAGCAATATACAACACACAGAGACAAAGTTGGCTATAGCTAGCACCATAAATAATTTCATTCGGGTTTACCATGTTCTTTCAGTAAATTACACAACTAACATTACAAATGTAGTGGCAAAATATCTTTCCTTTATGTGGTTCTAATGCACATCCTACTAGCCAATTTACTATTTTCAGTAGAAGCCTCAATGGACATATTAGAGGAAGCAATGTGTGAAATAGGAATTTGGGTTATATGGCCTGATTTACAATCAACGCAAACTACGTCAGATTAAGAAAATATTAGATTTGTTGACATAATACATAATGTTTTCTACAATGCTACGATGTTCATGATAAAGGAATGAAACCAGTGAAGAAGTTTACTGTAAAGTACATTTGTATGCATGTATAGGCAGCAATTATCATATGGAAACAGAAATTTTAACTGGAGAGATCAGGCTTTTGCAGTGCAAGACACTGACGGCAGTTATAGGATAGTTGCTTCATGCTAATTGGATAACGGTATTAGCAGATGCCAACCAAACCATGAACTGGATAATTGATTACTTGTTCTAGAACTAAACTAAATTTGAGAATGTCATGTTTACAAGTATGCTTTGTCCAAATTATTCATGACATTCAATTGATTTCCAGATATCAGTCTTGAGTTGATGAATACCAGATTTCCATCTTTAGAAAATAAGTCTGGGTTGACAATCAGTGTTAATGTTTGTGGAAAGAAACCTTTATGTATGTCTGCACGAACAGAAATAAAGGATGTTGCTTAATCCCCTTACTTTTTGTAGAGACAGTGTTCTGACAAATGACTGATACTACAATAAAGCAAAAGGCATACTTGCATTGCCCATTTATTTTACTTTATGCTTTTTATCTTAATATATACTGAAATCTTTTACTGATGTTCCGATACAAGAGTGTTTGGAACTTCATGAAGATATTTTGGTACTTTTGGTAAGTTGTTCTGGTATTTCAAAATGTTTCGGTACTTTGTATTTAGTACAAATTATTGAAAGTATTCAGCATCTTTAACTTTGTTTTCTTTGATGTACTTTCACATTCCTACTTGGTTAAAATAACAACTAATTAAAAGGTAGAAAGAGCTTTATAGAGGGAAGCCATGATTGAATGATTAAGTGAAAGAAAAATCAAACCTTGAAGGCGATTGCTAATGCATATAACACTGATTCTGTACCTACCATCAGTTTACTTATCAATAGTGTTCACATTTATAAAACCAAAAACAATAAAAATGAAAATGAAAACCTAAATTTTTTAACATTTCATGAAGTACCAAAATAGTACACAAAATACTGAAACATATGCATACCAAAATGTTAGGAATTCATGAAAACAGAAATTGTCCCATACTTGAAGAAATGTTTCTGTTGTGTTTTAACTGGCTCATTTCAATAGCTCAGCTGGACAGCAAATTGTGTTGTTTTTTTTATAACATATTGTCATTACAGTGTGTGCCAAACTCCGCCAGTCAGTTGGTCATGTCCGAAAAAAAATGTCTCGGACCGGTAAAATATTTCAGATACATGCCCGACCGTCCGATAAAAAAATCTGGGTATATCCGGCAACAATGGTCCGGTACCGCTCCCGTACTTATATCTTGATGTATACTTCCGGTCGCTCTGTCGGCAATGCTACCGCTAAAATTTGTTGCGGGCGCAGTGCCTGGAAAACCAATAAAGAAACGAAAGCTGGTACCCGATGAAACAAATGAAGAGAGGAAAGCTTACGATGAGAAAAGAGAACGAAGTTTTGTGTCCAACTGGACCGAAGGTAGGCCTTGGCTTAAACTCTGTTTCAAATGGAATTGCAAAAGACATCGATGACGAGGAAGAAGGGTGTGATGGTTGGATGTCGGAGGAATCCTGTTGGGACAATCTCTTTTTATTCACTAGAGAATAAATTACACATACTTTATCTGACGGAAGTAAAAACATGAAACTATTACTGTGCGTTTACATTTATTTCTATTATAAAACACTTGGGGCAAAAAGATTTAAACAAAGGCAAAATCTGCAAAGTCAGTTTGGAGCAAGAGACCAAAATAAAGGGCCTAAAGAGATGATAGTCGAAGTTTGCACAATAGAAAATCTTAAAATTGTAGTGCTCCAATAAAACTAAATTTTCAGACCTGTAAAATTTATTTTGGACATTTTTGGTTACCTGCCCGATGGACCTGTAGAGATTTTAAAAGTTTGGCACACACTGCATTAGAGGATATTTTTGATTGGATTTATGTGAATTGAAGGTTTCCGACTTGTGTCTTTAAAATGACCAGTGTTTTAAAGCTATTGAATATATACATTTGCCACACCCATTTTGTAAAGAAATTATGTGGGTAATATAGTTTTTAGACCATTTGAATTCAGATTAATTTGATCATTTGAATCCGCTACGCATGTTCATACGCTATCAGATGTATGTAAAAGTGTATTAAGTAAGAAATCTCCTCTATCGTATTAACTTCACTGTTTTGAAAGGATGATGACGCTGTTTACTTGAATATTGTGAAATTCTATCAAAAAATGAAATTACGCACTTACATCGGATAAAACAGAAAAAAACACAATTGATATATCTATCAAATGTGAATCATATGTACAACAGACATTAATTTAGTACCTTTGTATAATTGTGCTATAGATGTAGCAGAATTTTGGAAATGAAAAAAAAGTTTCTGTGTTGCGTATTCTCTCTGTGCTTGAAGGGTTTCCGCCATATTGGGTTCTGCATCGAGTTCTTCCAAACACTCCTCTTCAAAGCTATTTAACCAATGTTCTGATGACTGCTCGGTGCCATTATCTTCTTCGTGGGCCATGGCGAATACTCAATGTCTGGGTTACAGCAATATATATCAATAAAATCCACACATCAACATAAATAATCCCTCCTTTCTTACCGAACTGCCAAACTTTCCTCTCAACTTACGACGGAAGTATTGGTTTGAGCATGCGCATTAATTAAAAAGTGTCTGATTGTCGATTGTGACGAACTTACCCGAACGGCGACGGTTCGTCACGGAATGAATGGAAATGTGTAACTGATAATTTCAAGTTTGTTAGAATAAGGAAATCCTTGAAATATACCTAAAAGTTACACACAATGACAGCTAAAGTATCTACTACTGATGGTAAGTTGATATTACTGGATTGGCAAAATTTGCCGATTGGTATCCCATCAGCCTCATTGATCGACGCCATCTTGTTTATTTTCATTCGTGATGAGCATTGTAGACCGCTCATGATTTTCTATTTGTGAATCCCCGCATAGGGGATATTCAGCAGACATAGGGCGGATTGTGAGTAAGCAGGCAAAGGTGACCGTCCCGTCTAAAAGCCCTTCAAGCCCCGGGCGAGATCACAACAGAACGGTCACTTTAAACGACTCCAAAAACAACATGAACAATCATGTGAATGATGGAACAGAACAGCAAGATGTGGAAATGGACAACGCTTCTAAAGAGGGTTCGACATTTCTAATGAAGCAATCACTGGCATCAGTCTTTCACTTATTTCAAATTAATACACAATCAGATCAATGTCACTTTCCTTGGATTCAAATGTATCCATTCACCCTGGGTGCCCTTCATAAGAAACCGATTCATTGATATGTGTAAATATGGTTTATGGTTTGCCGGTTTAGTGTACATTTTTTCTTTGATCGTACCTTTATCACTAGTAGTATATCCTCTGTTTATATCAAGTAATTAACCCACTTTGAATATATCGCTCGATAATTTTCTTTGTATCAGATGAAAAGGGATATGTTGTGGTTACTGATAATTAATTTATGGTATAGATTTGTTGATGGAATCTAGTTGTAGCTAATACATAGAGAATACATAGTCTGTGTCTTAAAATATAAGCAAGGATGAAGAAAGACAAAAGTGGTGAGCCAAGTTTTATGGCAACCATTCCATATATTAAAGCATTGGTGAATGAAGCACTTAGGCAGTTACTGTATATTTAATCCATACACAGCTTTGTGTGATAAAGCATAATTAAAATGTTCTTCCTTTTAGGGTTTTAAACAAAGTCCTTAACAATAACAAGCAAGGCATAGTCATCACACTTCTTGTCAAACTATTTTGTTGGACATCTGTTTGGAAAGGATCCTTCTCTCTACAGACAATCAAAAACTTGAAACAACGTCCTTCCAAAAATGATCTCTTCTGACCCTTTATACTTAAAATCATCTATCTCTGCTCATGCTTTTCTTTCCTAGTACTACACCCACATATGACACCTAGCACTACACTTACATATGACACCAGTACTACACCAACATATGACACCTAGCACTACACCCACATATGGCACAATCTTCATTATGTTGAAGTTGGTCATTAACTGGTAGAAGTGTAAACCATCAAAAGTAAAAGATATCAAACTGATTGAATGTGTGTAGAGGAAAGAAGGGCAAGAAAACTAATTCCTGGATTTTAAAAATCTGACATACATGTAACAGCTGAAGAATTTAAATCTCCCAACACTACAACACTGCAGAACCAGAGGAGAGATAATGAACATTTTAAAATTAATATATATGATACTAGAATACCAAGACACTTTATAGACAACAGAAATAGGATTAGAGGTCATGATACAGAAAATATTTTCAAAGCATCTTTCAATAATCAAGTTGTTGATTCATGGAATAGCTTACCACAAAATGTGGTCGATGCTGAAACTTGGATACAATTTAAAATAGTGTTAGGTGAACAATAGGAAAATCATTGTATTTTTTTATTTAAATGCACATTGACTTCTGCTTTGTGATAGTATTGATATGGACATGGAGGATATCAGCTTCTGTCTCTTATTTGTGCTTTTAAATTAAAGTTTATGATAGCAGTATTTCCAGGAAGCAGCTGAAAAATATAAATGTTAATAGCTATACTTAATCATACAGACTTGTAGTAAAATACAGATATTACATAATCAAAAAATAATATATGGTAGGTTTTAATTTAATCTTATATATCTTATATATATATTTGAATGGATATAGGGAAAGGCATGAAATTACAATGAAAAGTATTGGTGTTCCTCATATTATGCTGTTTGGCAGTGAACTTGTATTCTGAATATTAGGTAATCTGTTTATGTTCAGTTATATTAAGGACTACTTGTTTTTCAATAAAAGGTCCATTCAAGCCCTAATACACACACCATTTAGCAATTTAATGTGATGCAGAAAGTTTCTGAGAAAGCTTCCACTTGATAAATATGCAAAGATAACATTATGGCATGATTAAGCTTTTAAAAAATATATATTGTGAATATCTTAACAAATGAACATCAATAAAAATGGGCCCCTCTGAAAATACAAACTTGTTTTAAAGTTCTACTGCCAAGAAAAAAAATTGACCAGTCTGCATTCTCAGCAAAAACAAAAAACATACAGATGTACTATATTTTTAAGGTTATAAGCTGCACCAGCATATAAGCTGCAGAGCCAAATTTTACTGATTTTTGTTTTATTTGATCCACATATTAACTGCAAAATTTCTTACGAAGTGGTAAATGTAATGTTGACCAAATTTCATTGATATAACAGACAACAGGGGGCAATTGATCAAGATCGTTGGTGAAACATTTAATAAAGTTTTTCAAGTGAATTATACACAGATAATCTTTTATTATATTGATATATTTCAAAAAGCGTAAAATAGCAAATATCAAAGTCAAAGTCTGAATTTGTGTCTTTGCTGTTACTTATTACCCGGTAATTCTAGATGATCTTTTTCAGTCACAAATATGTGACTGGCAGGTATTCTCATAAACTCATAACTCAGTGCACTCTCATATTGGTTTACTGATAAGCTTTTTTTTTTCTTCAATCAAAGTTTTTTTTATCGTCCACATACAAACCATATGCCAACTCACAAGGAAAAAAGGCGCAACTTATAACCCAGAAAATATGTTATTAGACTTGTTTACAGGTAAAATGAGATACAGGTAGAATGATTGTGTATAGTCATATGAGGGCTCCAAATGTATTATGAATAGGAAATATACAGGTCTTTAATAAATTCAAACCTTTCATGGTAACATCTAAAGGATTTACCGGCTTCGGTCCAGCAACAAATGTAAATGCACTCTTCTTTACAAAGAGTGAATTTCAACTTCTTTCATAACAATACTGACACTTGACCCATCTTGCATATTTCTCGGATACATTAATTTTTACTTTATAGAGAAATATTTATTTTGCTCCCCAGTTTTCAAGTGAAATTTGCATAAATTTTAGCTATAAATAATTCTGATTTTCAGTCCTATTAATGAATGTCAGCTTGTCTGTCCTATAAAAATTCAGGGAAATAAGCAATCCAGGCTTTGGTGGTATATGCATTTGGAAGGTAATGATGCAAACCTACCTTTTCTAAAAGGTAGCAGGAAAGGGTTCATTTGCCTTTTCCTGAAATTCAGATAAACAGGTATGTCACATTGGTTATGAAAAATACACCCTTATGTGTGGATATATATTTTCAAAATACATAAAAATACATGAAAATGTACTAGAGAAAAAATTAAAATGGTGTAAACAGCATTTCTTATTTCAACCGAAAACAACACTTTTAATGGCATTGTTGCATCCTTAGGCAAGACACTTTTTCCTAATTGCTCATGTGATGGGCCTCCCATATGTTGTTCAGCGAGATAGCAATCGGTAAATACAAAGAGACCCCCATATAAAAATGACCCTGGCAGTTAATGGGATGATAAACCTAGCACACAAAGTCTGGTAGAAAATTCTCTAGCTTGCATTACAATTAGAAAACAAGTCAGTCATGGTCACCTTTTCAAAACTTAGTAATGTAAGTATGGACTAGCAATTCTTTGACCAAAATTAAGAAAACCATGCCAAAGTTTGTTATTCATAGCATTTTTTTAAAGCAACATGTACGAAAAATCCAATTTCACAAAAAAGGTAAAATCCTTTAATCATTAGGTACTTAAATTATGTGAAGATTCAATGAAGAGCTACAGCCTCTTATTGATTGAAACGTAACTGATATTGTGAAGGCAGTTTCAGAGAAGAATAACAAAGTTAAGACAGCCATTTTCACACGAACTGTACATGTGAATTTTGATAGTTCTGACTGGGACCTAGATCAATGGACTTTATGTTGTAAGTGTCAGGATCAGTGGTCAAGATTACAATAGCTGATTTAGTGAATTAGTACTACATTAATAAACTCAGTTGTCTGCAAGAATTAGAAGAAAAAAAATTCAAGTGGTTTTAATTGGACTTTGCACCATTATTCCTTATAAATAAGACATGGTTCCTAGTGTGTCAAAGGCCAAGGTCACCATAGTTGAATGTATACCTTATGTAATACAGTCTTGTCAGCAAGAATCTAAAAAAACTACATGTCCTTTTAAAATAGGGAGTGAGAAGGAGCTGTCATAACTCCATTGATAAAGCATCAGACTTTGGTAAAGGTCGACTTGGATGTATAGTTTGATCCCGACCCAGGATGATCGGGAAGATGAGACACTTTATGACACTTTTACTCCAGTTGTCCTGGATAGTATGCAATGACTTTCCTCTATAATATTCATTCCCCCCACCTTTGTGGTTCTCTTCTTACTACCCCTTCAGTCAGTGTCCTATACCCTTCAGGTATGTTACTGCACATCCCAGTATCAAAATGCATGTACATCCAGAAAAGTTGTTTACTACACATGTCTCTATTCATCCCAGGGTCATTTTCCTTTAGATTTGTTATTACAACTTCTAGCGCCAGATTCCTTAAGATATACTTCCATAAGATATATAATTGAATATGTCTCTGTATCATAATTCTACTTTTAAATGGCTATACTGTGTGGCTCTCTCTGGAAATTATAGCTTTCACAACATGGAATATATTACATTCATATGACTATCACAACTTGTCATAATTTGGTTTTTAGCTAATTTTATAAAACCATTCTGAAAACATTTTATTTTTTGGTGTGTGTTTACAGAGGAGGGTAAGGAAGGAGCAGTGGACAGTAATGTGACAACAGTGAATGGAGACATACAAGGGACAGGGGCCACCAACCATCAGGATGAGGAAGACCAACAGATGGATGAGGGTCAGTTTGGTTAGATTATTAAGGATTAAATGGGCATGTTGATGTTTATAGTATAATAGAAGTCGCTATCTCCTACACAACTAATCACATAAACTTAAATTTGGGATATGGATTCCTTAGTCAGAGTGTATGTCACATGTCATAAAACAATTTGGGATATGGATTCCTTAGTTAGAGGGTATGTCACATGTCATAAAACGATCATTCTGACCTACATTTCAACCTTTGACTTCCATCAAATTAAAGGTTTGCCCAGGTCCTATCTCATACACTACAAGTAAATAGCATTTTACATTAGTGTATGGGTTCACCTCAGTGAGACAGTGTGTCAGTAGGGGACCACATTGTCTTGTTTTATCTGATATTTGGTAATATGTGTTGAGTTTTTTCGTTTCTTTTAAATTATACATATTAGTTTCATCGCTTGGTATGAAGGCAATCAATCAATTTGTAACTTTAAGTTATTGAAGTAATACTCATACTTGCACTATATTTTGATTGTTTGTGTTCTGTTTGTGTAGATGAAAGCAGAGCTGAGGCTACATTCTCCTTCATTGTTGAAAATATCAGTAAGCTGAAGGAGACTACACTTAGTCCTCCCTGTATGATCAGGAATCTACCATGGTGAGCTGATTAATAAAATACAACCAATTTTGGTGGACACCTATTTTTGTTTTGTAAATATATAGCAGTTGGTCTTTTTTGTTTGTTTAGCCATTTCATAGTGTTAATATGTGTACATTGTAAGTTTAGTCCTTGTACAGATTAATTATAAAAACTATATGGTAACACTACATGGTAAGATTTGTCATTTCAAGCATTGCAGATGAATGAATGTTTTGGTTTTAGTAAAATATGTAAATATTGTATCCCTAGGAAAATCATGATAATGCCAAGGTTTAGTCAAAATCCAGAAAGACACAACCAAAAAACACTGGGATTCTTTGTGCAATGTAATGGCGACTCAGACTCGGCGTGAGTATTAATAAATTCTTCCTAGTTATTTCTTTCACATGATAAGTAAATTGTTAATCTGAGATTCCCATTTTTTTGAGATTTTCGTGTTAAGTGGAATATTTCTGTCTCATCTTATGAGGCTATCAGTTTTTATATGCTGTGTGATTATAAATTTACTCCAAAAAGAATTGCCTCGCGGAATTGGTCAAACATTTTAGGATATGGTTTTAGGTAAATGGTATATTCCTGGTGTATATTGAAGAAAGGTATATATTAAGACATAACATTGTGTTTTTTTAAACATCAAGTGAATTGCAGCTAGATAATTGTAATTAATATCTATGTAAATTCTATCTTTGCTTAGATCCTGGTCTTGCAATGCTTCAGCAACACTGAAAATACTCAACCACAATCCAGACGGAGAACATTTTAGTAGAAGTATGTATGCTCTTTTACTAGATAGTATTATTTCCAATTATCAAATAAAAGTATCATCACAGTACAATACATTTCAGTAGTAGTATCATTCTCTACCAAAATAGAAATGGAGAAATTTTTGTAGTAGTATCATGCTCCACCACAATACTGATGGAGGTAATTTCAGTAGCAGTATCATGCTCCACCACAATACTGATGGAGGAAATTTCAGTAGCAGTATCATGCTCCACCACAATACTGATGGAGGAAATTTCAGTAGCAGTATCATGCTCCACCACAATACTGATGGAGGTAATTTCAGTAGCAGTATCATGCTCCACCACAATACTGATGGAGGAAATTTCAGTAGCAGTATCATGCTCCACCACAATACTGATGGGGGAAATTTCAGTAGTAGTATCATGCTCCACCACAATACTGATGGGGGAAATTTCAGTAGTAGTATCATGCTCCACCACAATACTGATGGAGGTAATTTCAGTAGCAGTATCATGCTCCACCACAATACTGATGGAGGAAATTTCAGTAGCAGTATCATGCTCCACCACAATACTGATTGGGGAAATTTCAGTAGTAGCATCATGCTCCACCACAATACTGATGGGGGAAATTTCAGTAGTAATTTCATACTCCACCACACAACTGATGGGGGAAATTCAGTAGTAGTATCATGCTCTACTACAATAAATATAGAGAAATTTTCACAGAATTATAATATTCAACCTTGATACATATTAGAAAAATTCATTAGCAGTATTTAACTCCACCTTCATACAGATGAGGAAATATCTGTAGAAATATATTCCACTGCCATACAAATTTGAAAACGTGAGCACAAATACTCTAGTTGAACACAATACAGATTGGGATAACAAATTTTGACAAATTGTCATATTCCTTTTTACTACAGATAGAGCATTTTTTATGTATTAAATGTATGTAGAAGTTATGTATTAAATGGTACAATATTTACCTATCTTCATTGTAGAAATTCAGCATTCTTTTTACAACAAGGAGAATGATTGGGGCTACAGTCACTTCATGGCCTGGAATGTGAGTGTGCTATGTTGTTTGAAGAATTGAATCATGTCGTGATACAAGAACAGATTGAATAAATTTTTACCAACACATATAAATTACGATTAATTTGTACTTCAAGAAATGCTTACATTGGATTTTGTCTATGAGATTTGTTAAATGAAAAAAGAAATAATGACTCTTTGCCATGGTAGATATATTTCCATGCTTCAGAGGAGCATAAATTCACGCTTTGTGCCTCCGTCGGTCCTTTCGTGTCTAGAGCGAACTTTGCTCAGTTAAGCTAAGGTCATGAAACTTTCATACATTGGCCATGCTAAGGCTATGTGCTGTGTACTAAATTCAGGGCCTTCGACCCCTCAATTACAGAGTTAATGCCCTTTGATAAAATGTCCTGTCTGGAGCAGAAATTTGCTTGCATTTGATTAGGTTAAACATTTATCATATTAAGACACTGTTCAGTGTACCAAATTCAGGGCATGCAACCCCTTAATTACATGGTTACTGCCCTTTGTTAAAATTTTGTGTGGATATCTCTAATTTGCTTGCATTTAAACTAGAATAATGGAACTTTATACATTGATCATGCTAATACAATATGCAGTGTAACAAATTCAGGGCTCTCAACCCCACAATTACATAGTATTGCCCTTTGTTAAAAATTTCTTGTCAAGAACATAACTTTGCATGCATTAAACTAGTATAATGAAATAAGAAAATGTACAGTGCATCAAATTCAGGGCATGCAACACCTCCATTATAGAGTTGTTGCCCTTTGTAAAAAAATTTGTTCAGAGGGTAATGAAAGATGATGAAACTTGAAGGATGTACAATATACCAAAAGTCAGTCCCCGAAACCCTGTAATTCCAGAATTATTGCTCTTTGTTGAAAATTTATGTCTAATAAAGTGGTTTTCCGGGAAAATTCATCAGTTTCACTGATACTCTTGTGGTTTTGTAGGAGCTTATGGATACCAGTCGAGGGTTTGTCAAGGATGATCAGATATCTCTTGAAGTCTATGTCAAAGCAGATGCCCCTCATGGTGTCAGGTAATGTTCAATGTTTATAGTCACATATGTAATGATCCATACCTGGTAAGGAGTGAGCATCACTTCTAACTGCTGAAAAATTTATCATAATGGAACTTACTGATAATATAACATCAGTTGTTTGAAATATATAATAACTGATCAGCTGATAGGGTGTTCTTTCTGTTACATATACTGTGACCATTCAGTTCCGTGTGATCATAGGTTTGCCTTGATCTCAGTTATGCATGGTCTATTTAAGGACTGATCAAGAAAACAAGATGGCTGACAGGTGGCCATCTTGGTGTTTTACAAGTCATAAATCAGTGTTGCTATTTCTGGAGAAATGTTTGTTGGATCATACTAAAATTTCTTATGTAGGTTCACCTTGGTCCCTAGTTGTGCCCTTTTGATTTTTGGATGTGATCAAAAAAGCAAACAACTGCTGTTAGCTAACCATATTTTATTTTGATGACTAAAGTTTATTATTAAGTGGAATTTTCAATATTTTATATTTATTATATTTCATATTTTTAATGGATTACTTTGAAAGCTAATTGTGCATTTTCGGTAGAAATGATGAGCCAGTTTTTAAATATTTGAAACAAAAGTTATGGTGTTTAAAATGTTATTTTCAGTTGGGATTCAAAGAAACACACTGGCTTTGTTGGCTTGAAGAACCAGGGTGCCACTTGCTACATGAATTCTCTTCTTCAGACGCTATACTTCACAAATAAGCTACGAAAGGTACATTATGCTCATATAATTTATAAAGGCTGTTTTGCTGTCTTGGTATATCTTTTGAAAGGAATAAATATGTTCATGATAAATATATATCCAGGTGTTGGTTCACTACCATAAAGACTGGGAAAAAAATCCAACATAAAATCCCATAAAACTGATAACCTCTTTGGATACCATTTTTTATACTAAAACTTGATATATAGTTACTGCAACTAAGATCTCTGATTGGTCAAAAACTTTTCTTCAACTTTGTCCTAGTTGCCATTGTAAAATTGTATATAAAAATGTCTATGTGGAGAGTATTTGAGATTGTTAAAGCATTTATTATATGTTTAATCATTTCTGTTAACATAATTGAGGCCTTAGAATTTGTTATTGGGATCATGTATCATGTAAGTAAAGTGAAATATACTAAGGTGTATGCTATGTGATATCCATGTCTCAGAAAACCAGATATCAAATGAAGGTTGCACAACCTGTTAGAGGAATAAAAACAAAATGGAAGTAGTGGTTCTATTTTCTCAAGTTCATAAATTTCAAATAGAATGTGCTTACATTGAATAGGCAGTGTACCAGATGCCAACAGAAAGTGATGACTCAACAAAGAGTGTACCTCTGGCCTTGCAGAGAGTCTTCTATGAACTTCAATTTAGTGATAAACCAGTAGGCACAAAAAAACTTACAAAATCATTTGGGTAAGTCTCTCATCACACAGCTTCACAGTCAGGGATGAAATGATAATTAGATAAGGTTAAAGTGACTATTCATTTCTTTGTCATAGAAAATGTTACCTATTTGTGTGTGAAATCAATATTAATTAAAGAAATTTTATTTCATGACTGGTATTAATGTTATTATAACATCATAGTCCAATGTGGGCTCTTGATATCAAAAATTGAAGATCTATGTCCATGTATTCATGTATGATATATTCTATATATATGAAGTTGAAATGTAACAGAAAACAGACTTTAACATATTTTGTACAGTCTAAAAATGTATTAGGTATCATATTATATTCAAAGTGTAATGTTATTGATATTCCAGCTGGGAAACTTTTGATACTTTCATGCAACATGATGTTCAGGAGCTATGTAGAGTGGTAAGAATATTAATTTATCATCAACTTATACTCTTGATTAATTATAGACCTAGCAAAATATTCCGATACATTCTTGCTTGAATTGGTGTCTCATAGTCAACAACTTCTTAACCTGTTTATTTTATTATGGCCCACATTGACCTGGTTTTATAAATGGACTTTATAACTTTATGAGTTGAAAAAAAAATTCTTCTAGTCTGTACTGCTTAATAAACAGATATGTTTATCAACATCTCCAAAAAGATGTATCTGTTTATGCTCTCTTTGTTTTAAGTGCCTGTAAAATAAGTGGGGGGAGTATTGAGGTCATACAATGTTTGATGTTTTCCTCTATAATTGGTGTTGGATTTGATTTTACATTTACACTCATCTATTTTCAGTTGTTAGAAAATATGGAAAGCAAGATGAAAGGAACTGTAGTGGATCAAACCATACCAAGATTGTTTGAAGGCAAAATGCTTGTAAGTAATGAAGGCCAAATTATCTGTAGACTCATGCTGTTGCTTTCTGTAATTGTTGTTTGGCCTGCAACAGAAAGTTGCAGAAACAAGTTTCTTGTGTTACTATTACCACAGCAGTGTTTTCAACATTTCATTTTGAATTGAGCGTTTAAATCTGTTGTGCAAACTGCTTAACTTTAACCAAACTTGGTGTATTCATGTATTGTTACATCACATAGTTAACTCTTCAACACATCCTGTCTTTCAAATTTCAGAGTCCAAAAATACTGAAAATTAGGGATGTTTAGAAGCTGGATTTCAAGAATTTTGCATTTCATTTTTTTTTTTTTTTAGCTCATCTGGCCTTAAGGTCAGTCTAGTGTCAACTTTTCTATTTAAACAACTTCTCAATAACCAGCAGACAAAATATTGTGACATTTACATATAATCCAGGTCATAATTGCCACTGTTAATTTAGAGCTGAAGGTTAGAAGCTAACATTTGTTGTGGAAATTGGTTAGAATTGATTTCATGTGCTCACTTTGAATGCCAATGTTGCATGTGTTAAAGTATTTATGATGAGCATTGATTGGCTATTGATGAACATTGAATATCTTGTGAGCAATGCAGCCCCATTGGCCCTCTTTTTTTTAAATATGCATCAGTATTTAAACATGACAACATATTTATATGCATTATCAAAATTCAGTTGAAACTTTGGTAGGGCTGAGAGACTTAAATTTTATTGTACCATGCTAACAAAGCAGGACAGGCAAGACATATAATAATGCATAATTCTTAATGTTAATTCATAATGAACAGAAAAAAATGCAACCAAGCTTTAAATGTACCCAAAATTATTTATTTATTTCCAGTCATACATTCGATGCAAACATGTGAATTGCAATTCCCAGAAGATTGAGGCATTTTATGATATTCAGTTAAATCTTAAAGGAAAGAAGAATGGTAAGTTATCAATATGAACATGACCTCACCTCTTTGGAGAAGGGGAGATAACATAATGTTGTCACCCTGACCTTGGTGCTTGTTTTCAGTGTTTTAAGATTTTGGCAGACTGAAAGAATTTAGTGCATTGTTATTGTAAGTGGATACTAATATATGGTATTAAAGGCTCTTTTTACTATTGTTTCCAGTCTTATGGGATGGAAAATATGCTTTTTGTCATGTTTTAGGACTACACTTCTCTAATAGTATTCAAAGCACTAATCAATGAAATGCAGTGTGGACAGGTAGGTTTGCAAACATTGGGATATCAAGAGACAATAAACAAATGCCATACTATATCTTCTTCATCTGTGCTGTTCTAAAATAGCACTTGTTTTAATTATGCCCCACCATTTTATCAGAGGGCATGTAGTGTTACTGATGCCTGTCCCATCCCAGCCTAAATCAATTGCATCACTCCAGTCTCTTCACTTCCTATGGGATTTTGACTAAACTTTATACAAAGGTCATATACAGTATTACCTTGGATTGGTTATGTTTCTTGGTTTTAAGATGCTATTTATAGAAAATCATTAATTACTGTATTGTTTGGGGGAGGGGGCTCAATTTCTGTTCTGTTTTTTTCTAAATTCCTATTTCATGGAAACTTGATTTTGTTGATAAAGCTCCGTAAATCTCTGTATACTGATGTTAAAAATTCTTGGACATATGAATTAGGACTACACTAAAAATTAATGAAATCAAAACCTCTATGAAAATGAAAGATTTTATAGTATAAAATCACCTTTCTGTGATGACTTCCTTAAATGTTTTATATGGACTTTGATCTATATTTAAGGTCATTCATGAAAATAACTGATCAGTTTATTTTTCGATGGTCAAGGTCAACATTATTATTTATAGAAAATCATCAAATGTGCTTGTTTAAGTTTTCCCAACACAGATGGAAAATATCAATGAAGTCTTTTTAATTTTGTTTCAGTGATAGAATCCTTTGAAGACTATGTAAAAGTGGAGACACTAGATGGAGAAAATAAATATGATGCTGGAGAGTTTGGACTTCAAGTATAAATTACAATTTAATGTTTGCATTTAGTTTGAAATATATTTCTTGGGTTAAAAGCATTTCACTACATATTTTTCCACATGATTTCTAATCTTAAAACATTTCTTTTAAGTTGTGGCTGTACATGTGTTCGTTTTCATCCAATATTCTGCAAACTTGTTTTGAGTTTTATTGCACATGATTACATAAGTTTAACATATCTTTCTATGAATATTGTGAGGAAATTTATGCTAAATTGGTCATGCTAGTTGTTAATTGTGACTTTTATGAAATGTGTAATTGTTCAATGAAAAAAATGGAAAATTGTGAAAGTTTTAATATTACTATTATATATACTGACTACATGTTGATTTATGTTTTTGCCAGGAGTCTGAAAAAGGTGTGATATTTGTGAGTTTCCCTCCAGTCCTCCACTTACACTTACTGCGCTTCATGTATGATCCCATGGCTGATGCTTATGTCAAGATCAACGATAGGTACTTTCTTCAGAAATTAACATTTATTGTCGCCACAGTAACACTTTGAATGTACATAGCCATCTCGTACATCAATACACCTATGATGCAAGTTTATTTAGTGCTTGCTTGAGTCAAATTTTATGACTGATACACAGACGTACCTATATTTAACGTAGTGGATGGAGCTCATAATTACACTGAATCACTGGGAAATTGGACAGAACACTACACAATTGAGGTCAACATATGTACAAAAAAAATGATTTTATCCAAGCCCTTCATCCTGGTTTCTTGGCAAATAAAAACTTGTTGATAAAATCATCAGTTTACAGTCTCCTGAAACCAAACTTCTGATGAAAGCAAACAGGAGTCTGTTCTGCAGAAGTTTGAAACTTGTTGTGGGAGAATCACATTTGAAAACAGAAAGAAAGAGAACTCATCACAGTGATCATAGTCCCAGGAGGGGATGTGCTGTAGAGGTTCAGAAATATTCAAGTAACATGACTTAAACTATCAATCTTTGTTGTGGCTATTTTGGAATTAATAGTTTCAATGTTATTGATGGCAAACATCATGCTTCAGTTCTGCAATGAGGTATTGACGATGACTAACACTCTTTAGGACCCGCTATTTATGCCCAGTGACAGCATAGTAATGGACAATGTGACTTTCACTATCATAGATTTGGGGAAATGATTCTGAGATATATGTAAATCTTTTTCTGTCACCATATTCACCAGAACTTAATTTGGCAGAATTCTTATTCAAAATGATGTGAGATAGACTGAAGATGAATGCTCTATCATCAGTTTCAGATTTTCATTTGCCAAATATATCATCTCATTGTGAGTATGTTTAGAATGTAATAAGACAAAAATAGCATTTTATTGTTCTCTGTTTATTGTAAATATTATCAAAGGATAAGTGAACCAGAAGCGTTAAGTAAGTATGTCAAGCTCCACCCACCAGTCAGTGACAATGAATGTTTAGACAACCCCTTTAGGGTGTATGATCTAATACACTGGCAACATTACCAAGTGATATGGGTGTACAAGTGACTGTCAGCATTAAAGGTATTATTGTGGTGACTAACATAATGGACAAAGTTCAAGATGCTCTTTTTTTATTTTCCTTTTGTAATTAAGAGTCTTTTGTATTTAGGAGTCAAAAAATTATTATTTTGTTTAATTATTTTTATATCAATACTGATACAATTTTATTTTCTTTTATTTAGATTTGAATTTCCTGAACGGCTGGAACTGGACCAATTTCTACATGAGAAAGAGAAAACTCCTGCCACATACATTCTGCATGCTGTACTTGTACATAGTGGAGACAACCATGGTGGTCACTATGTTGTATATATTAACCCAAAATGTGATGAAAAAGTAAGTACTTTTTCATTTGTCATTGACTTACATTCTTCTACATGTTTATTTCAAAATTAAAATTTTCAGAAAACAACAGTCTGTGGATTTATTGTTTAATTCCTAGTAATGGAACATTGATCTAGATAAAAAATTTCTGATGTAAAAAGATATTGATGATATCATAAGTGTAAAATTTGATTTCAAAGCATTAAATGATGAGGTTTTCAGAATTCTTCAGAAGTGTACAGGGTATGTATTGGCAGTTTGAAATGAAATTGTAGTTTTGTGGATGATATAGACAAGGCTGTTATAGTAAATATCCCACACAAGGACTTAGGCTTTGTTTAGGGGAATCACCCATAAAATTTAAGATAATATGAATCCCCAGTCCATGATATTTACATATCAAATTTGATTCAAGAGCTTGTTCCCAATATCACAATTTGCAATGATGTTGTCAACTGACGTACTAATCAATAAAAAAAGATTTCATTAGTTGCAAGATGAACATTATGAGGGAGTTTTATGGTTATCATAATGATCCCATTGAGAAGAAGTAATCTATTTCCTTGTGTGATATGAAGTCGGAGGTGTTTATTACTTGTGATTTTGTTGATTACCTTGTTCTGATTTTGGAACATGACTATACTTACTTACTGAGTTTTACCAAGATTCTCATGGTAGGTGTTGCAGATGAAGCAAAAATGCTTACTTTTCCTGAAAACCTAGTCTTATTTACATTGTACTTTTTTAGGGGTTAACATATGTTTATTTAGCTCCTATTTTGCTGTAGTTTTATCAGGTTTTAGTTTGAATCAAGATTCTATTGACATGCCAGTATTTTCTTTCTTGTTTTAAAGGTAATAGACAGGAAACCAAACCGTTGATTGAAGCGAGTCCTGGTATCATGTAGATGTTCACTTGAAATAACCCTAAGAATTTGTCTCTTTTTTGTTGTAGTGGTGCAAATTTGATGATGATGTTGTGTCCAGGTGTACAAAGCAAGAGGCCATTGATAATAATTTTGGTGGACATGACGATGAGATTTCTGTGAAACACTGTACAAATGCATATATGTTGGTGTATATACGAGAGAGTTGTATAAGTAAGTTATAAAGAAATGTCTGAAGTATAGCCATTTTATGAGAGGTTCAGTTTTGAATATTCTCTGCAATCATTTACCAATGCTGTGACATCTACTTTGATATAGTATAGGATGAATGTATCCAAATTTCTTGTGTTTCATTTATGATATGATGTTTTGGTTGATACTAAAATTACACAATCAGGTATTGAGTTGTTGAGGCCAAAAAGTGTTTAACCCTTCATCTATAACTTAATCATAAAGCTCCAAAAGTGTCTCGTCACAGTCTGGTATACATCATCATTGATAAAATAACATCCAGATCTCAAATATAAGTTATCCTTTGAATGATGATTTGTCACATACCAGGTATTGAAATCATGTCGCATAACATACTCTAGAAATGTCTTGATTTTTACTTCATTTTTATGTCCTGAATTTTTTTTTGTTTTGTTTCACCTGCCAATTAGGCTAAAAGGTGTACATAATATTGTCTGTGATAAATATTTTTTAGAAGATATCTCTTGAACCCTGGACAAGATTTGGTTCATATTCACGCTATGGCATCATAACACCCAAAGGTCTACCGAAGGTTTTAGTGGTCATTGGTCAATATTTAAGGTCATAGGTTAGCCTTGACCACTTAGGAAGTAAAAAGCTTGTGTGCAAGATATTTTATGAACCCCTGAATAGATTTAGTTCAGATTCACACCATAGCATCACAACAGGGTTTACACATGATTCATTTTATAATTTCAGTCAATAATAATGAAAGTCAAAGGTCACTCCCACTGTTCATGGATCAATGAACCCAACAAAGCAAAAGAAATTGGCCACTATTAATCATTTTGCAAATAAGATCTTGTATAGAAATTTGTCAAAATAATGATACTTAAATGCATGGAAAAGAAAGCATTCATGTCTTATAGATATTATCCAGTTTCAGTTTATTCAAGAGCTATGACTGAGGTGGGTGGGAGGAGGTCGATACTAGGAGTTGTTTCTCATATCTTAGCTTTGTTTCGATGGAAGTAAATCAAATGAATGTAAGAGAAAATAATTGTTAAGTAAGAAATGTTTTCAATAAAAATATGATTGGTTATCTTTTATTCTTCCATGATTTCTGACAGATAAATATTCTGTTTAATATGCTGACTTGCACAAATATTTATTGGTTGTTACCTTTTGCCATTTCAGATGAGTCTTTACATGGTATGAGTGATTCTGATATTCCACAATGCTTAATTGATAGATTAGCAGAAGAAAGGTAAGAAGTCACACCTTTACCGTATGTTTGTATTACTCAGATCAAAATTGAGATTACATAGTCAATTAATTAAAAAACTTAATGTCTAGTAAATCTTTATTTGGTTTGTGAATAATATAAACAAATTATTGATGTTGACCTTATCTGAGGTTCACAGTTACAGATTCAGTCCCCTTAAAAGTCTGGATGTGAATACATTGTTTATATTGGACATCATGTGTTGATTAATTTCCAGACGTATGGAAGTGCAAAAGAGAAAAGAGAGAACAGAAGCACACTTGTATATGAATGTTCAGGTTGTGACAGAGGACCATTTCTATGGTCACCAAGGCAATGATCTCATGGATCTGGAGAAAGCCAACTTCAGGTGAGACTCGTATTCCTTTATATGGCCTGATTAGGTTGATTATTTTTTTGGTAAAAAGACGATACCTCAAACTCTTCAGGACTATAAGAATAATATGAGGGATACAAGGTCTGTGTATATGAGTAATGAGGAGTTGGTTCTGCTCTGCTGGGTATGTGAATGGCTAGAGTATCGGAGTGACATATTTGATACATTTCTCTTTCATCTTCAAGAAGACCAAGATTAGCTGCATTTATATTAGTTTCAACACTGTTTGATCTGAAAATGCATATATACTGTCATCTTGCATGACATCACCTTGACGTACAAAAGTGTTGCTGCAGAGAAGACTTCAGTACTTTCATATATCTGTTCTCTGCTATGTTGAATTTATGGAAAGACAAAACTGAATGATTTTGATAAAAGACAGATTATTGTCATGTTACACTGATAAAACCAATTTATTGATAAAATTTAATTTGCCTACTTATGAATATGAATGGATGGAAATAAAGCTAGAGCTAGATGCATTATATTTTGAGAAATGCATTCAAGCTTGTGTGAAAAAGTTATGATCAGGACCAAGTAATGAGTTCGACAAATAGAGGGTATTCTGTTATTTGTTTGTATTATGAAACTATTTATTAGGCATTGTTATATGGTTATACACCAGATCTAACTTGTCATTAGTCTAATGCAGATTTTTTTCCCCTTTTTGGTCTGTTTAACAGCAGGAAATTCAAAGTTAAGAAATCATCCACTCTTTTAGAATTCATGGAAATGCTTGCAGAAAACCTGGTAAGTCAGGGGGATAGGGGTATATAGAAATATTTTTCTGTGTTTATTCTCAAATACATTTGGCTATATACATTCATAGCTTTCAAATTTGCAAGTATGCCAACTTTTCATTGACGTAAACTGACTTCAGGCCTCTGATTCACCTTTAATAGTGACTATTCTTCTTCATCATATGGATTGGAACATTTTGACAAACTTATTATCATTAACGTTTTTTTCTAAGAATTATAGTTATTTATTTAATTATTCATATCTGTTCTACTTGACACAAGTTGTAAGTAGGGGAACAAGACAAAAGTTTGGAAAGTTTTATGTCAGGTGTGTTGTTATGAAAATCTTTAACCCTCTGATTAATATGTTTCAATAAATATTGTTTTCTTTTTCAATCTATCAGGAGTTCTGTTCAGGACATCATTTGATATTGTTATATTTTATGCAATTCATCAATATTCCTTTTTACTTTTAAACATTCATTTTTATTATGATATAACCATGTACATATAATAATAGTAGAACATTTTCCTCTACAGAAATATCCCGTGAACCAGCTGCGACCATGGCCATTTCAATGCAGGCAGAATCAAACCTACAGACCAACTCTGATTGATGTGGAGTCAAACCTTCAGAAAACAGTATGTGCAGATGCTTTAACTAATGGTCACTTGAAGATGTATGGATAGGAGACTGCATGATTCAATATATCAGATGCTCGTTGTATGATGTATGAAATGGTAGATTATTTATGGTTCATACTCACATTTTACAATGTTTTCAAACTCAAGGTCATAAATTTGACAATGTTATGAAAATTTGTGTTTTAGATACAAGATGTAGCTGACAATGAAACTCCTTGGACACTGTTTGTTGAAACACTAAACCCAGAGAGTGGACTTCAAGCTCTTCCCAGTTTTGATAAAGAAAGTGAGTGTACTAAACTCATGAAGTGGAGATGATACTATTAAATATTTAAATTATTTGTTGTTTAATGTAAAAATGGTTGATATACAATATTGATTAATCTTTTTGTTTTATGATTGAATTATTTTGCTTTTGATGATTTTATATAATGGATGAAGTTGAAACTTAGACAAATTCAAGGAACTGCAATGCATTGTCTGAAGATTTTCACTTATGTGTGTTTATATATTAAGCTAACATTTCACAAGTTTACTGTTTAACACTAGATTACTGATTTTGCAAGTCTACATAGAATTATAATCCCACCGATTGATTGTTTTCATGGGCTATGTTGGAAATAATCCTTTACTTATTTAATTTCATTACTTTTTAACATTGTTTCAGTGTTGCTGTGGAGTTTTTCAGTATTCACTGATGTTGATAATTACACCAGACAATTTTGGACTGGTATGATTGACTACTGTGCGAAATTGATGATTTTTCAATTTTTCGTTTTTCATTAACAGGTGATGTGCTTATCTTTCTGAAATTGTATGACCCCAGATCAAAGACAATATCCTATTGTGGTCATACCTATGTTCCGATCTCTGCCAAGACATGTAAGTCTTTTGATTTATCAAATTATTTGGGTTTATAACTTTTAACCAGTTAACTAGTTTTTTGACTCGAGGATCATGAACTTTCATGAACTTGTTAAAAAACATCATTAACTGAATTATCAGACATAGTTTTGGATCTCAGTATTCACATTGATAAGCCCTTTGAATCACCACTGATAAATTCTCCACGTTTATTTTCACAAATTGGAATTTGATTTCATTTCATAGATACTATTAAAGAGCATCTATGATGACATTTAGAGATTTTCTTTACTTCCTTGCTCTTTTCATACCTTTTATGAACACAAAGTTTTTAATGTGATGAGATGATGACTGAATGGCTTGTATTGCAGCTGAGCTGTTGCCAGATTTGTGTAGGAGAGCAGGTTTTCCAGTGGGCACACCCTTACTGTTATTTGAGGTAACTTAATTACATAAGTAATTTGAGATCTAGTGTTCCCTGTTCGTTCTCCTTTGTGTTTTGAACCATGGAGGCAGGGCAGGGGGTTATAGTATAATTCTATCTATGTATTCCTGAAGGAGGGTCATTGAAACATTTGAAAACCAAGAGGGGTGGTGGTGGTGGTGTTGTACCCTGGGTAATGGAAAAGGGAAACACTTGGTGAGCGGTAAAGTTATATTATTGCATTTGACATCACTAAAATTGTTACTTCCTGGTAGTAAAAATAACTCAATGAAATATTTAATCTTTTATTGTGTGTTAGGGCCTCTGTACAATGTTTGACATTTTAAGTCACTTGAGACCAGGCTATTGCAATTGTCTTTTGTCCGGCATCATGCATGGTGTGTTGCGCATCACACCTCGTAAACAATTTTTCAAAACTTTTTTTAATAACAAAATGACCCATCTGTACATAACATGTAACATCTGGCAATAATTTGATTAGGAAGTGAAACCAAACATGTTGGAAAAGCTAGAAGACTATGATCTGCCCATAGAGAAGATGTTGGATGAGCTGATGGATGGTGATATAATAGTATTCCAGAGAGATGAAGCAGACCTCCAACAATACCAACTCCCGTCCGCTAGGGACTACTTCAAGTAAGACAAAAAACTCATATTTACTGTCTTGTTAAAGGTCATTATGGGAGAATTCTAGGGCTAGAGATAAATGCTCATTAGAGAACGTATCTTTTTCTTTAAGTCACTTTCAATAATTGAGTAATTAAATCCCTGACAAACTTCATAAATTGATGAAAGGTTTTCTAACAAAATCATTTTGCTGAATTGAAGATTTGTTATTTTGTAGAGACCTGTATTATAGAGTAGATGTTACCTTCTGTGATAAAACTTTACCAAATGACGAAGGCTTCACGCTTGACCTGTCTATGAGGATGAACTACGACCAGATGGCCAATGCTGTAGCTCAATACCTTGGAACAGACCCTTACCTTCTACAGTTCTTCAAACCACAGAGGTCAGTAATAAAGTGTATTGATAAAGAAATTTTTATACATAGTGTGTACCAATGCAATACTACTTATTATGCCATAAGTCTGCAGTGATTCCTCCTAGCACATTATTTTGATCTTGATCATCATTTTTTCTAGTACTATCATTGATGTAATCTGTTTATCATTTCATCTATTTGGAGGTTTAAAAAACAGGTATTTGCATTTTGATTATTCCCTCTTCAGGCAAGAAGGTGAGGGCTCTCACACCCCATTTTGGGACTGTGGCCTGGGGCCCTTAGAATCGGGAAAAATAGCGGCGTTTTCCTTAGAATTGGGAAAACTTGGGGTCTAACCCGGGAAAAAAAGATACTATTTTGCATTGGGAATATTCGGCCCCAAATCTGGCAGGTCGAGAGCCCTGAAGGTACTTCTTCTGAAATTAGTAGTCAATTCCTCAATCCTCAACACCAGTTGAGGGACAGATGACTGGTATGGGGCCATAGTGCACTCCATATGATAAGACATTGTTCTACATATCTCGGTTGACTTGATGAGACATGATATTGTTGATTATTTCAGAATTGTCGAAAGAAGTATTAATATTTTTACTTGTTTACAGCTACAGAGAAGGTCCAGGAAATGCCATAAGATGTACATTTGAAGGGAACTTAAAAGACCTTCTTTTATACGCAAAACCAAGGCAGCCTCGGAAACTGTATTATCAACATGTAAGTGTTCATTGTGATTATCATTCTTTTAACATGTTTGTTGTAACCATCATTTCAATATTTTCAGTGGTCAGTGTTTTGGTTATGCTCTCAGTACATGTCTTTGCTTTGGTTGAACATGAATTTTTTATTGTGAAATCGAAAACTTCTGATTTCATAAGTACGTTGGACCATTGATAATCCGGACACTTCCTTTCCCAAATTGTCCTGATTACCGAGTTTAGTCAGCTGGTCATAATAATCAGAGTTAACTCCTTTGATTACATGGCAGTTAAGTCAGCTGTATTATACATATGATTGCTTGTTTTGTGGAAATAGTATTTACTGTGAATACAGTTCTTTATAAATGTCTCTCATAGTCCAATAATGTTCATTTTTCTAAATAATGGTTTATGAATTAAAATTTCTGAAGCGGATGTTAAAAATATGCATAGCTTACAGTGTATTTACATGTGTTTTATGTCAATGCAGATGCAAATTCCCTGATGAATAAGACCATTTGTTGTCATCAGGAACATGATTGACAGAAAGAAGGGCATAATTCAATACAAAGAAAATTCAAACATTGTAGACTTTTGCATTTTGATATTTTCTGTTACCAGCAGTTGTACTATTTTCCATAAGTAGAGTGCTTAATATGACGTTCTGTAGATTGTTTTCCTTTGGACTATATTTTGTGATAGTGTAGTTGAGGTCATGATTCAGCTTTTAGGGTAAAAAATTTCAATGTCTTTCATTTTCTATGGTACTTGTCAAGAGTGTTACTCTGGAAGTTTCAGATAATATTCAGCAAAATTTTACAGGAATCATTATCACAGATTCGAAGAAAAAAAAACAGTCTGTTTCTTGAATGCTATACTGGCAATGATATGGCAGCAGTTGCTATGACTACACAATGTCTAGCAGTATGCTGTACACCTCTGGTATGGTTGATTGAACACAACAAATTTTCTTGATGTGTAACCAAAAATTTCATGAATATGGGGGAAATATTACTTTGTTAAGTCCATTCTGTTTCCTAAAAGTATTTCCATAAAAACAATCCACATGGCAACTAATTTCCAGGTTATCAGTGATTAGATCATCAGTGGTGATCAGATTATGAATGGTTCACTGTAAATCAGAACATGATTTCTGATGTCAATGAATTTAATGTTTTCCTTGCAAAAATATTTGTTTTTCTTTATAGTAGACTGATCTTCTCTTTCACTTCTCTTTCTAGTTAAACATTAGGATTAACGAACTAGAGAACAAAAAGCAATTCAAATGTACCTGGGTGAATAGCAAAATGAAGGAAGAGGTAAGTTGATTAGATTTGTCATGAACTTGATATCATTGCTGATTGCTGAAATTAAGTATAGCAGTGTTATTATCAAAGTGAAATATAATGAGATGGATGTTGTATCACAGGTCATACTTCTTGAAAACATCTGTCCCAGTTATGATATAGATAAATACCTGTGACCATTTTCATACCCTACTGCATTGCTTTCTGTAGAAAATTGGTTTTCCTTCAATATATGTTTAAACATGGATTTGTCTTCTCATATTTGTAGAAAGAACTAGTCCTTTATCCAAACAAGAATGGCAATGTGGGAGATCTTCTTGAGGAAGCAAAGAAGCAAGCAGAACTATCTGACGATGGCTCTGGCAAACTTAGGTAAGTACTGCTAATGAAATTTTCTCATGAGTTAATGGCATTTGGATTACAAAAGAAATTTAGAGTTTGTATTTCATCATTGTAGACTACAAATTGATTTAAGGTGTAGTAAGCATACATATTCATTTGTAATAGTAGTTATTGGTGTGTTGTATGTGTGGTACTAACAGCTTCTTCTAAATTAGAATTTCACTAAAGCAAGTTCCTGTATATTGTTCATTGTAATTGTTATGTTGCAATTCACCATGGTAGTGTTTGGATATAATCTGATGATTACCTAAAAAAATCAGACCTCTAGGTGTTATCACTGACCTACATTTGATAAATATTGAGCTATATAGGGTAAATTCTGATTTACTTATATTTAATTATTCATTTCAGGCTATTAGAGGTGATCAGCTACAAAATCTACACAATACAGAGAGAGGAAGCCTTCTTGGATGCCCTCAATCCTGCCGGTGCCACGAAGAGCTATCGAATCGAAGAAATCCCAAAAGACGAGGTGCGGCTTGGAGATGATGAAACACTTATTCCAGTAGCACATTTCCATAAGGTAAATAAAGGTTGACTGTTCTTATACTGCATTGAATTCTAATTTGGACTGTTTCAAATGTTTGATTTCAAAGAAAAGAAACCTTTGATTATCAAATAAACAAATCAGAAGACTTTGTAGTGTTGTGCAACTTGCTCAGATCAATTAAGTTTAAATATTTCCACATAAATATATGCTAAGATTTCATTGTTGGTTGTGTATATAAGCATGTCAGGTACAGCTGAAGGGCAGAAGGTGCAGTTCTTTCAATACAAATGTCTGAATATGTAACAGTAAACCTCAATATTTCACATGTTTATTCTTCTGTTTCCTAAATAGAAGGGATTCTTTGTTATTTTCAGGGTGTACATTTTTTCAATTTACATGTAAATCCTCCTATTAAAATGTATTGGGGGGGGGGGGGGAAATGATGTGAAAATGCTAAATTTTCATTTGATTTAGTGAGCTTAAACCTGCATAGCAGTGGTAAAGTGAAATTTTTGAAAAATGGATTCAATTCCTTATTTTATTAAGATTTTAAGACTTTACACTTTATAGGAGAATTGATAATTTTTCATGATTTGAAAAAGAGGATATTTTCAGATACGAAAAATCAAAGAATGTGGCCCACTAACTGACGATTCACTCATTTGAAATTTGTGATTTACGATGACAGTTGATGCACATTTTAGTTGAAATCTTATCAAGACTGTGAGAGTTATACCATGGAGACCTTTAGAAAATTAACCTAGTAATAAAAATGTTATTTTTATTATCATTTTAGGAAGTCTTCTCAACATTCGGTGTGCCATTCTTACTAAAGATTAAACAGGTAACTATTCTGAGAGGTCAAATATAAAGAAAATTAATCTTTTGAATGGAAATACTTTTGAGAAATATTGAAAGGGAATTTTTGAATTGTCAAACTTTTGAATCAATAAATCAATATTTGTTAATTAATTCCAATGAGTGTATTAATGCATGCTAATGCTCAGTTTCTGGTCAATTAAACATACACTATTTCTCTGCCTTCCTTTTAGAATGATACCTCAATATGATTTGTAAAATTCTTTTATTACCAGGTGTCATTACAAGTCATTGGTAAATGAGAGTAGTAGTGAATAAATGTATCTGAGAATAGCATTGTTCTGTATGTGTTGATTTGTAGAATGAGCCCTTCTCAGCGGTGAAAGAAAGAATCCAAAACAAGATGGATGTTCCAGACAAAGAATTTGAAAAGGTAAAAATATGCTGGACATATTGTAAAATTAATTGCTAGACAGTGAAGATTACATTTTATTAAAAAAAGGTTTGACTTGCTTGAAAATGACATTTTCTTTCACAAATTAGTAATTAGGTTTCCTAGGTCTATAGTTGTGCCATTTTGATTTTGAGACTGAAAAGAGAAAAAAACTCAGATAGGTGAATATCTTGAATTTTTACTCTGAAACTTTGTTATCGCTTTTTCTTGAGAAATACTGGATGCATCATTCAAGAATTTCATAAGTTACCATCTTTGATTTGACAGTTGAAGATTATTGAGGTTATTTCTTAGAGGAATTCTCAAATGTCATATAATCAAGACTATTACTAGTAAAGGCGATTCCAGAATCAAATATGTCGGGGTAGATGAATTGTCTTTTTTCGGGTAGTTAGGACAACACTAAAATGCATTTTATGTGTTAATGCTGTTTTGTCTTCTGTTTTTAAACATCAATATTAAGCATGTTTATGCATGCAGATATAGGAAATATTTTGCAATCTTTTTCAGACAGGAAAAATATACTGACATTTTTTATATCAATTTTTTTGAATGACAATTTTTTTGTGCAGAGAAGCATCATGTGAAAGGAAACAGAATGAAATAAAATTTTGTAGGGAGTCATGTGATAATGGAGAAGGAAATTCTGTGGGAGTTGCTTGATGTAACAAATTAAATTGTGTAGATTATAAGATTTGACAATCCCCCCCCCCCCTCCAACACATTTAATTCTGGAACAGCCCTGATAGGAATGGAGAATAGAATGGGAAATGTTCAACTTTTAAAGACCAAATGAAGATCAAATAATAGTGGGTGCTAAGATTCTCCGGGATCTTATGGTATAATCTAATGTACATGTAATTGATTCACCAGTAATAGGAAAGTTGATATAACACTTATGTAGGTAGTAGCATATGAAAAACAGAATACAAAGAATGAGATAAAAATTGTTAGCCTGTTCCAAATTGCTGTGAATTCATTTTTTCAGTACAAGTTTGCAGTGGTGGTAATGGGAAGAGTGGAGTACATATCAGATGACGACCAGGATATGAGAGTAGATCTGACGGTGTTCAAACCTCACGCTATACAGGGTAGGGTTATTTTTTATGCTTACTTATTTGAGGGCCATATGGAGAATTTTCTCAATATATCTCCTAGAGTATCTGTTCCTGGAACAAATACTGATTGTATTTCAGATCCTATATGATTTTCTAGATTACATTATATCTTATGTACTTTAGAATGAATTATCTATTATGTCAGTCTGCTTCGAAGTGACTTGCATGAATTTTCTTATCTCAGTGTAAATCCAATGTTTTTATGATATAAATCCAGTCCATTGATACTAATTAATCAACTCTTTACATTAAGGATTGAGAAAAGATACCGATTGCCCTTTATAGAAAAATTATGTTGGAATTACCTGGCACAGTTTAGGATTTTCTTCTGAGCTCTAAGCTTGGGTTTGACATTCAACTTTAAGTGTGTGAAGTTAACATTTTTACTGCTAGTCCAATAACTGTACCATGATATATATTTCTCAGCACTGTTGAGCTTTAAACAGTCCCGTCATTTGTACAGTCCATAGCTGACCTTAACTGTGGCTAAGTCATCAAATCTTCAACTTCATACATTATCCCTGTCAAATAAGTCTGCTTAAGTCTACTTAGTAATCATATTTACCCCTTGGTATATGGCTTCGTCAAGGGTATTCATCTTAGGCAACTACCAGATGATGGGCTATTCCAATCCTCCTATGTCTGATGTCAGTTGTTCATCCATCCTTAAACAATTCTTGTTATCACTTTTGCTTGAGAAGTACTGAATGGATATTTCTTGACTTCATCTGTAGATTTCCCTTGGTCTCGAGTTGTGTTTGTTTTATTTTAGGACTGATAAAAACCAAGAAATAAAATGTCTGACATGCAACCCATTTTGGATTTTGACAATGAAAGTTTGTTATTGTTATTTCATGAGAAGCATTGGATAGTTTTTTCTCATATTTTATATATAGGTTTACCTTGGTCCCTCATGGTGCCCTTCTGATTTTCCAACTGACTCGTATAACAAAATGATTGGCAGGTGGCCATCATGTGTTTTGATTATGAAAGTTTGTTATCACTTTTTCTTGAGAAATACTAGATAGATTTGTATGAACTTTCTTATGAAGGGTACTCTTGGTCCCTAAATGTGCCCTTCTGATCTTGGGACTGATCAGAAGATTAAAATCGCTGATGGGTGGTCATCTTTGATTTGGAATTTAAAGATAATTATCACAATTTCTTGTAATTAAAAGAAAAAACAAATGAAAGAATATGAAAGAAAGAAAGGAAAAGAATAAACTTTTAGAATAACATTTAAAGGTCAAAAAGTGGTGGGTGCCAAGATCCCGCTTGGATCTCTTGTTGTGGTTGAATGCACATCATGGTTACACTCATTCTCCATGTTCAGAAATCTACTTCATAGTCATTCTTGGTGTTACTGAGGAGTCAATTAATGTTGGTTCACAAAGGTTAAAATGAAGCAACCTTTAAGTGATCCTTTTAATACTTTGAATTGTCTTATTATTACAACAGAAAGTATAAAATGTTTAAGATAAGATGCAATATTTTATTTCGTCATCAGATTACTGAATATGGAAATACTGACAAAAGGTGAAATACATAGTGTTGTTTACTTTGTATGATCTGTCTTTATAGGTGCAAACATGCAAGCTAGACCATGGCTTGGATTAGACCATGTCAACAAAACACCAAAGAGATCTAGGTATGCCTATTTGGAGAAAGCCATCAAGATCCATAACTAGATGTCAATGTTTGGATTTCTGGTCATTTTCATCATTTTTCCACTGCTATCTATGGACTTTCAGCAAAGTTGAAGAATGCAGACAGTAGATAGTAGCTTAAAAGCAAATGTATTGTTAGCCCAGACAAAAGCTTGTGTGGTGTGCTGGTCAGCCACAGAGAGGTAGGCCCTAGTATTATCCAGGGTAATATTGCAGAGAGGAGACTACAGCAGGTCCCAGGGATGAGTTGGCAGAGTGGGCTCCAGGATAATCTTTGGGATGAGTAGGGAGAGCAGACTTGTCCAAGGGAAAAGAAAGGAGAACAAATTCCAGGATTGCCCATTAAACGAATTGGGAGAATGGGCTCCAGGATTGTCCTAGGGAAGAGAAAGGAGAACCAGTTCCAGGATTGTCCAGGGGATGAATGGGAAGAGCAGGCTTCAGTGTTGTCTAAGGGACAAAGGACGAGCTATATTACTGTATCCTGTCTCACAACTTACTAAACTAAGGAATAAACACTGCAGTCCTGGCCTTGCCTGGTGTGAGACAAGTGAAAGGTTTAGATGACATATATATAAAGCAGGGTACCTATACTTGGGTGTCCTAAATACCTACTGATTCCTACAGAATGGATCTCCAACTCTTCAAACTTGTGCATAGAGTCGCATATTGACTTGTGTGATGTAATGAAATACTGATATTCTGTATACATGGGTAGTATCTTTGTTGACAAAATGATATTTAAGAATAAGCAAATTCATTCCATTTTAAAATGAATTAATCTTATACTCATCCTTGTAGCACATGTAAATTCCCACCACTACATGTGTATCCTTCTCTGAAACACTATACTGTACCGTTTACTGATGAGTTCAGTGCACTCAAATTTTGATGATGTGTCAGACTTCTTAAATATTGTGATCAAGGCCATCAGAATATGCAAATCAAACCAAACTTGATACAGTTTACCTGTTATGTAGATGTTGACAATTTAGGTTTAGTTTGCTTCTGCTTTTGGTGACATCATCAACAAAACTTTGAAATATCATGGTAAAGATTGCAAAAGATTGATGTGTGCAATACTATGTCACAGAATGAATTAAACCTCTCTCCTATTTAGTATGTGTTCCATTGTGATGCTACTGTTTCGTGGTAAAATGTGCTATTCAAATGTTTAAACCATTAACATAGACCAGTCCAGGTGTTCAGGTTTCATCATCTGCCTATCTGACCCAACAAACAAATACTGAGTTCAAAAATTCTAACAAATAGCTTCCACGAAGATACATTACAGATTACACAAAGACATTGAAATAGCTGGTTGAAATCTTATTTTATTGAAAGCGAAAGATTTTTTTCAGTATAACTACCTGTTAGTTACATCTCAGCTTATAACAGTAATTATTGGTTGTTAAAAAAAAACTTCAATTAAACGGTAATTTTCATAGGATTTTTTTTTAGGGAAGTCCAGAACACAAATTCCAAAATATTGGTGAGTCGCAATACCAAGAGACCTAGTGGGTTTTCAAAATTTGAGTGAGTCCAACAGGAAAAGCATGAGTCAAAAACTCCATTATCTGAGTCCCAAAAATCACTGATTTAATGTTTGGAAATAACTTACCTTTGATTTTAATTATTACTCTCTTGTGTACATTTTCTACAAAAAAAGACTATTTAGATTATAGATAAGCACAATATATTGTGATATTTTGCAATATCACCATGTATCTCAATATATTGCAATATGAAAACTATTTGCAATACCCACCCTTAATACAGTCCAAAGAAATAGAAAAATACTTCCAATGAGTTGGTCATATAGAGCCATGGCCAGTCTACATAGAGTGCATTGGTGGAAACATTGTCAGGACTATCAAAGTCTGGACAGGCACCTTTTGGGGTTTTTAGAAAACAAGTGAATAGTCTGAAATATGATGTTATAAGCAAGTAAATAATTCCTTGATGTTAAAATTGAATTAATATTGGCCTTTTTCAGTATTTTGTGCAAAATGTGCCATATCCAGATCGATCAAACTCTGGAGAATTGAACAGTGAACTTTTTCTTGTGCTTCCCCCCCCCCCCCCCCCCCCCAACCACTGTCCAAAAGTTTTTAAAAAAAATCTTTTTAGAAATCAGGATTTTTATTTTCCAACTGTGAACTGGATGCAATATTGCTGATGTATTTAACTTTGAAGCCAACATATCAAGTAAGTATTACAGTTGGGAGCTTTCACATGAAAAGTCTTTTGTAAATATTTGGTTGTGAATTAGACAGTTGAATGGTGTAGCTATGACTGCCTTATTTTGTTATCACAATAGATCTGATTTTTTGGGGGGCATTAATGATAAAATTCTTCTATCACTTCAAAAATATAAAATAAGAAATGAATATCAAGGAATTTCTGAAGTTCTACTTAGCTAATATGGCCCAGAGTGCATACATGGATCTGTTGTATGATATGAAAGCATGTGTAGATGTTTTGAAAGAATTTTGTAATTTTGATTTTGGCTCAGTCAATCAACTTCCAGGCCTCAATTTCTGAAGTAGACTTGGGTGATCTTGGCCCTTTTTCATTATAAGTAAATTCTGCTGCTTTCTCTTTAAATATATTTGACAAATGATTCACCAAATGATACAAAGTACTTCTGCAACTGATAAAAATTTGTTTTCAGTGAAAAGTGCTTGACCTGATGAATTGAGATATGTATAAACATGATCTTTAAGGAAGCCAAGTGATCATCAGTGCAGCACACAGTTGACAAATTTATATAGATTTTTAGCTTGTGAGTGATTCTGTGTATATGGCAGCAAGTGACCATTAGAAATTCTGTAGAAAGAAGATGAAAACAACAACTACCAGGTATTCTTGTTTTCAGGTACAGGATGATGAGAGAGTTGATCTTTTATGGTGTAGGTCCATGATAGTGTTAAACAGTTAAAATGTATTTTACTTACACTTGTAATTTAATGACTACAGGTCTATGTGGGGTTCCATTTAATTTCATTTGAACTGTTTGATTGATATGACCTGCTAATGTTGTGCTAATAACTTTCAGAGATACATTAATTCAGTGAAAATTAATCACTGTGAATCTGTTTTTCATAGTTTTGAATTGAGATGGGGTAAAATGCAAAGATTCATAGCTACAAACTGGTCTGATTTGATGAAAGTATGAATCATTAGCAAGTTTGTTGTATAGGCAAATAATTTTTTTTTTTTTTTATCTCTGCAGTTGCTCACTTTTACTTGCTGGCATAACATTGATGTGTTTGTAAAAGCAAGGGTAAGTGACTGGTCAGTTAATTAAGAGAAAACAGTTATTCAAATATTATTAGACAGCTACACAGATTGAAGAACAAGTTTGTTTTGCTTCATTCTGTATTAACTGGCATGTGATATTGGTTAGCTAGTTGATATCTTACATAATAGAAAACAGACATGTTTTTGGCTGCCAAATATGTGTTGCTATCTGAATAGGTTTGGATGGTGCAGTGATAACACTGTTTTTCACCTAGTTGGCTGGGGTTTTTTATTTAGGGAGGTTCATCTTTTGACAGTTAACCAGCAAAATCCCAGAAAACCTTGCATCACCATTACCGTATATAGAAATTTGGAGATAGTTTAAAAGTTCAAAATTAAAAAAAAAAAGATTCAAATTAGTTAAAAAGTTAATTAAATAGTTACTAATTTTCTAATTTAAAAAAAAAATATTTTGAATTAATTTTCTAATTTTGAAAAAGTATTGTTTGAAATTATTCACAACTGTAATGCAAGTAGCAATTAAAAATGAACAGTTAACAAACTTAACAATTATTTCATTTCTGTTACAAATATTTGGGCTGACCTTGGGTCTAGGGATGGCTGTACATAAAGCTGTTTTCAGTTTCATCTTTACCCAAATTTTGGAGCTCTGGAAATTAATCATAATGTTGTAGTATGTTTAGCCCATGGGTATCAAGATATATACCTGTTAAGGAGGTGATGTTCCTATCCTCGTAGATAATTCAAACCTTTCATGGTATCCTGTTATGTTGACTTGTCATGATGAAGTACTTCATGATTTTACTGTAGTATCTAGCTATGTAACATTTTAATTTATGGTTTTATGTTGGCGTGTAAAGATATTTTTGAAAACTTGATGTCAACTTCTAAGATTCGCTTGTTTCCTTGTACAATGATCTACAAAATTTCAACACTTTATTTAAGAGTCAATTGATTCATTGTGTTCATAATGAGAAAATTTGATTTTATTAAGATACCACTTCAGTTAAATGATTACATGATGGACATTATTAGACTGATTTACAATGAGTAAAAAGAATGGCACTGCAGAAAAAAACGCTACCTTTTATCTAAGCTGCGAGGGTTAAGAGCTCCCCAAAAGGACATGGAAAAGTATGGGGTCACTTGTCTGACCATGTGAGCTTTCTGTGAGTACTCCAGTTTTTGCTGACATTAAAACAGCCTGCACATTACCATCTGGGCCTACAAGAGTAATTATTTTAAACTAATAGACTATTTTTTCTTAAATATTGTAAAATGAAGGAAGTTTAGTTTTTAAAAATAAGAGAGATTAAATTAAAAGCAAATTTAGAATGTATCAAAATGTACATAAAGGTGCCGATTATGTTGACTTGTTTATAGGACATTTTTAATTTGCTATGTTGTCAAGACAAGGTGTTTATGTGATAATCCATACATTATGTCATGGTGCACTTTATAATTATTGTGTCTACAACATGTGATACATGATATTAATTGACGTTCAATTGTCTCGATATTCAGTCAGTAACTAAATGCCACCGTACATTCGAGAGAAAAAAATCCAACATGAACTTGTATGTTTAATTACTCTGCATGTTTAATTCCATTGATGGAAATTGTATATATATATTGGCAATTATTTTAAAATCTTCAAGTTAAAGATAATAATCCCAATTGTTTATTGTTTAGATAAAAGGTGTTGTCCCCTCGTTTTCCACCTTTAATCACTATTGTTATAAAGTGCTGTCTATGCATGTGATAAGCTAGTCCTTGTTAAGGGTATGTCTGGTGGGCAAACATTACTCAAACAGTAGTTGAATACTACTTTTATACCATTACTGTGCAGGTAGTTAATGCTTACCTCTTTGTATTTCTTAATTATTACTTGGAATAAAACAATTGCAGGGAAAATTTATTAGAATTATGATTAGCTAAAGAAGCCTCCCATCAGCTGCTGTTTATTTGAGTACCAAAAATTTAATCTTGTTTATTTATCCCCACTGGTACATGACCACAATACCAGTCAGGATTTATGTACCAGTATATGCTGTGATCAGTTTCTGTAGACTGCCAGTGTATCACTAACAGTTTCTATATAATTTATACGATTTTGTGTAGCATACATCAGTTTTGATATTAGAATTTTGTACATTTCAATCTGTATGCATGGTTCAGTGTGCATTACAATTGGTATACATCAGTGCTGGTAAGAGTACATTTCAATCTGTATGTATGTTTCTGTATATTGTATACTTTATTCCATACATCAGCTTGGATAACTTGTGTACATATTCACACAATGCAATAAAAGCCTGTCACAGTATGAAGCAGTTGTCAATATGATCAAAATCAAATAAATAGATTTTGAAATGTGCTGATCATTTTGTATTATTACATGTGAATTAGTTTTAATTTCTTTCTTTTCTGTACGTTTATAAACGGATATTGACTGGCATTTCTCTCCATTTTACATGTTGTCACGACAGTGCATGGATCTTCATGTTCTTTAACTGTACAGTCAACAATGGCTGCTAGATATGTTCAATCATCAATAATAAAAGTAAAACATGTACAATCAAGTGTTGTCTGTTTAATGACAATATGTGTTTAAAGGATTGGAAACATTGGGCTGATGATGTCTTGTACCCAGAAGTTTCTTACTAATGGTGATTGGTATTAAACCTTGAGACACACAATCAAGGTCGAGCCCTTATACATATCCTGACTGGACATTGTGTCATGTGCTTATACAGCTTTGAATTGTGTAATATCATTTCCACGGCAGACTTTGATGAGGTCACACTCCCAAGATGTACTCTCAAATTCACAGCATTAATAGAAAAGGAGTTCTATTGCACAAGCAATAGACAATTTAATTGTGACTGTTTGATGACAACTCCTTCATCAAATTACCAACATAAAGTGTATGAGCACTGACAAATGGAGTGTACAGGATGGTATTTAATCTATTAAACTTTTTCTGCAGTACTATAGTCCTATACACACCAAGGTATGAAATAGCTTTGACATACCCAGGTAATAGTAAAAAGATTATAGAAAAAAACATACTCAAAAAGTTGTGTTGACCCTGTAACATCTTGTTCACTATACATTCTACTGACATTACTTGAAGAAGACTAAAAGAAATGTTCTGAGAAGAAAAGAATGATGTATTGCAACTGGATATTATTTTGACATCAAATTAATATCTTTCATATGATGTGCTCAGATTTGTTTATTACATCTCAGGCTAGTCGCAAGGTCACTGCTTCAGTCAAAGATGGAATCATTGTAATACTTTTTTGGTAATCAGCCTTTGTAGCCGTAACATATAATGGTTTGATCTCATTTTCATTGTCTGCCTTCTGAGAGACATTTCCAGGAAGTATACTTTATGATTATGGGCATATTAATGTATTATCCCAGTGTGACATTGCATTGTGTACCCGTGATAAGAAACATACAATCTGATCCACCTCACTATTCAGACTAATTCGCTATTAAGACCACTTTTGTCCAGTCCCCAAAGTGGTCTTAATAGCGAGGTTTCACTGTAATAGGAAATGTTGAGTTTTGCAATGGCTCTAGTGCTTTTCATCTTTGAAGAGCATTTAAGTCAACTTATGGTTTCACTATCATGGCAGTAATAATTCCATCAGATTACCAAACATCAGATGAAGATCCAGGTTGCATGGTTTGTTGCACCATACCCACAACAGTTTGTGTTTCTCAGGAAGCTGAGGAACAAACCAGTCTGTGATGTCATGGTTGTGTTCTGATGCAAGACAATTTACCTTAATGACCTGGATGGCATGTGATTAGCCTCCCATATGTTGTTCAGTGAGTTAGCTACCAGCTACTATATGCTGACCCAGCCTCAAAATTGGCCCTGATTGTTTACAGGGCAATAAACACAACAAACAAACAACCACTATATCTGAAGAGTTGAAAGGTAACAAATATTCAGGTGGTTGGTAATGAAATTAAATTTAAAATTCTTTTTGGTAAGTTGGAAATGATGGGGATTAATATAACTTCACAAAATGTCAGCCCATTTGTAATAGAACACATATACCATATGTTCTCACCGTACCAAATAAGAGTTTGTTATATTAAAACCTGAATGAAGCAAGGTCAACATTGAGGTAGTGCAAAGCATCACCCCACAATATACCATCGACCCTAAACTGTTTTAAATGTCTTCATTTAAACTTGCTGAATCAGAGATTCAATATTTCAGTTATCCTGCAAATTATGAATTCATGAATAATGGTCATGCATAGTATGACATTTTTCTTGATTTGTGCAGAAAACTTTTTTTTTTTTAAGAGTAAAATGACATTTGACATCTGAAAATAAATAGGATTTCTTCCCTAAAAAGGGACCATGGTAAGATAATAGGTCTGTAAATTTTCGGTTATACTTCAGGAGATGGATTAATATGATGTCATCTATTTATTAAATGAATTTTATATTACTTTGCCAGGAACTAGAAAGATTCAATTTGAAAAATCAAGCATTTACATTCACATATTGAAATGCACGGGTATGCCATGTTTTATTATCTTTTATAACATTTTGACATGCTTTTCATAAAACTGATTTGGTGGTATGATCAAAAGTGACCATGATCTTTGACGTTGACTTTGAATATCAGTAGGTTTCATCAGAAGAAGAAAGAGAACGTGTATCTTTGATTATCGGCCATGGCACAGCTTTCTACTTATCACACTGAAATGCTCCACTTGAACAAGTAGATGGACAATGCTTGATCACAGCATAAGATTACTTGGGCTTCTGGGTTGGCAAGTCAAAACTTTAAACTTAAATGATGACAGATTTCTTGTGCTTATGGTAGCCTAGGTCCATGATATTCAACAGGGGCTTCAAATACATTGCCATGGTCACTGGGAGGATTTTACGAGATATTTGACCCATGTGGCCCTAGAAGTATGTCAAGGTCTTTCATTTGATTATCTCGGTTAGCTTTTAAAGGTCTTCTGTCGAGACAGATGGAGATCTTGGGTAATCTTGCAAAGCTTTTTGGAGATATGTAAATACTTTCAATCCTATGACTCAGGACTTGGGTCAAGGTCATTAGTTCCTTGAAAGATTTTAAGAGTAACACAACAGACCCAGGTAACTTTGAAAGTAGGTCAAGATCATTTATTTTAAAACTGCTTTTAGTTATCTCAGTCTGGTCTAATATCATGGTTACACTTAACTTTGTGGAAAAAAGTTGTTAAAGACAAAAACAAAACAAAATTGACAATGGACAACACACTGTTTAGAGTGACAGCAGATAAGCCAAAAGAAGACAAGACTAAGAAAGGTTTGTTCACATCTTTATACAAGTGGTCTTTAATAAACCAATGTCTGTTTTGATGACAGTAAAAAATAAGAACACTTACTAGATTATTTCAGCATCAAAATAAGTCTTGAGGGAAATATCATCCTCATAATTTAATACCATTATGAAGAGACTTTTCTCCACAGATTTACTTAAACCTGATAAGGCTATGAGTGGTACACTGGAAGATAAGAGAATGCTGATCAGAGATAAAATAAAAAATATTAGCTTAACAATTAAAATAGATTCAGATGGAAATTACAGGTACTTTCACAGGTCAACATTCTCCTTCAATGAAATTTGTTTTCTGATTTTCAAATAAATAAATTTACATTTCATTCCTTTCAAGATTTTGATTTTTTTTTTTTCATTTTGTTTTGCACTAAGATAATTAATATTAAGTTTGGCACGATTAAATCTGGTTTTAAAAGTGAGAATTATCAATAGGGCCAATCAAAGTTCTTATAGGAATCATGACTATATAAATCCATGCATGAACAGATACTATTACAATCAACCAAATTTAGATTCCCTAGGTAGATATAATAAGATAAATGAAGTTGTTCATAAATAGTTAAAAAATACTCTTGAATTTGTGTTCCAAAAAAATGTATCCAAAGGTGTAAAAATGTATAGAGAAATTAAATCACAATTACAGGAAATATCCTATAATCAAGCCTTCTGCTTTCAATGATACAAAAGAAAGGTTTTTATGTAAAAATGGAATGTAAGAACAAATAAAGATAAATTTACATAAACTTAAACGAGCATCACAATATATTAAATATATATAGTACTTCAATATACCATGTGGTTAGAAGGTATTCTGATAAGTACAAAATTTATTCAATTTTTTATGTATAACAATAAGCTATGTACAAGTGTTTTCAAAACGATATTTTATAACTAGTAAAACACACCCGCTCAGTAAAGTGTTCGCATGCATATAAAACAACATTCTCCAAGAATATTGAATGTATGTAGAAATGAGGACCTTGTCGTACTTTTTACAAGGCAGCAGATATGTGGGCAGTCAGAACCTAATCCTTGATATCAGCTGTGATCACAAATATATAATTCTAGGTGTTGGTTTATAATTCTGGTTAAAGTTTGTTATCCTCCTTTAAATGATGGATGTCATTGATCTGTAGTTCTGTACGTTGATTGTTCTGTAAAAGATGAAAAATTTAGTTATGTCATAATTTACATATCCGTTGTAAACCCCTGATACAATCACTGAACACAAATGTTTTAATAACAAGACAAGAAGTCCATGGGGCCTGTATAAGTCACCTGTTTGGTTTGGTCACAATTGCTTGATCAAAACAAATGGGAAACATTTTAAACATTTTTGTCAGCATTCATTTATACAAAATTATATCCCCTCAATCCAATCATATTTCAGACCGATATTGGTTTAGATTAACCTCCAACTCAAGAGAAGACAGACTACATAGCTATTCCTCTATTACAACTACTTGATTCTGCCCATCTGGCCTGAGGAGGTCTGACCCTTCATTTAAGCAAAATTGATTCTCCCATAACAGATTCTATTATATCATGATTCAATATCTCCCATGATAAGTTATACTAAAGCATGATAAATTGTCTCTAATGACAGGTTCTATTGTCCCATGATAGATGGTCACCCAACACAGGTTCTAATGAACTATGATAGATGGTCTTCCAACACAGGTTCTAATGAACTATGATAAATGGTCTCCCAAGACAAGTTCTTGTGACATGATGGTCTCCCATGACAGGTCCTTTTGTACCTTAAAAGACTCTCTCCCAATACTGGTCTACTGTAACATTATAGAAAGTCTCTCATTACAGGTTCTACTGTACTAAAATAGATGGTCTGCCAAGAGAGGTTCTACAGAACAGTTTTTAAACAACTTATTGTTTCTACCGAATCAACATGTTAATTGTCTTTAAAAGAAGAAGAGGCTTTCACCATAGAGCAATCCACACTTACTTCATTATGTTCTGGTTGACTATAGAGTTAGTTGGTACAGATTTAGGTCCCTGTGATGGCATAAAAGTCTTTCCAGTTTTGTTGACAACATTGACAGAACGTGACACTTTGACCTTGTAAGGGTCGGCAGAATGCGAAGGATAAGGGTCAAATGTTCCGGCCTTCATTCCAGCAGGCTGTGATAAGATAAAATGAATAATTGAAAGACTCACATAAGACTTTTTTTACATTATTGAACACATCTTACAGATGTAAAAAAAAAAACTGCATTTTTAACTCTAATTATAGAATTTTGCAAACACATTAAATGCAGACATTTTTTGTCATTTACTGATGGGATTCAAAATTATGAAAAAACCCAAAGGCTGTGATTTTTCATGGTATATAAATCAAAACACTGACACTGAAATAACAAGAACAATAATTAAAAATATTGAAATTTCACCTTCTTCCCAGGAGAGCTTGGCTTGAATGGCTTAACATCCTCTTTCTTTGAGACACCTGCAGACACACTTCGTCGTCCCATTAACTTATCTGATGCATAGGGATTCTGGTCAAAGTAGGCTTTGGGATGCATATTCAATCTAAACGCAGCACCTTTTACAGCATTTTTATGATTAGCTAGCTCTTTCTGCAAGGGGAAAAATTACAAACATGAATTTGAACTTTATCACACATTTTTCACCTCATTAATTCTGAATGTGTAAATATTACAACTTAATCAACAATTCTGTAAAATATATGAACCAGTTTATCTAGAACTAATACATGTCATTGCATTTATTGTTTCACTATTTTCAAGGATAAAATATGAAGAGAGTAACAATCATTAATGAAACATCTCACAAAAGTTTCATTTAAGCTCACAAACTAACAAGAAATTGCATGTCAAATGTTTTTGAAAAATAGAACTCGTACACATTTCATCCCAATTTGAAAATGTATTGAAATATGTGTTCAATTATATGCATCACAATTATCATTAAAATTGGTAATTTTTCATCTAATAGTCTAGATGTTTACACATGGACAAGTAGTGATACATTGTATCTAGTAACTGACATAAAGTTGATTAAGAAAAGTTTGCATAAACATCAGTTACAGTGCAGCAGACATAGAAGGTAAATAGGATTGCATTCAAAGCTGATTTTCTTTCCTACCATAACATAACACCCATCTCCTACTAATTTCATTTGCTTGGAAGGGCAAAGTTTTATTATGATAATAATTAACAATAACAACGTTTCTTCAATAGTGACCATTACACATATTACAGACCATAATGTACATAACAGATCATTACATTCATTACTATTACGTACATTTCAGAATAGTTTTACCACTTTTCTATATATGGGTATATCAAATTAATTTAGCCCAGGCAACCTGTAGTAACTAGTAAATAACTCAAACCTTGGTTAATTCTCTTGCCCGGTCATATGCATCCGCTTGGTATTTTGGATAGCTTCCCAGAGTGATCTCAACAAAACTAGAAAAAACACACAATGCCACACAGAACAATCAGAAGTTAGTAAACAGCAATACATGTCCACCCTGATATATATCCAAGGAACCTCATCACACCAGATCATGTAACAAGTCATGGTTATATACAATCACATTTTAATTCCTTCATTTTGTTGCTGAAATGCAGATTTGAATTATCAGAGATTACTGATCTGGTAAAATAAGGTTCCACAGGGTCAAAGGTAGAATACAAACACAGCTGTCCCATAGATATGATATATATATACAAAGGGGAATGGTGTAGATTAATATCACTCAAAGACATGAATATTTATTATAGATATATATAGATATGAAAATGAATGAAAATAATAAAAAAAAAAAAGCAACCTGTATCTATAAACAGAACACTTATATACAATAAGGTTTACACGTAAAAATCAAGGCATGCTAATTATATATATGTACATGTATATATGGAATTAATGAAATCATAATATGCCAACATTTTGCAATTTCTGAAAATGGCTCCTTATGGAAAGGTATATGGATGATCTATAAGATTTTTTATTTTCTATGTCCATATTTTTTCATGTCGGGGTGTCTGTATTTACAACTGACAATAAAATAACAGGTAATAAGTAGGATAAGGAATACCTATATGAGTAATTATGCCAATCAAAACCAAAGAATCAGTCACCAATCACATATCTTTACAGACCGAAATATGTTATGTAAAGCCAAGCAATGATTTCTACAACACATGTATGGTAAGAACATTCATAATGGTAGAAGTGATAACAACACAGCATTATCTTTGATGCACCTAACCATCTGTAATACAACAAGGTGAAAACAACACATATTACACAAATGTATCAGAAAGTCTGGATGATACCACACAAGTAAAAAGATTTTCTTATCCAACAAATTTACCAGAAAACCGGGCAGATACCACACAAATTTACCAGAAAGCCTGGATGATACCATACAAATGTACCAGAAAGTCTGGATGATACCATACAAATGTACCAAAAAACCTGGATGATACCATACAAATGTACCAAAAAACCTGGCAGATACCACACAAATGTACCAGAAAGCCTGGATGATACCATACAAATGTACCAGAAAGCCTGGATGATACCATACAAATATACCAGAAAGCCTGGATGATACTACACAAGTAAAAACATTGACTTACCCAACAAATGTACCAGAAAGTCTGGATGATAACACTCAAGTAAAAACATTGAATGACTTACCCAACAAATGTACCAGAAAGTCTGGATGATACTACACAAGTAAAAACATTGACTTACCCAACAAATGTACCAGAAAGCCTGGATGATACCACACAAGTAAAAACATTAACTTACCCAACAAATGTACCAGAAAGTCTGGATGATTACACAAAAATAAAAAGATTTTCTCATCAATGAAATGAAACAGAAAGCCTGGATGACATCACACAAGCAAAAACATTGACTTACCCAACAGATGTACAAGAAAGCCTAAGTGATACCATACAAATAAAAAGATTTTCTCATCAAACAAATTTACCAGGAAGCCTGAGTGATACTACACAAATAGAAAGATTTTCTCAATAAACACACATATGAGGAAGCCTGGGTGATAAGGGTCTCCTCATACAAACAAACCAGAAAATCTGAGTGGAAGGTGACTCCTCATACAAACAAACCAGAAAATCTGAGTGGTAGGTGACTCCTCATACAAACAAACCAGAAAATCTGGGTGGTAGGTGACTCGCCTTACAAACAACAATGTACCAGAAAATCTGGTGACATCACACATCCAGACAACCAAATAGAGTTACAATGTGAAATCTCTGCGTTTTTTTCACTTAGACCTTTGATAGAGCACATCCACGTCAATTCAAATTCAGAATTGTAAATGATAATGTTTGGAAACAATTATACTGTTTCTTTTATCAATCTCCTCAGAGAATTTAGATTTTGAATTACCATGAAATAATGATAGCAAAATTCTATTTTTAGTAACAAGGAATAGTGACATTGAACATTCATTTATTTTAATTTGCATTTTGAATGTCCAAGTAAATTAGATCTGTGAAATGACAATGGAATTGGCCATGACTTGAGACCCCTAAGGTGATTCCAAATTGTGATAGGGATTTTTTTTTATCTTTTGTGACCTGACCCTATATCTAAGATAACGACAAATGTAATTCCAAATATCTAATTGAAATCTTTGTATAATTGTTGATACTAAAAGGATAAAAATGAAGGTGTATACTGGGGAAATTCAATCTAGTAAGTTAATTTGATCTTCAATTGACAAATCGATATCAAAACTTTTCCCATGACTTATGAAAAATATGAGGTTTGATAATATTTAAAAAAAAAATCTTCTGGAGTGATTACAATGAATGTTACTGACACACAAGACAAAAACATAACCCTCACATTACAGAGAGATATATATTGATGAAGTGATGTATGAATACATAGCATACATGACAGCCACAGCAATGGTGCAGACACCAATATTAATGAATTAATGCAGAGCATCATCCTGTGCCATTAGTCACTGATAAACACATCACAGTGGCCAGACAAACCTTTTCAATGTCTTTATGTACATCATAAGTATCCCCTAAATAATTGGGATATTTTCCAAGTGTAACAGCTACATATCTGAAAATACCATCTTTTTGTTAGCTTTGTAAAAGCTTTATATCTTGATACTATTTATCATTTTTCATATTGAAATATTAGAATTTGATAAAAAAAAAAAAACCCAAGGAAAAAAGCCCCTTGAACTTACTGAAAGTTACACCAATGTTAAAATACAGAGTAACATCTCAATTATCAATCAAAATGGTCGTCATAATAAATATTATCAACAATTTTCCATTCTTTTAATATATATGTGTTTCATAATGATCAGTTATCATTTTTACAACACTCTCTGTCATATTCATGATTATATATCAAGATGAAATTACCCAAAACCTGTTCCTTTTTTTCCCGGATTTGTCAGAAAGTTCTTTCCTGGTGATTTGTAGCTTTTCCCTGGCCTCATGTTTGGACTAAAGGCTGATATAGGACCAGATAGTGTGCCATAATGGCTTCCTAGTCCAGACCTGAAAAAAATTACTAAGAGTTAAACTTCATAAACGAACTGCTGATTTCCTCATGAATATTTCAAATTTATCAGATTTATATACACTCACAAGAGTTTTCATTTAAGACATGTCAATAAGTAAAACTCTTGTAAGAAGCCATCTAATTTAAAAAATATGCTTAAAATTGGTAATACAGAAAAATGGATGATAACACTGAAAAGGCAAGATAACATTGCATGGATTTTTAACAGATTCTGTTCTTTTCAACACCTGAATGAAATATATTTAATCTAACATGATCTAAAATCTAAAAATCTAGAATGTATTGACCCAGGTACAAATAAATCCTGGATAGATAGTCAAAACCCTTCAAAATGATATGTTACTACTAGGACCTACAACAACTAATGATAATATGATATTGCTGAAGGCAGTGCCTTAGGGTGAGTATAATGCGATCAATATTATGAGATGTTCAGCATTTTCAGGTCCTTGAGTCATAAAAATTTTTCAGTAAATGAAAAAATACCCTGCCCCACCAGGGTTTGAACTAGTAACCCTTCAGTTATTTGACTTATGGGAAATTCCCGCTATTCAGGGCTAGTAAGGTGACTTTTATGCCTATCAACTTCTAAAGCTACTCCCTCTATCATGAAGTCTTCAAACCCAAGACAACAACTCAAGTTCTTTAGCTTCAAGGCATCATTTATTTTCCAGGGATTATGCTCAGTATCACTCTTTGCACCCTTGGAACATTTCATGGCAAAATTGAAGGTTCCACATGTGACACTTTGTGGATCAGAGGAGAAGACTGGTTTGGTCCAATATGTACATAAAAAACAAATCTCGAGGTCACATAATGGTGTGTTGTACTGGCTTTGTGCCATCAACTTTGATTGGAAATGTTCCAGGGATGCAGAGAGAGAAAGTAATTGTAACCCATGGAGTGTCAAGGAAGGCTTCAGAATGGTCATTAATGCCAAATCTGTAATAGGAAGGAGTGGTGAAAAATACCCTGCACTCACTGGGAGTTTAAGCTGTGATCACACACTATATCTTGATAAAATTCTTACTAGCCAAGACCAGTTATGAAGGTAACATACTTTCCACTTTTACAACAATACTTTCAATTGGTTGGGAGTTCAATCTGCTTTGCAGAAAGTTCAAGTGAAGCATGTGTTCAGGACTGCATGAATCACCAATACATTTGTAGGTTTTTGTTGGATTTTATTTTCAGCTACTTTTAATTTCAACACAATACTTGCTATACTCAGTGACTCACTATCAAAAATGTTGCAACCATGCAAAGAGGCAGTTGACTTACGGTTTCTTTTCACCACTGCTAGGTAAAAATGCCTTTCCAATATTTCTTTGGGATTCTTTTAATCTGTGTTGCCGTCTCATTTTGATTGGATCACTGTATCCTTCTCCCTCCATTACTCTCCCAAATTTCTCCATAAAATAACCGCTCTGTAAAGCTGACCTGGTCTTGCTGCCACCAGGCAGCATCTGTTTTCCTTTACTGGCAGCAGCATTGAACTGAACTGAAAGATCAATATCACACAAGATCACATAAATGCTAGCTGAATGGCAGTTTATTGTGATTAAGCTTCACACTTTAAATATTATTTAATATTGATGTTTCCAACAGCAGCTTCCAGTCTTCAACAATGGCAAGCTTGAATGCCAAAATCATGGAAATTCTGACAGTAATAAACACACAGTAAACATTTTGAAATGTAACTTAAAAACAGACGTGAAATATGCTGTCAATAGGTATCATATTGACTATTATCTATGCAGCTTATCCTATTCAATATATTTCTTGTTTTACTTACTTCCAGGAGGTTTATATCTGTCGCCTATTGTGACATATCCCATTTCCTGGAACACTCCAATCCTGTCCATATCATTTTTTCCACCTTTATCTCCCATGATGATTGTCTTTTAACGCAATCAAACAAAATACTGCCAATTTGTCTACTACTGTTCTTGATGGATCTCTATCCAATTCATCTAATCACCCAAATCGAAACATTTACATCATGCAAATATCTCATTTAACATTAATCACTTTTTCCTTTGTGTATCCGCTCTGTCATCAACTCCGAAAGTGTCAGAAACCCAATGTTTAGATAAAATCGGGTTAACAATATCCTGCCGGATGGGACTTTGTTGAAACAATTGCTATGGAAATTGATACTAGGTGGCGCTAAACGGAAAACGGAAGTTGTTAAAGGGAAATAACTTCGATGTCAAAAATAATAGCCCGCCATGTGTACGGTGTAACGCTAAAGAGACGTATTTACTACTAAGGTAAGCGGTATTTATGTCACATAATCTGAGAAAAAACAGCTGTCTAGTGAACCAGCCGTAACGAGTTTGTTGTTGTATATGAAAAATAGAACACCATCCTTTCCGTTACTATGTTGATATGAATAGTGAAGTGTTGTCATCATTGAATTGTATGAAGCGAAAGTAGGAAAACGAACATACCACATGACAACATACAAATGTGATATATTCGATGATAAGTTTGTATTTATGTTATAATAAAATACTGTCTTTTTCAGAAACATGCCACCAACACAGGATTCAGAGGATATTTTGAAGATACTTGTAGCCACCGATATTCACCTTGGTTATGCAGAAAAAGATGGAATTAGAGGAAATGATTCGTTAGTAGCTTTTGAAGAGATTCTTGAAAATGCCAAAAATCATGATGTTGACTTTATCCTTCTTGGAGGAGATCTCTTTCATGAAAACAAACCACCTCGAAGAATAATGCATGGATGCATTTCCCTTTTACGCAAATACTGTATGGGGGATAAACCAGTTCAGTTTGAATACCTTAGTGATCAATCAAAAGATTTCAACCATTGTCAGTTTCCATATCTTAATTACGAAGACCCAAATTTGAATATTTCTATTCCGGTATTCTCAATACATGGTAACCATGATGACCCAACGGGCCAAGGGAACCTTTGCACCCTGGACATTCTACATACCTCAGGGTTTGTCAATTACTTTGGAAAACACACTTCTTTAGAAAAAATAGAAATGAGTCCTCTGCTGCTTCAGAAAGGTTCCACAAAGTTAGCCATGTATGGTCTTGGCTCTATCAGAGATGAAAGATTGCACAGACTGTTTTTAAAGAAGTCAGTTACAATGTTGAGACCTAGAGAAAATCAAGATGAATGGTTCAACATGTTTGTAATACACCAAAACAGATCAAAACATACCACAACAAACTATATTCCTGAACAATTTCTTGATGATTTTCTAGACCTTGTGATTTGGGGTCATGAACATGAATGTAGAATTGAACCGGAATGGAATAGTGTTCAAAATTTTTATGTTAGTCAGCCAGGTAGCAGTGTTGCTACCTCACTGAGTGAGGGAGAGACTGTAAAAAAGCATGTTGGTTTACTACAGATCAAAGGTAAAGATTTCAAAATGACCAAAATTCCATTGGAGACAGTTCGCCCCTTTTACATGGAGGATGTGGTACTAAGTGATACTAGTCTGAATCCTGAGGACCACAACATAGCTAAGAAGGTGGAGGCTTTCTGTGTTGAAAAAGTTGAAAGTTTATTGGAAAAAGCAGGTAGGTTTTAGGTTTTTGCTGGGTGAATTTCCTTGTGAACACCAAGGGTCATTTTAAGGCAGGGTCTCCTTGTAGAAACTTGTGGCTACCTTACTGTCCAATATACAGGAGGCCCACTCTCAAAATAACTGAACTATCTTGGCTCAGTATTAGTTAGGGAAACTGTTATGACTACAATGTAATGTACAATGACCCTGTTATGCATCTTATCTGTATGCCTTTGGCCTGGAAAACTGGCTACCTGTATATGTTAAAAGTTACTTATTAATTTTACTCACCATTCCGGAAACTCAAAGTTCAGTGGTTGAAATGCTTTTTATATAGTTTCCTTAAAATGTACTTGCAAAACTGCACACATTTTTTATACCGCATGTTTTATTTTTTTGTTCAGCTAATTGATAGCACAGATGCACATTGTGTGAAGTCTGATATCTGCAAGATCAATACCTGAAGTACTCTCCGATATAATCTGTGTTAAAGGTCACTGAATACACTTAATAATGATGCTAATTGATTAAATATCAACATATTAACTTAAACAGAACAGAGGTACCAGTGATGCTATTTCAGAAACAGTTCAGATATCATGTCATAGATTGGATTTTGGAAAGATAAATGGATGACACAATACATAAAGTGGCATATCTTGTTCATTAGTCGTTAGTCAGTATTTACCTGGTATGGGATTTTTTTTTTTAAGATTTTGTGTTTAATTCAACTGATTTTAAGTTTATTGAGACACTTGCATTTTACTGATGTACTGCATTACATGCAAAAGTAGACTGGAAACATGTGCAAATTACCCATGTTTACTGGTACTCAAACTCAAAATGCACAACAGGTATACAGGGAAACATTCCTCTAGGTTATTTTCACACTCTGTTTGCCCAGTGTTAAATTTTTCCTACCATATACATTTATGTATAGGGTTAAGCATTTAGGCCGCTGTTTTCTATTTTCACCCTATTTGTGAAAGGTGAAATGAGCTCAAGTTAAACTTCAAGAAAAGTTTCTCTAGTTATTCTCACTCAGTGAATATGATATACACATTATTTACTGTAGAAATTAATTCATTTATACAAATATATCCTCTAAAATATTGAGACACTCTTATTTTAGAATCTGAACATTCTGGAAATGGCAAGCAACCAGATCAGCCATTGATAAGACTACGAATAGATTACAGTGGTGGATTTGAACCTTTTAGTGCCCACAGGTAAAGACCAAATATACAGCAGCAAATCATGTCAGTATTGTTAGATTTTGAAAGTTTGTCATAATAGAACGTAACTTATTTAGATAAAGAAATTTGCATGAAAAATTGTAGAGTTTGCTAATGTCTGGCAAAAGGTAACATATTTGCTGTTATAATGAAGTGTTGTAAGATATTTTTAAAAATAGAAAGTTCAAGCACATTTTTTTTCTAAAAATGCTGGTTTTTTTTTATCTTTTTCTAGTTATCATTTTTTTATGTATCTTCAAATCTTTTTGCTACCAATCTTAGATTTAACCAAATATCTTAAATAAAAGAGAACAAGCACTCTAATCATTGAATACTGTTAATGAAGTAACTACCTTGAATTTTCTGGGCAAGGGGGTTATTGTTTGGAGTATCTTTCTTTCTTATCTAGGAAAGTTAGCTTGATATGGTGAAATTTTCAATTTAACTTTTTTTGTAGGTTTGGACAAAAATTTATTGACAAGGTTGCTAATCCCAAAGATATGGTACAGTTTCAAAGAAAAAAAGTCTTCTCAGCAAAAACCGATTCAAAACAAGGTAATTCTTTGTCATTGGTAATTGTCATAATGTCCAAACTCAGAGTAAGAAACAGTGATATTGTAGATATTTGTATGGTATTAATATGTTTGAATTACATTATTTTTACAGATATAGATGCCCTAGGAGCCATTAAAGCTGACACATTAGACACATCTAGAGTGGAAGACATGGTCAAAGATTATTTCAACAGTTCTGACTGTGTAAGTCATACTAGGAAACCGTACCTATAATAATCTATGGATGTGATGTTATACTGTAGTAACAGTAGATTCCTGTATATGTCACGTTAACTTGTACACGGAAAATTAGGCTGTACATTCTGTAATGATAATTTCATGGTAGATAAGAGTGACTTTCTTCATGGCCCCCTTCATTTCAGGGGATAAAGCCTCATATCCACCATCTTGTCACATATTTATCCTATGTCATCAAGTTCTACAACTTATCCTTTTAAGGTAGTCAGTCAAGATTAAAGAATCAAATGTCACATCTGAAAACTTACCCAAATTTATCAAACAATAATACTCGGAAGCAGGGGTATTCATGTTTAAGATACTCTCTGGTTTATAGACAATAAAGGCCAATAGATAAGTGCAATTTATATGTCTTGAAACACACATCTTTGACAGAACAGGGGGGGAGGGGGGCGGGTGTATGAATTATATCAAAATTAAAATTTTCATTTCTGATGCTTTTACCCCAATATAACCAACCATAATTACACATTATAAAAAGACTGTAGGTCATCTATTACCTTAATTACGTGTTCACAGAAGATGCAGCTGCAATTATTGACAGAGAAGGGTATGGGCCAGGCTGTACAGGAATTTGTGGACAAAGAGGAGCGTGAGGCCATCTCAGAGCTTGTCAAGTACCAACTCCAGAAAACCCAGGTGAATACACCACAAAGTGAAATACAAACAACATGTACAAATTACAGAATACTCGGCTGAATTTATTACAAGTTGAGTTATACACTACAAGTCTAAACTACAGAACACTCGGGTGAATTTATCATAAGGTGAGATATACACTACAGAACACTCAGGTTAATTTATCACAAGGTGAGATATACACTACAGAACACTCAGGTTAATTTATCACAAGGTGAGATATACACTACAGAACACTCAGTTAATTTATCACAAGGTGAGATATACACTACAGAACACTCAGGTTAATTTATCACAAGAGATATACACTACAGAACACTCAGGTTAATTTATCACAAGGTGAGATATACACTACAGAACACTCAGTTAATTTATCACAAGGTGAGATATACACTACAGAACACTCAGGTTAATTAATCACAAGTTGAGATATACACTACAGAACACTCAGGTTAATCTATCACAAGTTGAGATATACACTACAGAACACTCAGGTTAATTAATCACAAGGTGAGATATACACTACAGAACACTCAGGTTAATTAATCACAAGGTGAGATATACACTACAGAACACTCAGGTTTATCACAAGGTGAGATATACACTACACTACAGAACACTCAGAACACTAGGTTAATTACCACAAGGTGAGATATACACTACAGAACACTCAGGTTAATTTATCACAAGGTGAGATATACACTACAGAACACTCAGGTTAATTTATCACAAGGTGAGATATACACTACAGTACACTACAGAACACTCAGGTTAATTAATCACAAGGTGAGATATACACTACAGAACACTCAGGTTAATCTTTCACAAGGTGAGATATACACTACAGAACACTCAGGTGAATGTCGCAAGGTGAGTTATACACTACATGTACAAACTACAGAACACTCAGGTTAATTTATCACAAGGTGAGATATACACTACAGAACACTCAGTTAATTTATCACAAGATGAGATATACACTACAGAACACTCAGGTTAATTTATCACACTCAGTTGAGAGATATACACTACAGAACACTCAGGTTAATTAATCACAAGGTGAGATATACACTACAGAACACTCAGGTTAATTAATCACAAGGTGAGATATACACTACAGAACACTCAGGTTAATCTATCACAAGGTGAGATATACACTACAGAACACTCAGGTTAATTTATCACAAGGTGAGATATACACTACAGAACACTCAGGTTAATCTATCACAAGGTGAGATATACACTACAGAACACTCAGGTTAATTAATCACAAGGTGAGATATACACTACAGAACACTCAGGTTAATTAATCACAAGGTGAGATATACACTACAGAACACTCAGGTTAATTAATCACAAGGTGAGATATACACTACAGAACACTCAGGTTAATTAATCACAAGGTGAGATATACACTACAGAACACTCAGGTTAATTAATCACAATGTGAGATATAGACTACAGAACACTCAGGTTAATTAATCACAAGGTGAGATATACACTACAGAACACTCAGGTTAATTAATCACAAGGTGAGATATACACTACAGAACACTCAGGTTAATCTTTCACAAGGTGAGACAAAGGTGAGACATACACTACAGAACACTCAGGTTAATTAATCACAAGGTGAGATATACACTACAGAACACTCAGGTTAATTAATCACAAGGTGAGATATACACTACAGAACACTCAGGTTAATCTTTCACAAGGTGAGACATACACTACAGAACACTCAGGTTAATTAATCACAAGGTGAGATATACACTACAGAACACTCAGGTTAATCTATCACAAGGTGAGATATACACTACAGAACACTCACTACAGAACACTCAGGTTAATTAATCACAAGGTGAGATATACACTACAGAACACTCAGGTTAATTTTCACAAGAGATATACACTACAGAACACTCAGGTTAATTATACACTACAGAACACTCAGGTTAATTAATCACAAGGTGAGATATACACTACAGAACACTCAGGTTAATTAATCACAAGGTGAGATATACACTACAGAACACTCAGGTTAATTAATCACAAGGTGAGATATACACTACAGAACACTCAGGTTAATTAATCACAAGGTGAGATATACACTACAGAACACTCAGGTTAATTTATCACAAGTTGAGATATACACTACAGAACACTCAGGTTAATTAATCACAAGGTGAGATATACACTACAGAACACTCAGGTTAATCTATCACAAGGTGAGATATACACTACAGAACACTCAGGTTAATTAATCACAAGGTGAGATATGCACTACAGAACACTCAGGTTAATTAGTCACAAGGTGAGATATACACTACAGAACACTCAGGTTAATCTATCACAAGTTGAGATATACACTACAGAACACTCAGGTTAATTAATCACAAGGTGAGATATACACTACAGAACACTCAGGTTAATTAATCACAAGGTGAGATATACACTACAGAACACTCAGGTTAATTAATCACAAGGTGAGATATACACTACAGAACACTCAGGTTAATCTATCACAAGGTGAGATATACACTACAGAACACTCAGGTTAATTAATCACAAGGTGAGATATACACTACAGAACACTCAGGTTAATTAATCACAAGGTGAGATATACACTACAGGTGAGGTTAATTAATCACAAGGTGAGATATACACTACAGAACACTCAGGTTAATTTATCACAAGGTGAGATATACACTACAGAACACTCAGTTAATTTATCACAAGATGAGATATACACTACAGAACACTCAGGTTAATTTATCACAAGTTGAGATATACACTACAGAACACTCAGGTTAATTTATCACAAGGTGAGATATACACTACAGAACACTCAGGTTAATTTATCACAAGTTGAGATATACACTACAGAACACTCAGGTTAATCTATCACAAGGTGAGATATACACTACAGAACACTCAGGTTAATTAATCACAAGGTGAGATATACACTACAGAACACTCAGGTTAATTAATCACAAGTTAGGTTAATTAATCACAAGGTGAGATATACACTACAGAACACTCAGGTTAATTAATCACAAGGTGAGATATACACTACAGAACACTCAGGTTAATCTTTCACAAGGTGAGATATACACTACAGAACACTCAGGTTAATTAATCACAAGGTGAGATATACAAGGTGAGATACAGAACACTCAGGTTAATTAATCACAAGGTGAGATATACACTACAGAACACTCAGGTTAATTTATCACAAGGTGAGATATACACTACAGAACACTCAGGTTAATTTATCACAAGGTGAGATATACACTACAGAACACTCAGGTTAATTAATCACAAGGTGAGATATACACTACAGAACACTCAGGTTAATTAATCACAAGGTGAGATATACACTACAGAACACTCAGGTTAATTAATCACAAGGTGAGACATACACTACAGAACACTCAGGTTAATTAATCACAAGGTGAGATATACACTACAGAACACTCAGGTTAATTAATCACAAGGTGAGATATACACTACAGAACACTCAGGTTAATTAATCACAAGGTGAGATATACACTACAGAACACTCAGGTTAATTAATCACAAGGTGAGATATACACTACAGAACACTCAGGTTAATTTATCACAAGGTGAGATATACACTACAGAACACTCAGGTTAATTTATCACAAGGTGAGATATACACTACAGAACACTCAGGTTAATTAATCACAAGATATACACTACAGAACACTCAGGTTAATGAGATATACACTACAGAACACTAATTATCATCACAAGAACACTCAGTGAATTAATCACAAGATGATATACACTACAGAACACTCAGGTTAATTAATCACAAGGTGAGATATACACTACAGAACACTCAGGTTAATTAATCACAAGGTGAGATATACACTACAGAACACTCAGTTAATTTATCACAAGGTGAGATATACACTACAGAACACTCAGGTTAATTATCACAAGGTGAGATATACACTACAGAACACTCAGGTTAATTATATCACAAGGTGAGATATCTACAGAACACTCAGGTTAATCTATCACAAGGTGAGATATACACTACAGAACACTCAGGTTAATTAATTACAAGGTGAGATATACACTACAGAACACTCAGGTTAATTAATCACAAGGTGAGATATACACTACAGAACACTCAGGTGAATATACCACAAGGTGAGATATACACTACAGAACACTCAGGTTAATTTATCACAAGGTGAGATATACACTACAGAACACTCAGGTTAATTTATCACAAGGTGAGATATACACTACAGAACACTCAGGTTAATTTATCACAAGTTGAGATATACACTACAGAACACTCAGGTTAATTATACACTACACAAGGTGAGAGATATACACTACAGAACACTCAGGTTAATTAATCACAAGGTGAGATATACACTACAGAACACTCAGGTTAATTTATCACAAGGTGAGATATACACTACAGAACACTCAGGTGAATATACCACAAGGTGAGGTATACACTACAGAACACTCAGGTGAATATACCACAAGGTGAGATATACACTACAGAACACTCAGGTTAATTTATCACAAGGTGAGATATACACTACAGAACACTCAGGTGAATGTCGCAAGGTGAGTTATACACTACATGTACAAACTACAGAACACTCAGGTGAATATACCACAAGGTGAGATATACACTACAGAACACTCAGGTTAATTTATCACAAGGTGAGATATACACTACGTACACTTCAGGTTCAGAAAACAAATGTGAATATATCACAAGGTGAAATAATGAATGTGTTCAGTACAAATGATTGACATGAGGTCCTGATCAGTGATCTTACCATATTATTACTTGAAACTTTTTATGATATAATGAATTTTGTTAAAAGTTAATAAATCTTAAGTTTGGACTGTCACTTAATCTCGTTGCAATTTCAACAGTCATAAGAAAATTATGTAGATTCACAGAATAACTTTAGACAAAGATGTGTCTAAAGTATCAACAATTTCATTTTTGCAGGTTTTCAATTTTGTTATTGAACCACACCTAACCTGTTCTTAACAGGTCTGATCAAGGGATTCTGCTGATATTTTGTAGACTTACCTGAAACAGAGAAATGCAAATGAAGAAATCATTGATGCTGAAGTGACTCGGTACAAGGAGGAGAGGAAGAAGAAGAAAGAGGATGATGAGGAAGTAAAGGAGGCCATAAAGAGGGCACAGGCAAGCCGCTCCCAGCAGGAAGATGATGATGAAGAAGGGGAGGTTAGTCCAATAGACTCTGATGACAACCAGGCTCCAACAGGTCGTGGGAGGGGACGGGGGCGTGGAAGTACGAGGGGAACATCTGATCCAAGTAAAGGAGGCATAAAGAGGGCACAGGCAAGCCGCTCTGAAGAAGGGGAGGTTAGTCCAATAGAGGGTCGTGGGGGGGACGGGGGCTCGAGGTGGCAGGGCAAGAGGCAGAGGAGAAGGAACATCAACCAGAGGAGGAAGAGGAAAGAAGAAGGAATCTGTTGTAGCTGAGAGTCAGAACAGAAGTATCATGGATGCCTTTGCTTCACAAAAATCAAAGAAACCATCAAATTCCAGGGTACACAACCTGTGAGTTTCAAGATGTTATATTTCAGTATAAGTCACATACGGTATTTTTCTGACAATTGACCCATGTCCGGTTCTGTAGAAATGCGAACAAATGTTGTTCCACTGCCCCATCTCCTTCACTTTGAGTCCGAGATTTTGTGTTAGACCACTGGTCTCGTTGAAAGATAATACAGTATACAAAACTTAATGTCATCTCTTTCCCATGCAGGCTGTCAATAAAAAAGTGTTAACACATGGTTTAATATATACCAGGTTTCTTTTTGTATTCAAACTGTATTAGAAAACTTATTGAGTTTTCAACAACACCTATTTCCATGGTAAATAAAAGATTTCAAACACCCAGTGCTGTGGTCTATATAGCTTTAAAATTCTGTAAACACTTATACTTAAAAAACACACTGTTGTATGACGTAGGCTAATTTAACTGTCACAGGCTAAACAAAGTAAATTAAAACCATGTCAGGCTGAAGAAGGCTTGTGTAACCTTCTTAGTAACATCATTTCAGGTGGAAAGTTGTTATCAAAAGCCATGCACATAAACAAACTTTTCACATTTTAAATGAAATGACCACTGTTGAAATTCATTTTTAACCTGGTACAAATTGATTGACTCAACAATTTTGTGAATTTTTCTGTTTTCGTATAAAGATTTAGGTGACGAAGTGATTCTAAAATTGCTAAATGTTCTTCTTCCAGGTCTGATTCTGAGGAGGAAGATGTCATGAACATATCGGATGAGGATGATGAATTCAGTAACATCTCTTCTGCTTCAAGTAAGAAGAAGCAGCCTGTGGCCAACACTTCCTCCAGGAGGTATAACTCAAGTTCCAGCAAGAAACGAGGTGTGGCATTTGACTCTGATGATGATGACGATCTATTTCCAACCAGAAAACGAAGAAAATAAAGATTGATCAGAACTGGAAGACCTTTTCTATGTGACTTTCACAGACTAAATATGTGATAATATTGTGTTGATTTGGTTAGTGTCATGACAGCATCAATAACAGTTTGTAATAATTTACATGAGTCCAAACTTTCATCATGGAAAAATGGCATGCCACATGCAGAAATCAGATCCCATGATGGACTAATTACATCTAAAACTGTTTGTTGTTTGAACCAAAACTTTGACAGATCTCGATTGTAGTTACTTTACTGGGGGATATCTAAAACTAACATACTTTTGGTGCCTTACATCTTTACATTCAGAACACTTACTCATCGTTAGTTTATCCTGTTTGGGCTTCAAGTTCAATCTTTCTTGACTTTCACTTGCCATTCATCATTTTAATCAACAACCACTGATCGCTTTGAATCCTGGTTGGCTTCCTCTAATGGCATTGTGATTGGGAAATTGTTGCCTTTCAGTAATTTTGTGCATTTCAATACAAGATTTTAAGACAAATTGGCAAAATATCAAACATTTTGTCAATATCAGCAATACTTTTGCTTGTTAAATAATTAAGAGTACAAAGTCATATTTCTTTTCATTAGGATTGTTCGATTACAGTCTTTTTTATGTTGCACAAGTTCTATAGATGATTATTAAAAAGTGCTCAAATTGGCGATCAGACCTGATTGGCTTTATAACCTAAACTGATTTTTCATTATTCATTATTTTATTAAACCCATTCAAGTCCTTAAACTAAATTTGGACTCAGACTAAGAATTCCTCAATGTTATATGAAGTTGTTGAAGATGTAAGTTGTTAGTTGTATTTCTGATTCTGTGCATCAAGTGCCAGTCAGATTCTTTTTCCTTTATTTTTTGATTGGTTGTAGCCATAAACTAGTATCATATTCAAATACATTTCTCTTGATTGATGAATATTTTCATTATTGTTAGTTATGACCATAATTTTTTGTTTTCTGGAAGTATTTTATTTTTGTTACTATATAGCATTAAAGGCTTTCTAGATAACACTGATGGTGTTTTTATTAGCTCATGTGACAGAAACAAGTGTTTAAACAACCAGCCATTAAGATATTGAGCAAATGAGGGCACTTTCAAATAAGCAGTTGAAATGGTTGGACCAGTTGACCCTACAAGAAAAACGTGAGGTACAAATCGGTACCAAGGCTGGACTACGCAGTATTTGTACCTGTCTGAAACTAATTTGCTGAATATCATTGGTTTCAAATTTCATCATAAAAAGTAAGGTTAGTGCACTCACATATTTCACATAATTAAAGTTAATTGATTTCTGCTTGACAGGAAATTCCAAAATAGTGCATTTTTAACTTTACATACACGTACCAGGTAAATCAGGTTCAACATCCAGTACAAGTGCATTCGGGTATAGTGGGATAATTTCAGACCATCTGAACATTTCAAGTGGGTTACGCGAATGCAGCCTAAGAGTGTGAAATATTCATTCGTTGACCAAATTAAAAGTTCAAATACCTTAAAATCTTGAAAACAAATCTGTCCTGAAAATAAACAGATTTCAAAGGGATCTTTGAACATTATACAAAAGACACACATGTGAATAGTACCTTTTGCTACAAATGTAAAGTTACATATAGGTATGCCAAACAATAAAGTGAACTGCATTAAACAGCTGTTTTGTCCTTCTTTGATTCGTCAGCGATGCCATGTCCTTCTTTGATTCATCTGTGATGCCAAGAGCCTAAGTTTTGAAGCCTAGGAGGCAACTGAGGAAAATCCAAAGTGAAAAAGAAAAGTCAAAATCTGGACAAGAAGGGAATAAAAGTGCAAGTGCCTTAAAGATAAGCAACCCACAGTTATAGAAAAGTTAATTAATTCAGGTGGTTGTAGTATGAAAATATCCTCCAAAATGAAGGCTGTACCAATATCTTACTAAAATACCTAATGCACAGTATTGTATTGGTATGGAGCTTCTCAAGTTAATTATAGAATCAAGGTCAAGGAAAAAGTCTTTAAAAGTTTGAAATAAATAATGTTTTTATATTGTTTTTGGTACTGAATTTGACATTTAAAGTTTTCATTCTAGCATACAGAACATAAACATGGCTTGTTTAGGGTTGACAGCCTTGGAATATAAAATGTTCTTGAAAGTCAACCAGTTTCCTAGATAAGCTGTTAAACTTGAACATAAACCACTCCTTATTTTCAGGATTTTTAAATGGTTTAATGATGGACTTAGAAGGGCCAAGTGATCTTATGCCATGGCACAGCGTTCAGCATCCAGTGTCAACTTTTTCCTTTCAAAAACTTCTCAATAAACAATGAACCAAATGTTTTGATATTTGGGTGGTATGTTTCTAGGATAAAGTCCTTGACCTATGTTCTAGGCCACAGATATCAAATTTGTTGAAATATTTAAAAAACTTCTTCTTATGAACTGAAAGGCCTAGAGGCATGATATTTGGCGTATATGTTTCTAGGATGAAACCTGACAATGTTTGGAAAATAAATGACTTTGACAAACATACAAATTCACAGGGAGCAAATTTGTTAAAACTTTTAAACAACTTCTCATGAACGAAAAGTCATAGAGGCATATTTGGGTGGTACATATATATACCAGGTGAACACTGCAGGCCCATTGGGCATCTTCTTTTTCTAAAATGTCTTTATTACTGCTACGATTAATAAGAATTAATTATTGGAAGTGAGACCAAGTTTTTTCTTTACCGTTGCTATCTACTTTAATGTTCAGAAGTTTCATTTAGCTCAATTTTTCAAATTGAGTAATTATAAGAACAACTTAATTTGGTATATTATAATACACCCTGGTACCAGTATGAGGATCAACAACAAAACAAAGTTAAACATACCTTAGGTAATAAATTTTATTTATATCATGTTTTCAACAACCGTTGTATAGGTAAATATAATGATATACACAAGACATTATTTTAAAATTAACTCTATGATCTGTGCATTAAAACAAAACAAACCCCCTCATGTCTATCAGTAATAAAACTGGCTTAAACAACAGAACCATTCACACCTTTTTCAATTTGTTCATCCATTTATGTATCTTCCCACAATTATACATGTAATGGCTATATTATTGATATGATTTATAGATAGATATTATGTTGAAGTTCTTTAAAATTACACTTCCTGAAAAATGAGTTCCTGTTATTGTTCTCTTCACAATAACACAGATGAAAGTGCTCCTTATAACATCTTGCATGATACTCCCCTGCTCTTTGTTGTAATATGACCAAATTGATGACAGATGTAGTTACTTAGAGTCACATCAGATAGAAATATTAAGGGGATGAGGTAGAAAGAGCAGAAGGTTCTACAAATACAGAAATGAAACGAATGTCAAGATAAGATTAAGTGAGTTCTGGAAATGACTAACTTAAAGTATATGAATTCACAGGAAAAACAAATCAGGAAGTGAGGTTATGAAAATTCTCTTTTTTCGTTATATCTGGAATATCCCTATGACAAGGGATGAAAAGAATTATGAGTGAATTTAATACGAGGAAAGGAAACAAAAACGACAACTTCAGCCCCCTCTGACTTCATATATGTAGACAATGCTTTCAAAATCTTTCCTCTTTCTATACACTTTACAGGTGCTGCTATTGGATAGTATGTACATGATAGATTTAAAAATGAAGCAACTACACTTAACACACTGGTGCTTTTTCATCACTGACATTCCATACATACATACACGGAGGCTACCATCTTAATATGACTGAAGCTGGGAACTTCTTGGGGTAAGATACTCTAATACAAAGTATAATAGGGCAATTGTCTCTGATTCTAAAGCACAGCACATAAGAATCTCCTCACAGCCAACACAAATAGCACTTGTGTCATACACTATAACTGATATTCATAATTATGCAACATTTGGTAAGGTTAGATATACCATTACAAAACACTAAGATCAGCATATCTCTCCCAGATACATAATATTGTACCATACAAACACAGAACAGCATATCTCTCATGGACAACTGAATATTTGTCCATGTGTGAAGCAAATCTCTAACCATAATTTAAATGGAGAAATACTGCAAACCTGATCGGATCTTAGCTGAAAACAATTTACCACATGTAAAACCTGCATGTACTGAAATATAATGTTACAATAGACTTCTTCAAATCCTTATACAGTTTTTAAAAAATACATTTCAGATGTTACATGCTGATCCATTAGCAGGTTTTCAGATCAGTCTAGTTTTTTTGTCGGGTAAAAAAATCTAACTTGACAGTGAGATTTAATCAGAGTATATTGTATAGAGAAGAAGCAGGGATCATATACCATGTAATACTATTGGTAGTTTTCCTAACCTTCACATTTCATGTTAATTTTCTAACATTCACTTCCACATAAAAAAATTTCCCATTCTTCCTAAAGCTCAACAACACAGCATCAATCAGTGGTAATAAATAAACAACACATTTCTCTGAGATGCTGCCTATCGTTGTTCAGTTATAATGTGCACAAGGTCATAAATCACACTGGTTTGATAGTCACAAACACAAACATGAAAGTTAAAAAAAAATGATATTGAAATCTCAAAACAGGAAAGGTCTTTATGTTCAGTGGTATTCCTTTCTATTGTTTCTATGGTACATATACTGGGAGTAAAATGTTATAATCAAAAATGGTTTTGGTGAATGCTTTACTTGATCTGTACTTTTTGGAATGCTAATAGACCATTAATTACTGGGATGGAATTTAATCTCAGAATGAAGACTTTTATTTTTCATTGAAATTGAAACAAAATTACCTGACTTACAAAAGAAAGGAATTCACAACAGTTAAAAAAGCAAAATGAAACATTGCACAAAAATCTCACAATTCCAAGTACATGTACTATTCATCTCATTGTTTTCAAAATGTAATTTGCCAAAATTTATGCCAAGATAAACATTACAAAACCATGATTTGGCACTTAACTTCCTGCCCATGATACAGTCATGTAATAATTAATATTTACATGGACATGGACTTGTAACTGTCTTAATCAGATTGAACAAAAAATTGACTGTAAAAGAAATTTCAGTAATTAGAACTTTCTTAAGCTACACAGAATACATTAGTGTCATTCTTCTTACTCTAGAAATGCCTACATTCAAGCATCTAACAAAAGGAAGTCAACTCTCTGGTGCACAAACTGATACCCAAACCATCTAGGATGCTTCTGCCAAGGTTTTATCCAAGATCAATGTCTAGAATTAAATTATCCGTTCCACAGGGTTTTCTCCCTGAACAATGTCTCTAGAATTCAATTATCTGTATCACAGGATTTTATTGCAGTACTCAAGGCACTGAGCATTCTAACTCCACAATCTGGCATGCTTTATTTCTCAGTCCTCATCTTCATCTAAATCATCATCACCTAAATCATCATCATCATCATCATCATCATCCTCTTCCACCTGAAACAGAAATAAGATCAGTCATAGTCTGCATTTCCCCATGATTTAAAACTATGTTGACTGACTATGTTCATTATGTTCAATTATGAAAATGCTTTATATTGGTGTAGATTTAGATCTCACCTGTTCCCCGAGTGCTTTTAACCTGGTCTTGTATGTGTCTATTTTGGTGTCCTGGTCTGCCAGTAAAACTAACAAATCTTCCTGTTCTCTTTTAAGATTATCCAATTCTTCTGCAACCTCATTCTTTTCTTTTATAACTTGTTTAGTCTCCTCTTGAGCTTTCTGAAAAAATTTCAAATAAACAAATTGCACTTAATCATCTCTATTTGATGCAAGAGGCACTGTGCAAAAAAAAAACTTAACAGAAGATTATAGATAGCCCCTAATGATACACAACCTTTGTTCCAGAATCTGGTATCAACCACAGTTTTTAATCAACTATCTGGTATTTGTTAAAACTAACCTGAAGGCACCAATATTTCCAATCTCCATTCTGGGAACTGTACCTCATATAAAAATAATCTTTTTATTTACAAATGCATCAAGAAATGGTGCTGCAATTCTGTTGAACAACCTCCTGAATCATTCAGGCGAATGTAAAACCTAAAGCTCTTAATAGTTTCCCACATATGGACTTTGCAATTTTTATTGTAAAGATTCTAACTAATTCACTGGAGCATAAAATGTAGGTCAAATGCAAGTACAAGTCCTGTTCTACTTCTAGTTTCCCAGATGGAGCCCATTACAATATCCCCTGCCAGCTTTATTGAGTTAGGGATAAACAAATATTAATGTTTGACATATGTAATGGATAATCACTGTTATTCAGTGTCATATCACCTTAGGATTATTCCTCTACCAAAATAGAGTACCAACCATGCATAGAACTTCTTTCATTCTTGGATCCTTTCATGGAATAGATATTATTGTGAAGTAGCCACATACTAGCTGTATCTAAAGAACATTTCCCTTTAACTAGTCATCTAAATAGACATGTGTCTAGATTACCTGTGTATGTAAAACAGAACTGTAACAGGTCAAGTACTCACATTAGCTTTGTCTATAAGGTTCAAATTGTCTTCATTGGCCTTTGTCAGTCTTTCCTGTAAAGTTGACTTTTCACTTGAAAGTTTTTGAATTTCTTCCTGTAATAATACTGAATCTCCTCCTCCAGCTGCTTGACTTGAATTTTCATTTTTGACTTGATTCTATAATAAAAACAAATCTTTGTATAATTTTAACCAGATAACATTGTCACACATCTAACATGCACCTGGGCTACCTCTGTATACCGCAGTTTACAGGCAACAAAACAAGGTCTACATGATCTCTACCTACTCTTGTTCACAGATAGTAAGATCAAGCTTTATCCAAAGATGTTAGGGACATGATCAATTTCAACTGCCAGTTTGTTTACCATTTACTAGATAAAGTCTATATATACAGTCCTTGTATACCTTTAAATTGCTAGTAATAATTCACATTCTGGGTAAAACCATCTCTCAGAAATTTTAAGATGAGAGGCATATTTCAGTATGTCCAGCATTCCTTCTAGGTTCACATCTCTAGACTACAAAGAGCCATGTCCCTTTGTGGAATGTAAACCAGTGAGTCAGTGACAGTCAACTCAAATATACATATATACATAAATTTACCAGATATTCTATCTGTTTCTGTGCTTCAGTGTGTAGTGTAGCGAGTCGTGAGACTTCAGCATCCCTCTCAGTCACTATATGTTGAGCTTCCTGGAGGTCACACTTGATTCTATTAACTGTTGCTTGTAACACAGCAACTTCACTAGGGTTGTTCTCCTTGTCCTCCTCCCCTGCTGTCTGATATGCCAACACCTTAGCCTCTGACACCGTCAGATCTCCCTTCTAAACATAACAATGTGAATCAATCAGTTTAAAAAAGACTTATGATCTCCCTTCCATACATAACAATGTCAATCATTCAGTTTAAAAAATAATATTTTACACAAAGCTGAATATCAGCAAGACTTATCCCATTTTAAGGATCAGGCTTTAATGCATATAGTACATTGTATGTAATTTTTTGTGATTATTTATGAACGGCTGGAGTTGGTGATAAGAGAGTCTTGGTATGGCTGGTTTCAGTGTATACAATTTTAGCCATCAAAGAGATGGGGAAGCTGGAATTTGAAAGACTATCATATTTAGACAGGTTCTTTCATTACTTTCATTACCAATTTCTCCATTGCTGTTTCTTTTTCTGATACATATAGCTTTAACCTTTCCAATTCTTCTTGAAGATTTCTCAGGTCATCATCTTTCTTTGTATCTAGCACTGCTCCTTGAGAACCTTTAAAGAAACAACACATGGATTTACAAGATGATACATTAGATATATGAAAACATGCAAAATCAGAATTTCTTTTACTTCTGGTGTTTAATATGAATATACATGTTAGAATCGACTTCTCTTCTGTTTTGATTGACCATTTGAAAATTAAATAAGATGTCTGTTTACTAGGTACCTTTCTGTGCTTTCAGAAGTGCATTCTGATCCTTAAGTTGTTGCACCTGTTCCCGTAGTTCACTTAAATTGCTTGTGGACGAGATGTTTTGTGAACGCAACAGGTCCAACTCCTGGGTCACACTTTTTAACTGTGTGTCCTAAAGCATACAGATATTGGCATATAAGGTCAGTCAAGTGACTATCTGATATGTCACAAATCAATGCTTAGAACTTCAACAAAAAAATATTTGCTTATAAAATGCGTTTACATTATTATCTCTGCCATCCTTTTTGTGTCAATAATGCTGAAATTGCTGAATATACCAGTATAAAAGAGACATTTTTACCTGTTCTTGAATAAGTTCCTTGTATTGGTTGACCACCTTTTCATGCTCCTGTAAATTAGCAATTTTCTGTTTGTGTTCTGCAGCATTAGCATTTGGTGAGACCGTATTCAAAATGTCAACTGAAAATAAATATTAAAGTGTGTTAAAAATCTTATTCCAATAATTCTTAATGAAATATTTCACTACACTAAAGTACTACACATGCACATAATTATTTTGATATAAAAACTACACCATGATATGCAATTACCCAAAAATGGCATTATATTACCAGGAAATTAATACAGTGGACTCAATATCAATAACACCTAGTATGCTTTTTATTCATATTGCAAAAATCTGCAAACTTGGTTTAGTAAATATTTTACTATCTCAGAGGACCAATAACATTCAATTTAAAGTGAACTATTGATTCTTATTTAAAGGTTAACAGTTATCCATGCAAGGAAACTTACCTTCTAGAGTTTTAAATATTCTTGTAAATTCAAAATCAAACACCACCTCACTGGGATGTTTGTAAGTGAAATTGGGTTTTTTAGCTGCATTTGTATAGCTCTCATTCTTTGGTATCTGTGTTAACTTGTCAGAAAAGGATTCTAAACCTATTCTTTTCTCTATTATTTGTCGTAAAGATGCTCTGAAAATTAAAATCAAACATAAATGGAATGATTAATCAAACATCTTACCTCAAAAGGTTAATTTCAATTTTTCTCTTGATGATTGAAAGACAATAGTTCAGAATTATGATGTAAATGGACACAAAACAAAGTCTTTGCTGTCTAACAACTTTGATATGATAAAAGATTAATAATAAAACAAAATTATACAAATATTTTGTCTAGACGACTGCATTTCTGTCTGACTATGAAGAAAACTAACCTATTAAATGTTTCGTTTTGATCATCATTATCAAGGACACATATTCCAAGTAAAAATGAGCATAATCCCTGGACCAGAGTTTCATTCTCGTCACTCTCTGATGCAGACACCTGGGTTATCAGCTTTGGATGGTGTTAAGAAAAACACAAAAAGCAACAATACACAGAAATTGGTTAGGGTATTTTGTACTTTTTAAAAATAAAATTGGAGGAAAATATAGTTAAGTTTGCGTGTTTATAGGGATGTTTTAGCAAACAATCAAAGCATGTTTTATATTTATCCTGAGATTTAATAATCCTTTTTAGTTTCCTTTAGTTTGTTATTAACATTTTGCCAGAAGAATATCTATTTCAGATCTGAAAGGTTTGTTACAGTAGAGAAATGGTTTCTTATCACATTACTTGAAATTGTAATGTGATATACTGTAGAGAACTAAGGTCTATTTCAAGGATACAAATGGTATGTTGGCTGTGTTTGTGAGGAAGTGGGCCACAACTATTGGACAGCTAGACATCCATCCACACATCAGCATCAGTAGTCCTACCCTGGTCTGGATCTTACCACCCTGTAAGTATACAATCAAGTCATCATCTAACTAGTACAAGCATAAACATAAATCCTGCCACAAACTACAGACAGCCATCATTTGATCAAATTACAGACACAATCCAGTCAATATCAGCCACAAGCTTAGGGTCCAAAGAACCATTATATGGTCAAAACTACAGGCAAAACCAGGCAACATCTGACCACAAACTACAGGCAGTCATTAGTTGGTCAAAACTACTTTCATTATCTGGTCATAAACTATGGGCACAGACAAAAATTGGGTCAAAACTACAGGCATAAACTGGTCTTTATCAGCCCACAATGAAGACAAACAGTCCCAACCATACACAACCTACATAAACACAAATACAAACAACCAACACAGGTACAAACAATCCACAACATAGACATACATTCTAACATATAGAAAAATTAAATACATACAATAATTGTTGAATACAATGCATCTAAATTTTCAGAGATGAAAGTTTCATATTTGTAATTCTCAATAGGTTTTTTATCATTGTTAAATCACTATATTTGTCATTTGTAGTTTGAAACAAAAGGTAAAACTCCTTTGCCGATAGCAATCAAACATTTGTAGATCTTGTCCACCAATGCCTTATTGAAATAACTTTATTTATGGCATTGTATCAATTCAATTGATTTTTCCATTGTCATGCAGTATTTACAATTTAGAAATAAAAAAGGTTTAGACAGGGAAAGAAGAGATTCAGTTCTGTAAATAGGAGATGCAGGAAACATGCGAAAATGCTTGGAAAGGGTTTAAGTTGTGATATAGTAGAAAAGTGCCTGTTCTTCCTGCTGTAAAGATACAGCATTGCAAATGATACAAACATGGTTCACCGTTGGCCTGAAATGGAACCATTCAAGTCTTGACAACAATTGTCTAAAAATAGTAATGGTGATTTTGACCTTGACCCTACAATCCTGAAAATCAACCTTGTGTGAGATATTATGATTCTTTAGAATAATGTGAAGTTTGATCAAAGCACCTCAACAAATAAAGTCACTAGAGTGCTGAAATATTTTTCTTAAAATAGCTAGTGACCATGACTTTGTCCCTACAGCCCTGACACTCAGACTCTTCAGTCACGAAGAAATAATAACATATAGCTCCTTTGTTAACAGTGAGAAAGTCATTAAAAAGGACAGACTTTGTTCTGATATGGATGATGTGGACAAGACCTTAGGACGTCCTGGCTTTAATCTATTTTTCTGTAGAATTTTTATACCATAATAACACCTTTTTGTTAAATTACCAAATGCAATAGTTTTTTTTTTGAGAGGGAATCATGCGTGATGACAGATAGTATTACAACAGCACAACAAAGATGTGGATCAAACAACACAAACTAAGCAATTGTTAATAAACTACGCATGTGTCCAAAAGCCTGGGGAAATATAGTACAGTAAGATACTCACATCAGCGGACATAGCATCTTCCTGTGTTAATTACATACACAAGGGATGGTCATAAGCTATACACTCTAGCTGGCCAGTATAAAACACAAATTTCATAATGGAACAAAAAGACTATTAAGATCATGCCAAACAAAACAAAACATTCTATGAGAGAAATTTGAGAGAGAACAGAAGAAAAAGGACGGAAATCATACAAGGGTCAGTAAAAATGTTGTAAACTATGAGTTAAAAGGATTTATATTAGTGAGATTGGAACATAATAAACTGCACTCAAAAATATTTTTGTCTGATTTAATTTCCTCCCTCAGCCTTCTTTTTCATGCCTTTTGTATCAACATTACTTTCAATCCCTTTTGTCCTTTGTCAAGAGTACCAGAGGAAATAATATTGTTTCCAGTACTTATGACTATCAAAAACAAGAACAAAAAGAAAAAACAAAAAGATGTCACTCATGAATCAGAAATCGCCATCTAAAAGTGCTTGTCCCTTACAGTATGGTACAAACATTTCTTCATCTCAATTTCAAAGTTTGTACTTACTAAAACTCATCTCACTTTTCAATATTTGTACTGACTAAAACACATCTCAATTTTCAATATTTGTACTGACTAAAACACATCTCAATTTTCAAAGTGTGTACTAACTAAAACTGTAACACAATGACCATAATATCATGGTTCTTTGTATTTTTATTTTTCACAAACAAATAGTAAATTTAGTCAAAAAAGTATTAATAAAGTTGGAAAAAGGTTGAAAGTAAGACAGACAAAAATACTATTGTTAAGAACATAAAGAAAATAGCAAATACATTGAAAATACTTTTATGGTGTGAAAGATTCCTGTCAGAAGAAGGTACCTGTGACAATATGTTGCAACACTGCTGCAGCAGCGAGACAGGAGGACTACCAAGGCTGGTAGCTAGCTGGACTCGTAGGAGTTGCTCCTTCTGCGTTGGGTTTTCCATAATGGCATGTAACAGGGCTACAGCAGCAAACCAGTTTGACAGGCAATCAGCACTGAAAAGCCCTCCACAAAGTAACTGGCCGGCAGATATTGTATTTGCTGCAATGATCACAGAAGTGTTCTAAGATAAACTGCAGCATTTTCCTGAAAATCATATTAATTATATTCATAAAGTGCATTGCATTACCATTTTTCTCTCCTCCATCTTAATTTGTTTTCTTTATTATCTCTTCAGAATAGTTGTCAGTGTGTTTCTTAATCTATTGTAATGAATCTTCACACACTTCTGAATAATTTTACTTCTTATACAAATTTGTGTTTATTGACATCCTAGAGCAGAAATCGAGGTAACTGTTTCAATAACAAATTAGCAATCATTGTTCCACTGAAATATTCAACTACTGTGATATGGGAATGGTAACAAAAAGTCCTTTGTTAAAAGATGTTACTTGAATAAATTCTACATTTACTTCAGTATGCAACATGTTAACCTTGTATGGCAATATGCTAGTGGCATGACATTTTTATCTAGATGAAAGGTTGGTGTGTTTCCACTGCACCGCCTGATCATCCAAGGTAATTAAATTAAAAAAAAAAATACCTGAAAACCTTTAATCTCTACAAGCTACTGACTCAATACTTCCACTCTAGGCCTATTGGAAAATGTAATTCAAAGAAAAAAGTTGACACGTGGAGGGACTGATGGGCAGATGCTGTACCATGACAATGGCAATACCAGTAACGTCAGTAGACTTTTAAACAGGTAAGCCAAAAAGGGTTACCATCAGATGATGTGGGTAGGAGTGTCTGGACTATCTGAGACTGTCCGATCTCATTCCTGTAGAGGAAAGACTGGAAACAGTAGAGGACAGCACATCTCAGTGTGAAAGGCTGCTTCTCATTTACCATTGACATCAACAGTACCACAATGGCTGGTCTGAAATATACAATTAGCAATGCAAGGATTTTGCATCATTTTTATCCTGTGAACAATATAAATATACAGATAAAACCTAAAGAGCCCCTTGAAGGGTGAAAGCTGCTAGTTCAAGTTCTAGTATACGCAGACAACTGAAAACTTTACAGAAGTAACTCAATCACTGATTTAACCAATACATCATATCGATTGAAAAACAAAACTGAGTGTGAGTGCTCACAGGATCATGCGATCAATATTTTAAGACAGTTGATAAGTAAAGTATCACTTTGTTGAGCCAAAGTAAAAATATTACTGTGGTCCATTTTCTTAGCATCTAAAACCAGGATGCAGATCTAGTCAGTGTCTACTAGAAACTAGTTCATATTCTGACTTTCTTTCTTTCAGATTACCACATGTTATCCTAAATTATGTTGTTGAAAAATATAGTAAGGATCATTAAGATAAACTTATAAGATGAACTTAAATGCACAAGCATACAAATTATATATCTAAATGTAATACTATTACACATACTCTGATAAAACATTTTCATAATGAATTACTATTCATTTAATCAACTCAGTTAAGAAGCAGGGTATTTTCAACATTTTCACTTATTCAATTAAACTTCTTAAACTTAGTACCAAATGCTACACCAAAGCTGAAATATTGATACTACAATGTTATAGTGTATTGTATGACTATCAATTATATGTATGATGAAAATAAAAACAAAATTTTCTCATAAGATTATGCTGTTTTTAAACAATCATTTTAAAAATACTAGCTATATATTACTGTGACAGTTATGTATCTTTGTCAAAGTAACATATACTCTAGTTCTGACAAATACCTGGGAGGGTTGGACGGAGCCATCACAGAAGCGAAATACTCTTGATTTTGTGGGTTGCCTCTGATCACCTCTGCCACAGTGTTAATGGTCTTAAGTAAGACAAATAGTGAAACAAATGTACAATTATATGCAAAGTATTATTTGCAAAGTATGTGATAAAGTCTTTCTATATTAAGATGTATATAAAGTTCAATTCCTATTCTCAAACTCTGTTTACAAAATCAAATAAGTGATGTAATAAGGACATGGAAATTGTTAACACATTAATGCGATAGAATATTAAATCAAATTGAGTATCAAAGTTACCACCAAGGCACAGAAGACTTATGATGGATATAACGAAGACCATTAGCTGTACATACCTCTGTGAGGACATCTGCAGGCACACCACTAGCCATCAGTATGGTACATAACTGTTGTACTAAGCCTGTAACAGATTATATCAGGCAAGATTTCAATTTTTTATTCAGTTATTATACCTTCAGCAATAATACATTTAAAACCCTTGAAGACTCTCCTATTATCAATGCAAGTCTAAATAAATAGTGGAATACAACTTTTTCCGATGACATTCTTTAATGATTTATTTTCAAAGGCTGTCAGATGGGTTATGCTCTCCGAATGGGACAAAATTTATGTATGAAAAATAACAAAAGAGTTATGATTCTTGTGCATTGCCCACCTTCTCATCGAGATCTGTCTACCTATACAGTTTCATGATGATACCTCTTAACAGTTTTAGTGTAATGCTCTAGACAAAATTTAAGTATGAAAATTAACAAAGGGCAATAACACCTAAATTATGCAAAAGAGGGTGATTGTGCTGGTGCAATGCACTTCTCCTTGTTGAGATCTATCTACCTATGAAGTCTTATGTTGATACCTCTTACAGGTTTTGGGTTATGCATTTTGTTGTTATTCATTTTAACATTACTATCCAATTTTTAGGACATGAGTATAATTGTAGGCGACACAAAATAAAATTTAATCGCTAAATAATTTTCTCCGTCTCAAGATATCTAGATTGATATTTAAGCATCCAGAATTTCATTTGAATGTGTAATACAACATTCCTTACCACACTGAAACATTGACCGTTGACATGATGACATCTGTTGTTGTGGACTGTTAGGAGACACTAAAGTACGAACCAACTGAAAAAAAATTATAAATCAAAGAAATTCAAACATGTTCTAATATTTATCTTCAGTAAAAAAATACAATCTTATGATAACAAGAGGCTGAAGGGCGACAAAAGACACACAAGTTTTGTAAAAACCATCATTTTTGTTTTTGTAACTTGCCATAGAAATCAATTTGTAAACAAAGGTAAGATAACTCCAGTGTACATATAATTCAAATGTTAAATGTACATATAATATCAACTGCCATACAATGTTGAAAATTCTAACCATATTTTAAATTGTTTCCACTGGAAATGAGAAAATAACTCAAGCTCAAAAATACATTTACTTATCACAAACTATAGGGGAAACTTAACCATGATCTCCCCAGAGGGGTCAAGAAAATTAGGATTTCGATAATGCCTCTCAAACCCCTTCCATTTTTGAAGAGTATTTCATTCTGACATATCTTGGTCTTGAGTATAATAGAGTATGATGAGTATAATTCTTTTTAAATCCAATCAACTTTATCTTTTTTGATCCCATCAGACTTGTCTCAGGTGACCTAAAAAGCACCTATAACATTTTGTTATGATAGTAGAATAGAAGTTCTTGTAACACAACCAGTAGAAGATTTGAGTGTTAGTGTCTTCTTCTGGTTGTGTTATAAGAACTTCTATTCTACTGACATTACTAACATAAAGAAAATGTTCTAAAATATTTTGTTATGTTGGTGACGTTTTGGTGCTTACCTGTAACATTTTGTGTATATTAGTGACTTTTTGTGCCGACCAACCAGGTTGGGATGTTTGCTGGTCAGACTTTAAATTGAAAAAAGGAGACAATCTCTGTATGTAACTGCTCTCACGAAAGAAATTCTGGTTTGATGCATTATTCTTGAGTAGATTCAACAGCAATATCAGACAGTCTTCTACTACAATACCTGTAATAAAAAAAATTGTTTAAGCAATATCTGAAATTAAATCATAGAAAGTATAAAATTTGATATTTGAATAATGATGTTCTTTCATTCTGCAATCAGATCTGTATGTTGTTTTATGACACTAATATTGTGGCTGTCCCTATTCCATATAACACTCAATTGTTAAAAAAATTGGTGAGGCATTAAAATTTGGAAGCATCCAACAATATAAAGTTTAATTGACAAGAAGTAGAAGACATACTGATTTATTATATTAATATATGTATGTGTGTTGCAACTTGAGATGAGGGCCAATGTGCTTTGTTAACAATATATAACTTATCACATGTTCAGTCTGAAAACTATTCATAAAACTGTAAGATACTCAGTATAAAAATTTCAGGTCATTATTTTCCCATTTCGATATGTGAAATGTGAAAGTTTTTTTGATACATTCAATATATTAAGTCTAAGCATAAAAAACAATAGCCAATATATGCTATCAACCTAAAATTGCATCTCTCAGCCAAATTCAAAGATCACATGAACATTGCTGAATTTAGTTCCAGAAACCCATAAATCAGTGATTCAGCACATCAGTTCTTTGACCGAAGGGAAGTTGCAGAAATACCAAATGAATATATGATACAATTGTACCAGCTGATGAAGATGATCAATCATGTCACATAAGCGAAGTCACGCAGTGGAAATCCATGTAGAGACAAATGATACTTAGACACAGAGTTAGACAAGCTAATGCTATATAATGTGAATGTATGAAAAGTAGTGAAAAAAGGGAAACTCTAGCGAATTGTATTTATAAACAGTTTCTAAACTTTCTTTGAAAATGTTCAATTAAAATGATTTTAGGTTTCCTAGTTATGTGCATTATAACAAAATTAAATCTCAAAACATAACTAATGGCACTTAAACAGTAGTACCTGGATATATTGTTCTTCAGAATACCTTAAATAGCTTTTTTGTATCATTCCAGAATCAATACATTAGTCAAAAACAGTACCCAATTTAATTGTATGCCCAACAAGTAAAGTTACAGCAGGTAAAAAAACAACTAAAGCTGTGTGAAAAGAACATACCTCCATCACTGTCACCTTCTTCTGTAATAACATCAAACAGTCTTTCGAAAGCATTTTCAAAAGCAACAATCTTTTGCAAGTTTGCATTGTTCTTTGTCAGCTGAATCAGCAGCAAAAGAGCCTAAAATAACAACAGAAATTGTTTGAAGTTAATCATTCACTTCTTTTTTTTTTTTTTTAATCATGTAAATGTTGCCCACTGAACTTTTGTCCTCATCAAGCTACACTTGTTTACATTATAGTGTTTGAAGTAAAGTATTGATCAATTAGAGAACTGTATTAGCTGATTATCATTTGATTACAGATATGACTAGAACCTAATCTGTGAACATTTTACAGGTGATATGTTATTTGTTTGACTATTTGCTGGGTTTACTGCCCCTTGAACAGCTTTGGTTGTCTTGAGACAAAGTCTTCTATCAGCTTGTGACTATGTAACTGAATAACATACAGTAAGGGAAGCCTGATCATCCACAGCAATTAGGATAAATGTCTTATCAAAGGACCCAACCTCAACACTAATACCAGTCCATTTCACAGCTTCCAGTGAAACATGAACATCATGGGAAGGGAACATTGAACCATGTACCTCAGATCTTCACCTGAAGTTATGGAGACCTATTCTCTAAGCAACTGAGCTATCACTGCCCCTCTTAAACAACTTATGAAATGGAGAGTTGAGGGACAAACTAAGTGATTACGTAATTAAATTATCATTGACCACATTATCAATTTTTTTAACATGGTAATTCAAACTCATATCTCTGATTTAGTTGATCTAATCATTAGTTTTTCTGTTGCTAGATTGTGTTTTAACAATTAGGATCGATCAAGTTAATAATTTTGAAGGACCAGAAAGCAATTATGATATAATTCTTCTTCATTTCTCAAAAAATGTAAGGACTTTAAGCTGCCCTATGTAAGATTCTATGGACAGATGTGATCAGCTAGTGACTACAAAACTGCAATGAATATTAATACCCTATACATATTATAATAATCAGACATATTTATATACATTATACACTAAATTGAAGATATTTAAGTACAAACAAAAAACTAACATCATTGCGTATGATTTCTCTGCTGTCTGACAATAAGTCCATCAGTTTAGATACTCCCATTGGACTGACTAGGATAATCTCTTGTAATTCTTTGCCTTTGTTGGTCAACAGAATTGTAAGTAGTCGCACAGTTGGCCAACGAATGTGGAAATCATACTCCTGCAGAAAGAAAAGTCAAACATCACTTAACACGAGGTCAGAAGTGTCTGTATCACTCTGATACTTCAATATTTTACCAAGTAAATTAGATCACCTTTCATGAGTGATTATCAATTATACTGAAATATTTATTCTTTGATAAATCAGTGAAATATTTTTTTTTATTTTATTGAGTAAGGTTTGGACATAATAATATTTTTAAACAAAATATCAAAAGTTAACATAAAATTATCCTTCAATTTTCACCCTATTTATTTACCAGAAATCACTCTTGAGAAAATCTCTCAATCATTGGATTAAAGTTATAAAAGTAAAATTGTATTAAGAGAGCCACATTTCCTTTTTACATTGTTTCCATGGTTTGAAGGATCATAGATGCTTCATAACAATCGTGGTAAGAAAAATCATTGGCTCCCCTTATCATTAATGAGATTTGTCCGCTTTCTTTTTTATAAAACATGCTGTTGGATTCTTTTTATCTTACATTAAATGAATGTTTATATCAATTTCTTTCATAAGTGAAATACAAAGTTCCTTTACATCTAATAGTTTTTAAATTTAAGCATTCCTTAATTAATGACACTTTTCCTCCAGTATTAGAAAAAATGGCTAAAAAAAGACCACATCAAATTCTGATGTCATGCGACAACAATAATTCTGATTAGTGATAACAAGCAATTTTTGATTGGAGAATATTGGGTGATTGTCAGTTAAGTAATGTTTTACTTCAGCAAACAATCAGAAGGGAAGATTTATAGATTAGATTGCTGAAAAGCACCATGCGCAGTGTCAGGTTTTTTGAAGTTATCAATATTTTGTCTTCATAAATTTTACCTCCAACAGTGACAACAGTAATGGAACATTATCTGTTTTCTTTATAAATATTTCTGTGAACTGGTTCCCAAGATCATCTGGAACATTCTCCTGAATCTCTTCTTCATCTGAAAGGGAAATGTTTGATAAAGCAAGAGTGATCTCTTTCCCAAAGAAATTGGCATAAAATAAAAGCAACAAATAGGTTTGTTTCTCTAAAATCATCTGAACAAGTTCATGTAAAAAAAACTATCAATATATCACATAGAAAAAATATTAGCAAAAACTAGATGTATCAGTACAACACAAATGCCTTGAGATGTAGTAATGACTCTGTCAAGTGTTGGCTGACCAAAATTGATTAATAGTTGATCTGGTACAAACAATGCACTGTATATATCCAATTTCAATTCAATATTCCAATCCAGCACTTGAAATTGAGTTTTAACTTAATAGATACTTCCAAGGTCTAAGGATCATAACTCTAGAAAAAAGAGATGTCTATCTAAACAAAATATAAAACTGGCCTGCAACATTCCAGAAGGCAATTACATGTCAAATCACATAATTCTGAAGAAAATAAAAGTAGGCAAATAGTACCAAACATTGTGTTGACCAGCATTTTATCATAACAGAACTTCACTTTAAAGTTTCAGTTTAATGTTCTCATCCAGCTCCATGAAAATAAGAGAAAATTGATATTTTCTGAAAAATTTTTCTGTTCAAAGCTCAGAACTTTAGAAATATTAGTGGAATGAAACCAAATGAAAAGCTAACTTACTTATTAAATAACTACTTACTATACTTCAACTTATAATAGCAGAAAGAAGGTAAACCAAATTATGACAAAATGATGTAGTGTTGACCAGAGACAATGTTATGTGCCTTTCCTTAAAATAAGCTGGTTATAAAAATGGTTATGCTACAGGTCTGACACCACTGCTTGCAACACCATTTAATCTAGAAACTGAACCAGCACCAATCATCATATAAAAATTCAATGTGTATTACTTTAACGCCCACAAAATTGCATATGTTTTCCTGTGAGTATTACTTACCATCATCTAGTGGTTCATTAGACAAAATATTGCAGAGAGCATCAAGTGCATAGCCTGTGATTTCTGCATCACCTCTGAAATCAAAGATAATAATATATTAGATGTATCCTATACATGTAAAAGAAATCCATAAAAAGACCTAATAAATTGTATCATTCACTAATCACTCCATCCAAGCAAATTCATTGCCATGGAAACACTGTCCATTAATAAAGCATAAGCACTTTCATATCAAGCCTTCAGATATTACAAAAACTTGTACAAGACATGTTGAGTATACATCATTGAATGACTTTTGATTTACCAAATGCACACATACAAAGAAGTTAATTGTACCTGTCTGCTTCTAATGTCTTGGTCAGGATATCCATTCCTTGTGTACCAACCTCCAGTCTGAATTTCTGAAAAAAAGATCAAAAATTATCAGCATTCAACTACCATTTATACATATACATTATATGTTGACTCATGGAAACAATTAACATTTACAATTACATTTGAACATTGGGTGTAAATCTTAATCATCATTTCTGAATTACAAATATCTGTTGCTTTCAATGGTTTGATACCCACAATGGTAGACAACATTTTACCTTAGACATGGCTTTGAGAGCCCGAACAGCATCTCTGCGGTCATCTAGTAGTGTGGATGACTGAACTCTGTCTACAAGCCTCTCAACCTGAAAGTTAGAAATTCATCTTATATACATTACCCTTGTTGCAATGGCCCTATGGGATATCATCAGAGTGCAAAGTCTATTCTGAATGTCCAGTTTGACCACTCAAAATAGTTTGGGAAAGCCCTCAAAAAATAGGCCCTATACTATGATATCATAAATATTCCTGGGGAATTTTATTGAGCTATAGTTATCTGTGGAATTATGCGTCCACAGAATGAAATTTCTTGAGCCCAACAAAAATATCTGACTTAACAGTAATATTTTTTGTTTCAATTATTTATAAAATTGTTGGTTTGCTGTCTTCCTTCCCTTTTTGCTATACCATTATCCATTTCAGAACCAATGTAAAATCATACATTTTTGTGGGGCTAAAATTTCTAGGACTTTCAAAAATACATATTGTCATTAACCCTTGATTTTGTGGATAAACTTTGCTCTCAAAATTCACTAGTACTATAATCTATATCAACTGTTATCTATTTTATCATTTGTGGACATGTCAATTCATGGATGGTGGACTAATAAAATATAAAATGTATTTAGAATCAATGTAAACATGCATTATATGTGAGATATTACATGCCACACATTTCGTATGAGATAAAGACATTAAGACAAATTACAAAAAATAAAGTATGAAAATCTGTTCTTTTTGCATATCATGTGGTCTCATTCAGTATACATTTAACAAGTTATTGAATTGGTGACATCCCAATATTTTATTGATGGTGTGCTGTTAATGAACAGGTTGACAAGATTCGCATAATCATATCTCAAATCTTATTTTCATCATTATTGTATGAATACACAATTAAATTGTACAATACTTTCCCATAAATGCTTGTGTCTGGTATGAGCTTAATTTTCATAATCACCAACATATTAAGTATTGTAAGGAGTTTTGTTGTTGTATAGTTTAATTTATAGCATGTTTCTAGTATCCATACAACATTCCATGCCTTTTTGAAGCAAATTTCATAAGATTCCTACGAATGGCTACATCTTCTGACTTGTTACTACCGCTCTTTTAAAATTTTGAAGCCTATCTGGAAACTAAAACAGTTTTCATGCAAATATTGCTACAACCTGCCCCCACCGGTTGGTTTAAATTGTCCTTTAAAATTCATATCATGAAAACTAAACAGATGGACAGTACTTTTTGAACGGTTTAGATGTTGGTGTTGCTCCAAATTCCTGTCATGTGACTTAACACTAAGTGCATAAGAACCCAAAATGTCACCATGATGTTGGGTGTAATACTTATCAACAATATCGGCATCTATGAGGCCTACACCATGAGGAAATTATGGCATGGAATGAAAGATGGTGATTTTTAAAAGTAAAACACTGAAAAGCATCATTTCTGGTGATGCGTGTGATTAGCCCATAATTCTGATGTTTGTTCAATCATTAAGATACTGTGTAGAACTGAATGTTTATAACTTTACACGGGATTACAAGAACCCTAGGAGAGAAGCAAAAGCACCTTTTCCACTATTCCGAAAGACTCTGATCTAGCTTTGATTTTATTTTTTGACTTGTCACCACAAAGTCTAAATCGCGGATAGATGGATCCTTTCAGACTATCTTTCCACTTGTCTTAGCGTTTTCAGTTATGGGTATCCATATATGCAAACATACTATTGAGTAATACATATGGTATGTTTCTATATTATGCATCTATTCCTACTCAGTGCTATACTAAGTTATCTGCAACAGGTATAGTACCATCTGACTGTACGATACTCTAAACAGTGTGGCTGGGGGGGGGGTCTACCGGCCGGTCCTACACTGCAGTTTCAGACATATGGTAGACAACATGCCAGCTATATACCAACATAATCTATTTTACATTATGTTTGTTGTTAAATAGCACCAACCGTTTCAGCTCCCGTGGGTTGACCACCCTCTTGTGGTGCTCCAAGGTATTTTCGGAAGTACTCCATCGCAGACGTCTGTCGTGTCTTCCGGCTCGTACGCCTGCGCAAACTTATGGACGTGGCATTTCCTGGTCAATGCTAATTTCCTAAGCAACATTTAATATCCGGATTTACTATAGCTGAGAAAATGTGATGTAAAGATGATTTACCACAATCTACACTAAATATGATACAGGAATCAAGAAATGACAATATTAAAATTGTTCGTATTATTCATTAACAGAATCGCAATTCTTTACAGATAAAATATTAGTTTATAAAAAGATGTAAAAGAGCAGTCATTATTTAATTTTAATCAACCTTTTTATCAAAAAGGTTACGATATTGTAATTACGATGAATTATTAAAATACTTATTCGCAAAATAGGAAACGTAACAGTTAGTATATTTAGTAATCTAATATTGTATAAATCTAATTAAATTACAGAGAAAAAAAATCATACCTTCCCTACAATATACACACTGATATATCCCATACAACAGGTGTAGGATCATAAAGCAGACAACAGTTCCTGAAGGTGTGAACAGGTTAGGTAAGGTTTCTGATGCAAAAAGCCGGTTTGATTCATATTGTTTGTAATGTAGCGTTCTTAGATGTTTTGCTGTGCTGTTTACAGATTTTACCCTCCAAAGATTCTTAATACCAAGTAAACAGAAATATCACATGTATTGTATAATTATAACTAAATGCACACGTACGCGTGCGCATGTGAACACACTTACCACCACGGAAACACGTACACATGCGTGTTAAATGCAGAAGCGCTCGATTTATTTCAGTAAAACGGCTTGCGATCAGTCATACTGAATGACGAATTTAATCAATTGTTCAGATTTGTTGTATTTACGGATATATGACGAGATTTAAATTTGAGATTACAGTTAATATAGTTTTGTTATTTTTGTTGTGTTGTGTTTACGTTTGTAATTTTCATTCCAAACATTCACTGAGGTCTAGCATTGTACTTCATGAGACCCAAACTTTTATTTGGTATTTAGTGCATTGATGATATGAATGCAAGATGTTTGTGATTAATGTCCAAATTGATTATGTTTGGTCATATGAAAAATATTGAACTTAACAGACAAACGTCATATATTGGGAGCTATTACAGTATATTACACATGTCCTGAATGTCTACAAAACTCTGACAATAATGAAGACCATTAATGCCATAACAAGACAGTTCATTGCCTTCCAACCCAATACATGCTAATTGTGCTAATTACAACTAAACTTAAAACAAATTATTCATAATGGATGGAATAGCCATTTTGGTGATTAACAGAGTCACGATTTCTATGCCCACAATAAATCGCACATACGTTTGGTTAGTTTTTGATAATCATGGTAGGCAGCCATTCAGATTTCTGTTCAGGTCTTGGATTTGCTTTTTGTAAAGTTTAGCATTAATACTGTACAAGACCACAGCTGTAGATCAGCTACTTTGGCATATGATTTTTTAAAACCAGTATGCAGACAAATGGCAAAAGAGGGAATAAAATTGTAAGCATGAGTACTGGTTTTTATAAACCATCTATACCTGTAGAAGTTGAGATTACAGGTCACCTTACTAGCCTTGCTTTTAAGTAGATCAGCTAAGTGTGCAGTTAGAGGCTGAAGGCTCACTGGTTTGAACCTTTTGGTGGCAAGGTGTTTTGTATTATTGGTTCTCCTTTCTATTACAGATTTGATGCCATTGACCACTTCAAGGGTAGCAGGTATGGGTGATTGAGATGCTTCCTTTTGAGATACTGAATACGAGTTGTTGTCTTTGGGGGTTGAAGGCTCTCAAGTGAAGGAGGGAATATTGCAGAAGTTAAAGAGTACAAGTCACTTTATTTGCCTCGACTTGTGAGAATTTCCCTCAAGTTGAGCAATAGTGTCCAGCATGAGACATGGTTCTTGGTTCAAGCCCCAGTAGTGACAGGGTGTTTTTCATTGCTTCCTCCTGTAATATACCTACCATTAATCAACAGGAAATTTAAGTGTGACAGTTATCTGGTGTCCCTAACCTCAAATATGAAGCTCATGACAAGATGTCAAATGCAAAGAAGCACTTCTCTTTTGCTGTGTGTTATTTCTATTTTGATACAAGTTAATAAATATAAAGAAAGGTATCTGATTTCAGTATTTCATCTTTTTGATGCAAAGAGACAAGAGTTACAAGAGGCCCTGAGGGCCTGTGTTGCTAACCTACATATTTAAGTCAATAATGCAAAACTTGACAGTTCTTTTGAAGGATATGCCTCAACCCATAGATACATTTTCAAAGTGGGTGGGACCAGACCCAAGGACAAATTATCAGTTGTGTTTGTGTTTATCTCCTGATGCTCAGCAATGCTATCAAGTTTGAATAACTGAGTAACTCAGTAAAGCTAGTTGACTCAAATTTTCTTTGCTGAGCTTAATTACACCGAGATATTAATCAATTATACATTCCAGGTTGATCAAAATATTACATTGACTTAGACCTCAGAATTGATTTTGGAATTGATAGATTTAATGATTATATGAAATACTGTACAGTTGATCCATTCTTGCAATTTTCATTTAGCTAATGAAGTACATTAGTACTAAATCACTCCTATCAAACACTATTTCATAGTTCTTCACTTGGTGTTTAGAATGGTTTTGTTTTTTTACTCTACTTTCAGATTCATCCCAAAATGGCATACACAGTAGAAAATATACAGAAATTCCTGCTGACCACCACCTCATTGTGGTCTTTTCCATTGTTCTGTGCATACCTCATCATGATTATGTTGTCACCTATCTACCAGAGAGTTACCTCCCCTCTCCAAATGAGACCAGTAAGTACATGTAGTAAAACCAGTTAAATCAAACACTACAAAGACCAAAAATATAGATCTGGTGTTTTCTTGACCTAATCTGCACACATCAGTCTCTCTTTCAATGCTTGTAAAGAGATCAAGGAATACTCACCATGCAAATACCAGTTCTCACAATTTCATAGGGCATCTTGTGATTTTTGTTAGTTTGTTTTTAATGGAAGGGAAAAAACATTTCAAACATTTGGGGATAAAATGACAAGAAAGTTAATGTGAGTTCAACCAAAAACCCCTTTGCATTTGGAGGAATGATTAATGATGGCAAGAATGGGAGATGACTAGTAACTAGATTCAGTAGAAGATGCAAATGAAGTCAGTTAAGCACTCCATTTTGAACTTGGGTAATAGTGTATCATTGTAAAAATGTATATTTTGTTTTTCAGTTTGGTTTCAACTTACCACTATTTTCGAATTGATTTTTTCTTTCAAAGTTGCACTAGATCAAAATTGAATAATTTCTCAAGTCCCATATAAACAATTGAATGAGCTATTCATTGCTTTTTACATATACTACTGACTTTACTGACACCCTGTCACATCGGACATTTTTTGTGGTCCCCTATGATGTTGGTACAATTAGGATTTACTGTATCTTCTCTATGTACGCAGTCATTTTAGCTAACTCATAAAAAGTATGCATGCAGTGACAAAAAAATAAAAATACAGAAGTGCATTTTGCTATTTATGAAGTACTTGTCTTTTTCTAAGATCCTGATAATCCACAACTTTGCCTGTAGTGCTGCCAGCCTGTATGCCATGTTGGGATTACTGTATGGTCTGTCTCAGAGTGAGTCAACATTCCAGAAAGGCCCATCTGAGTTGATGATCCCATTCTTCAGGATTTATTGGATAACAAAACTCGTCGAGCTATTGGACACTGTCTTCATGATGCTACGTCACCGTCGCCGGCAGATTAGCTTCCTGCATGTGTACCACCATTGCTCCATGTTGCTGCTGAGTGACGTATCATACAACGTGTATCCCTGGCCCTGTATAGCCTTCTACCTGGCCATCAACTGTTTTGTACATATTGTTCTCTACCTGTACTATGGCTTAAGTGCTACATTCCCAGACAAGTCCTTTCCTTGGAAGAAACATATCACACAGTTGCAGCTTCTACAGTTTTTTATAGGATTCATTCATGCAACTACAGGGTATCTATATTATGGTTTTTGTATTTATGGAATTTTTTATGGAATGTCTATGACCATTCTGTTTTCGAATTTTTATTATATAGCCTATATTAAGGAAAAACATCCCACCAAACTACACAAGTCTTAGACACTAAAGGGCCAGACTGGCATATATCCATACTTATATAATTTACCAATAGATACTCATTTACTGTATAGATGTGGCTTGACATTTTTGTAGATTTACACATAGTATACATGTGTAAGCAATGATACAATAAAGGTGTTTTACATTCTCAACTTTTTGGAGGCATTTGATCCAGATATCAATCTTTTTAATGATAACACAAAATTTTAATTAAGTGATATCACTCATTCAAATTAATGATACATATATCATTATTTCAATACAAATTAACAATATTATTTAATAGATTGATATGAATTTAATTAAGAATAATTAATGAATGCATATAATTCTTTATTGAATGATATAGCTAAATTTTCATTGAGGAATAAATCATTTATTCAAATTAGTGATACACTTTTTGTAGATACGTATTAAAATGGCATTATGTATTTCATACAATACCCATAATTGTCAGTGCTAATATTGGATAGTTATCAGTTTAATTCTGATATTTTATCCTTTCCAAAGTTTCAGCTAAACCATTGCAGCCAGTAATGTCTCAGTTTCTGAAAATGTTTGAATTCTGGTGAGGTTTTAAAACTTGTTTTTGTCTTTTTCTGTATACTCTTTTAGTTTAAAGAACATGTCACTTTTCTATCCTCTTTAGTGAAGAGGTATAGTATCTGGCTGGAGGTTGAAGAATCCCTAGTTCGAATTCCAACAGGGGTAGAACATGTTTTTCATCACTCCCTCTTATTATCAGGATTTTCAATGTGTTTGTATGTGATTACAAGGAACTTTTCAGTAGTATTTCATCAAAAGAAGTTTAGCTAGTATGTTTTTTTTTGTGATGCTGGACAGTGCTGTTGTTGGCTGGACCAAGTTGTCTTCCTAGTTCTAACTTTCTAGTTGCTGGACTTAATTCAACTTCATTGGTTAACTAGGTTTGAATGGATGAATTTCAAATAAATATCATTCACCTTGAAATATGCACTGTACTGTTCACAAATTGTATACTATAATATAAGATTTTTTTTATATAATACCTATGGAAAATTCCAGACATAACTCCATATGAATGTGGAAATGAAACACCTGCTTTGTATATTGATGTTAGAGATGTACATGTACACACATAGCATGTTATATACATCTCTGGTTGATGTACAGTACTTGTGGCAGAGACATGACAAGCATCTGTCTGTCAAAGAGTGTATCATATGAAATCCAACATAAAGTACAGTGTTTGAGCTATTATGAAAATGAAGAGAGGTGCGGAATGGGATGGGGGAGATTAAAATCAGGCATCATGCATTGCAAGTCCTGGAAATGCAATGTGGTATACAGGGTTTACTCACTTTATGATCTCTCTTAAGATAAATGTTTTGTGCTTTTTGCTTTTTGGAGATGGATGTGAATAAGATAAGCAATTCTCACAATGTAGAAATCATTATGATGGTTGGATATATATTTGTTCCATAATTTAATGTACTCCTGTCACATTTTTTGTGTAGCACAATCAAGAAAGTCAAACAATGTATTTTAATGGAAAACAACTTCTAATTGCAGAACTACAATTTATAAATGGTATATAATTCTTGTATCATCAAAAAATATCATTGATATTCCATATATTTTTCTGATATTTGTAAAATTCTTAATGACAATACATGTTTTCATGACAATGCATACAAATGTATGTAATCTTGTTTTTTCACTTGTGTTCACTTTTCATATTTTGTTATGACCAAAAACGTACTCCAGTAAAGGTTAAATCCTAAAGTGCCTTAAAAATTCCACCATGATTATAATTTCTTTAATATTATATCATGGATACATTGCTACTATTTTCTAAGTACTACTTTGTTAACTCCATCCCAATTATCTGTATCACAAGCTAAAACCACTGAAAGGAAACTTTAGCAGGTATTGTGCATATATCACTTTTCATTGGATCAATGATGTAGGTAATTAAAGTGAGGCATACATTCCTTGACATTTCTGAGTCTCGCTATATTTTTCTGAATGTCATTTGAGCTTTTTACAGGATTACTACAATATTTTGGCCCTTACACCAAATTGTCATGAGCTTAACACCTTATGACCATAGATGTAATCACCAATTACATCATCATACCTTTTATTGTGCATTGCACCAGAAAGCAGTAAATCAATTTAACTAATGCAATGTATTCATGAAGTTCAAACAATTAAGCATATATCCCTGCAAGCTGAATGTTTGCAATTTAGTTGTTACTACAAAATATCACCAGCTATGAAATTTCCTTCTTGCAAATATTCAAGTTGGAAAAGGGAATCATTTGTATTCAAAACATGTTGTGTCACATCCTCTTTCATTTCTCTGGCTCCAAAAAAATCCTACTTGTCTAGAACTGATGAAGGAATTTTTACCAAATTTGCTGTAAATTTGTGTAAACAAATGAACATAATGTTATAGAAACAGAGGGGCTTGAGTCTATAAATAGGAAAAGGGTCATCTTCAAAACTTGTCAGTACCATTAAAGGGTTTTTATTTGGAATCCTTGCTTATATAAGTAGATATCGGAAATTATGCAGTTCTGGAATTCTATTATTTTTCCCTTACATTGACATTTGTATATGTGAAAGTATATTTGAAGTTACTGCTGCAGACCCATATGTTGAAATGAACTTTCTCATGGTATAGTAGTTGATCTATTGCTGAAATTAATGTAACTGTCCATATATCAAAAAACAAGCATGCTATACCGGAAAAAAATTTGGCCATTTAGGGTTTTAAATAATATTGAAATGAATATTGATGTCATTTGTGGTTCTTATTTCAGAATACTCTCATTTCTATGTCATTGATAATGGATTTTAAAGTTTACATACATTATACAAAACCTAATGCCATATTGATTTTTTTGCCATTATGATTAGTCCCGTACTCTTTTATGTACAGGTTTATAAAGACATTCACACAGTTATAAAAGATGCAAATATAATGTACAAATATTGAAGCAAACCAGAATAAAATATAAATGTACTTCATTTTTTTAATTTGTTATTTACTCTTGTTAACCAAGAGGATACAGAAACATCTTTGAGTCATTGTGTATGTACATGTACTGATTTTGACTAGGAATAAATCTTTACCTTCAGTGCTACATATGTTTTATTCCATACACAGTCTGGAGAGGACTTTGTTTTATGGCTTCATGTACAAATCATCCTTTCAAAAAAGGTTTTCGACAGAAATTCCCAATTGTGGCCCTGGCAATGGGTCAAATTAATAAAGAAGAGTAACTTTATAATATACCGTAATAGCAATATGTCACATTGATATCAAAATTTTATCACATTTGGGTCAGTCAAAAAGATATGTAGATCGCCAAGTTTCAATTGTACATGTATCACCATTATTACTTCACTTGGTCACTTCCATAAAAAATGACAAAAAAATCCTTTCAGTTAAATTTTAAAGGAAATCAAATATACCCTTCATTGTTTTGATTGAAAACTTGCATTCCTACTTGCAAAGAAAAATGATAAGTTTTGAAAATCTTACTCTGCTTTATTGAGAGCAGGTTCTTTAATATGTTTAAAGAAAATGTAGCATTTACAAATCACATATATTAATAACATGCAACATCATAATGTTGTTATTTCTGCAACTATAAACAAGACTGGTTTCTTCACACAAGAACAAGTATATAAGAATTGTATATCCACAAGCAACATATCAACGATTCAAATGAAAGTACTGTACTGTAATAAAGACAATAATAATGTATTAGACAGTAGTGTGATCTATGTACCTTAACTTCCATGAACTGAACACATCTAAAGCATATCTGCAACTTTTTAAAGTTCAATGAAAAGTTTGGTACTAGGTAGTCACAGCAAAACATTTGTATATGGTAACCGAAAATGTATGCTTTACAAGCAGGAAATGAGGGATTTGGTGACAACTTGTTTATTGATTTTTAAGATCATAAAACCTTTCAGACATATCCATTACTTTCACATATATACAAAAAATAAAGTGAAATAAAGTAGAGATGTGTTCAAACATTTATATGTTGATATAATTTTTCATAGTCAGAACAAAAGGGCAAGTTTAATTAACATACTAACATATACAAATAACCATCCAACACATTTAGACCTAACGAATACAAATAACCATCCAACACATTTAGACCTAACGAATACAAATAACCATCCAACACATTTAGACCTAACGAATACAAATAACCATCCAACACATTTAGACCTAACGAATACAAATAACCATCCAACACATTTAGACCTAACGAATACAAATAACCATCCAACACATTTAGACCTAACGAATACAAATAACCATCCAACACATTTAGACCTAACGAATACAAATAACCATCCAACACATTTAGACCTAAAGAATACAAATAACCATCCAACACATTTAGACCTAACGAATACAAATAATCATCCAACACATTTAGACCTAAAGAATACAAATAACCATCCAACACATTTAGACCTAAAGAATACAAATAACCATCCAACACATTTAGACCTAAAGAATACAAATAACCATCCAACACATTTAGACCTAAAGAATACAAATAACCATCCAACACATTTAGACCTAAAGAATACAAATAACCATCCAACACATTTAGACCTAACGAATACAAATAACCATCCAACACATTTAGACCTAACGAATACAAATAACCATCCAACACATTTAGACCTAACGAATACAAATAACCATCCAACACATTTAGACCTAACGAATACAAATAACCATCCAACACATTTAGACCTAAAGAATACAAATAACCATCCAACACATTTAGACCTAACGAATACAAATAACCATCCAACACATTTAGACCTAACGAATACAAATAACCATCCAACACATTTAGACCTAACGAATACAAATAACCATCCAACACATTTAGACCTAACGAATACAAATAACCATCCAACACATTTAGACCTAAAGAATACAAATAACCATCCAACACATTTAGACCTAACGAATACAAATAACCATCCAACACATTTAGACCTAACGAATACAAATAACCATCTAACACTTTTAGACCTAAAGAATACAAATAACCATCCAACACATTTAGACCTAACGAATACAAATAATCATCCAACACATTTAGACCTAACGAATACAAATAACCATCTAACACATTTAGACCTAACGAATACAAATAACCATCTAACACTTTTAAAGCTATTGAATATTAATAACCATCTAACACATATAAACATCAAATACAAATAACCATCAAACACATTTAAACCCTTTACATACCTTTTCAGCGATACTTAACAATGACTAATTTGCTTAATAAATACTCATAGGAGACTTATGTTTCTCTGTGGTCCTAATGCATTTACATCACATGTAAAAAACAACCATTAAATGACTTTAAACAAATTTTGACTATATTAATGTAAAAGTATCATTTATACCCAAATGTGAAATTGTCGGGACTACAACTGTGTAATAGAAGCTGACATCATGTTTGTTACAAAACGTTTATTATGACTTTGTGAATAAAGTTATCCTGCGTGTCTTCAAACTTATGCAATTAGATAGCACCATGTCTATATGACTGTGGAGTCAGAGATATAAGTTTGTTGTAAGTTGAACAAAGTTGTGTTTCCTTCTGAGATGTAACCAAGAACTAAATGACAGGAATGAAGAAGTGCAGACAACAGTAACAAATATATCACAGCCTTATAGCTTGATCTGACTATCATATCAAAGTGAATATAAGTTTTATTACAAAATGTACTCTGATGTCTGCTGTCCTACTGATGTTGTAGAAGCTATAGAACAGTATAGGAAACCTACTCGTCTTACACTAATACATAAATACCTTTATTATTCTATAAGTTTGATCTTTCAGCTGAAACATGGAACTAGCCAATTGATTTCAACCTACCTTACTCATCAATCTCACCTGGATGATTAAACTTTTTAAATTTTTTAAATCATATTTTTACTTACGGTAAGTGCATCTTACAGTTAACATACATTTTGACAACATAAGCTTTGACATCTCAAAAATCATATAGAATATGGCAGCCATTCAATTATTTCTCATTGAAAATCATAAATACATTTGTTTATGAATTCATCTGAGTAACATTGAATATAAAGGTGAAAGGGAAAGTAACTTTCAAGAGTCATGAAAAAGAAATTGTGACACTGATGATAGTAAACCAGTGTCAATACATGCATACCATCAAAACTTTCAGCCTATACTAATAATTTTTCCAGTGAGAAATAAACAACGTTATGATCAAAAATGCTATTTTTCGATATAAATTATAGTAAAGTTAATCGCCACTCCAGGAAGAAATGAGAGCCATTTTGGTAGTTAAGGCACCTTAAGACGCTTTCATCCTAGATGAGTATTTGATTCGACCATACCTGGGTGTTGAGAAGATTTTTGAAGTTTAAGTCAATTTGACCCAAACTGGCCCTGTCCAACAGCCCCTAGGGGTCAGTTAGGATCAATCTATTCTTACCATTTAGCTGTCATCCTTTATTCATAATTCTACCCGTTTGAAATATTTCCAATGTAAATTACACAAATTATACTCAAAAATCTATATTTACTTTATAAACTAAAGTAAACTTTACCCCCTCCCAATAGGGAAATGTAAGACCTTGGAGCCATGAAATTCACAGCTTTTGGTAAATCACCTAAGACGCATCTATCCATGAAGAGCATTCGATACTACCGTATCTGGGTGTTGAGAAGAAGATTTTTGAAATTTAAGTAAATTTGACACCTTTTGCCCCATCTCACTACTTTGCTTCATCTTAGGCCAGGGAAGGTTTCTACAAAATTTCATTGAAATCGGTTGAGACGTTTTTGAGAAGTTCAAAATGTCAGATGAAGGTGATCGCAATAGGTCAACCATGAGACTTTGTTTCAGGTGACCTAAGAAATTGCACATGTAATAAAAGTTTGTAATCTTGAACAGTAATCCATTGAATTTGTACATTTACAATTCCAGAGAAGATATAGAATTATCAGGAATTTATGTACTGTGCTGGAATATTAGACACCACAATCATAGATTATTTTGATCGTCACAGGCAGTGTGATTTTTCACTGCAGCTGACTGTTCAGTACAGATATCACATTGGTTTTTTTCAAAGCAGTACATCACTTTCAAATGTTGTTTCAGTTTTCAATATTTGTTATTGACCTCTTATCAATGTATCTACAGTTTATTTGCAGCCAAGGTAACTTTTCCATATTAGAGGCACACTGATTTAAGGCTACAGTGTTGCATGGTCATTATTTTTTACCATCTTTGAATGATAATGAGTGCTGGCCATGGATGGTGTCTCTGCCATCTCGTGTCATTCATCATTGGTATCTCTGCTAACTTACTAATACATGTACTGTAAACAGAGATTTGATCTCTAGTGACCACTGGGCAGTATATCTGTGTTGGTTTCCATGTATACATGGCAAGCACCATGTACTTTCCTAGACTTCCTTGACCACTGGAGGGTCAGTCTATATGCTGATGTTCCTGCCAGAGTATGCGTACCTTAGTGATACACTGCTGGCCATAGGCAGATTGGACAAAAACAATACAGGTGAAGGTAAGGACAAAAAGCCATGCAACCCACAGTAAATAATCTGACTCCTCTGTTGGTATACTGGACAGGGGCCCATCATAATCCTCATCTGTAACATTCACCGAAGTGTTCGGCTCCAAACCTGTCAGCAAAAGGAGATGAAAATCAAATCAACCATGAAAATTTTACAATCATTAATAAATTTTATAAATGTCTGCAGTATGCTACCTGAAATTTTGGCATCAAAAGTGTTGTCAACAGGAGATGCTGCTTAGTGTGTTTTGATAAAATTGCTGCATCAAGGTTGTCTTAAAAGTTTCTAACATCTGTGTTGTTACTTACTGACTGATACTGTAGAATGAAATGAACAATGCCAATTCCTGCTTGCTGGCAGCTACAGCTATATTTTACTTAATGTTCCTACGACTTAATTTTTATTCATGTATTGCTACAAAGACAAAGGCAACTTAACAAACCTGTAATATTCCTGACAAACGATGCCAAATTGTCAAAACTTTTGTCTGTCTGGTTAAAGCGGACTAATGCCCTGGACTGGTGAAACAGCAGAATGTTAGGCACCAACACAGTTCCAAACCTTGCATTAAGACTGAAAGGAATAATTTGGTAGATAAGTTACTCAGCTGCATTTAGTTATACCTATGCACTATACATGTATCAGACATCTGAAAGAGATATGTTAGATCACTTTCCACATTTTGACCACATATATGATCCAGTAGCTCAGCCTAAGAAATTGTAATTGATAACAAATTTCATCTCATTATCATACTGAAAACATACATACATTCTTCAATAATAACATTTTTCAGAGCATTATTCCTCATCAGAAATTTCAAATAATCTATCTCCTCATTACAGGGGAGTGACAGATCTAAGTGCATTGACATTCATATTTGTGAATAAATATTTTCACTTAATTGTAATACATATGTGTATTTAACACTACAAAAGCAGTTAAGCATATGAGTGATATTCCTGACAATGGATGCCAAGTTGATTAATCTGTCAAAACTTTTAACACAATACACTATAAACTAACATTTTCCATTTTGTACAACCTTTTGCAACTAAAGACCAATACTCTCCATTTATTTTTACGGATAAATTCCCTTAACCCTGAAGTATATGTAATTCAATAAAAATGATTTCTCCATATCTAGAATGATTATTCTTCAACATAAAACTTACAAAGCCTTCCCGACAGGTAACCTAACAAGATTTCAACAAAATCAGTACATGAAGGAAAATTAAAATAATGTTTATTATAACATATGGGTAAGCTTACAGAATTTAGTAAGCAACTTCAAATGATACTATAGAAAGCAAATGATTTTATCATGATCAGACAAATAATTCTCATTTTTTATTTTAAATATCTTAACTCCCTTGCTTTCTCAAATACTATTAAAAAGGGGATTGTATGAAGCATGCAGAGATTTCCATTCCATAGACATAAGCTTATTAACTTAATAACCCATAATGAAGATTTTTTTACAACAGCTGTTAGTGTGGGAGTAAACACGAGTCTCAGAGTCTCGCTATGGAAGGAAACCAAACACCAAAATTCTTCAGCCATTATGTTGAAAGGTGAATGTATTTATTCACTGTGGCATCCAGGCACACAAACTTATATCATACACCCTGGCTAAGGCAAATAAACACTTACTTGCTGAATTGTGCAGCATCCACAGCCAACACCTCAAGTTGGGGGAACGCTCTGGCTAAGGCATTGTAGTTTGGTGCCATTTTGGCACAAAACGGGCACCATGGGGCAAAAAACAATACCAGAACACAGTCTGATATACTTTCATTCTTGTCAAAGTTAAGTGCATTTAATAGTCCTGTATTGTTAACAATTTTTACTGTTTCAGTAGTTACATTTGTGTCTGTAAGGTTCTTGCCACTACACTGAAACCTGACCTTTTTATCTGTTTTATTTGTTAGTTCTTCATCATCTACAGATTTGTCTAATGTTGTATTTTCCACAACTTGAGTGGGATTCAGAGAGGAGTCATTACTGTCAAAGGATGGCATATCAGCCAACACTTCAGAACTGCCTTCTAGCACAGGGTCTACAATGCTTTTGAGAATGTTTCCAAATGACAAGTATCTATAACTCTGGTTTGTACTTTCAACACTTGCATCAGCTTCCTTTATCTCCTTCATTCCATCCTCTGTACTATCATATGGAACCTCATTTTCATCTTTAACAACCTCAATCTCTTCTTGATAAACATGCACAACCTCCTCCCTCTTGTTTGTAACAGAAACTTCAGGACTTTCAATGGGTTCTTCCTTCTTATCAGGAATTTTTCTTTGTTGTGATGTGGAAGTCTGCCCTAAATCTACATCTTCAGAATTTGAGGGTTCAACAATATCATTATTAAGATCACTGTTCCCATCCTTACTGTAGGTTAAGTCAATTTTCCCATGCATATCTGAATTGACATCATTCATCGATGTTGTCCTTGGACTTTCAGAACTAATTTGAGATTCGCTCATGGATTCCTGGTGTACAATATAATCCTGAGAATTTTTCCTGTCCTGGTCTTGCATATCAGCATTAACCATGGTATTTGCCAACAAGCAAAATAATATTCCTGAAAATAAATACATGAACATTATTGATTGGTTACAAAAACATTCTTTCTGCAATAACATGAGGCCCATGGGACCGGTATCGCTCACCATCCCCATATCCCTTCTGAATTTCTATTCATGCATAGTCACCAAGAAATGTACATCTTTAAGGGACCTGAAATTTCCCCATGGAGATACTTTGTTTTATGCCACAAGAATATGAATTTACCCCAACAAAAATTTGAGGACAAGTTCTTTCTGTGATGGAGAGATAGAATAAACTCCATTTGATAGTGAGGGTACTTCAAGTATAAATGCATCAATTTACTGTGAAAGATGCTGTAATGATGGAAATAAAGAGAAAAGATGCCATTAAATATCAGGTATTATGTCACCTAGTAGAGATTCAGTTAGAACTTCTGTGTGACAGCTATTGTCCAATCCTGTAAAACCAGCCATGACAGATGAAGCCCAATACCAAAATCAAAAATTTGAGTTAAGATAGGTCACTACAAATTATGCTTAACTGTCATAGAGAGGATAGGGAATATGGATTAGAATATATAAAATATAGCGCTTTCTTTACACTTTCATAGTATAGATAATGTATAGTTTGCATACAAGCCCCTTCCCCCCGTGGTGTATTCCAATTAAATTATTGAACTCAGAAAATCAACGGGACGGTCCAGCAAGTGCCAAGCACGGTGCGAACAGTGCGGATCACTGGTGCCTTAGAAGGTCTTTTGAAAATGAGAAGTGTGAAAATAAGGTCTAGTAGGGTGAGTAGCTAGTTTTAGTAACTATATCTTAGGCAGATGATCCATGGTCAATGAAAGTGTAAGGGAGGTAACTCGTAGTGCAAAATAAATCCTATCTACATTCTAGTGGCTTCTGCGCTACAATTCAGTGTTGTAGTGCTAAAATCAACACATGGTAATTAAATTATAATCATATTTGACCTGATTTTGTCACATATAGTATTGAAGTGCCAGTACACATTTATATAGTTATATACAACCTGACGTCCACATTAGAACGGCCATTTTTTCTCGAATCATGAAGTCTATTTGCATAACAACCTCTGATTGGTTACTTACGATAGCTCAGTTCATATTTCTAACCAATCAAAGGTTTTAATACATGCTGTTGACAGCGCACCGGCACCCTACATTGCGAACCCTCGTGGTCATAATCTTAGTAACTAGGGCGAAGGAGGTTAGAACGACACTTCATACGAAAAGTCGGAGGAAATGGGTGCCTACAACCACTCGTTTGTGTTCCATTTTGAACAAAAGTATGACCAGTCTTTGTTCCAAGGTTACATGAAGCGGCATTGGACGGACAGCTTCATTTATTCCACCGTCTACGTCCTCATCGTGTTCTGTGGGAAGAAATGGATGGAGAATCGACCTCGGTACGATCTGAGACCCTACCTCGCCACCTGGAGTGCGATACTGGGTATATTTAGTATATTTGGAGCAATTAGGACTGTCCCAGAATTGATTTCCTCCGTAAGAGATTATGGGATGGAGTATTCGCTGTGTGTCCCGTCGTACTTCGAGGGCGTGACCGGGTTCTGGTGTTTCATGTTTGCACTTTCGAAGGTATATGAACTTGGAGACACTATTTTCATTATTCTTAGAAAGCAACAGCTTATATTCTTACACTGGTATCATCACATCACTGTTTTAATTTACGTCTGGTACATGTACCCAATAAATCTGGGATTTGGAAGATGGTTTATGGGGATGAACTACACTGTGCATTCCATTATGTACAGTTACTATGCACTGCGTGCGATGAAATTCCATGTACCCAAGTTTGTGAGCATGATCATCACATTACTGCAGCTGACACAAATGGTAACTGGGTTTGCTGTCACCTATTTTGCACACAAGCTGAATCAACAGGGTATTAAATGTAGCCAGACGGAACAGCCAATTCAGTATGGAATGATTATGTATGGGACATATTTCATTCTCTTTGCTCACTTCTTCTATACAACTTATATTGCCGAAAAGCCAAAATCAATAAATGGTCATATAACAGACGGAAAGAAAAAGAGTTGATAGTCCTGCACCATAAACATATCCCATTCCATTTAACTTAATTTAACTGTAAGTGTTGAAAATTTGAATACTTAAACGGAAGAAAGCAGTTTACATCCATCAGGAACATCAGTTTTCATATCTACAACAGTGGATGAGCATGCATTGGAAAGTCAAGAATTGGTTTCTTGTGAATATGTGTAATCGTTTCTTATGGCGATTATTGTTTCCATATTGGAAAGGCATTGTGCAAGAGATGACATTATGGATAATTAAATGTGTCGCAAAGTGAAATCTGCAGAAATTAAAAATTTTGTGAAATCCTGAATTTGTGCGAAAATAAGTATGTGTATTGTTGATTAGTTAATAAGGTACTTATACATGGATAGATTGTAGCTCAAGTTTTACTTTGATATTGATTTTATTTTAATTATTGTTAATAGTCCAGATCCTAATTTCATTTATTTTTGCATTTGCAGGTGTTTTCCTTTTTTATTTTCGTGTACATATCTACAATATTTTAAAACTTAATTTGATGTTCAGCATTGTTTTCAAAGGTTCAGTTAAAATTCCCATACATTTATATTTAAGAAAATGCTATTTCAATGATTTCATTAGGAAATTTAAGTTCAGATTGTGCACAGGTAACATTTTTTGGCACCTGGTATTATTATTAATTATGGGGAACATGAGAAGAATAATGAAGCCATCTCAACACATAAAGTAGAACAAAAACAAAAGAATTGAAGCCCTGTGTAGTGTGTACTTTCAAACATGACTTTTTGTGAATTGTATTAATTTTTGATGGAAGTTTGGAGACTTTCCAATTTTAGTTCACCATTTGTAGAATGATACAGGGAATAATTGCCATGTGACTGAAAGGTACATTATGACATAGAGACTAGAGTGAGAGTAATCAATATTGATGCTCCAGCTTTGGGACAACATCATCACTGTATTGACTGCTTGTACTCTGAATCTTGTGCGAACATAAGTCTGTTCCTAAGTACAAAAAGGGTATGGAATTATACGATTGATTTTCCTTTCTCACTGTGTTCCTTTCAAACTTGGCTGTTATTACTTGTTTTCATGTCTATACTAAAAAGGTTTATTTCTAGACATTCTATAGTGATGCTTAAAATCACATTTTCCAAATATGATTACAACTTCATATTTTTGTTTCTGATGATTAAACTAACTTCTTTTTATTTTCACCCTGAGCTTTGTCGATAATACTGCTGTTAGCAAAACTTTTTTTCTGGAATAAAGTCTTCAACTATCACAATGCATAGCAATCAAACCTTCCAGCTACGGAAATTTCAATACTGTTCGTGTTTGATATTTTACTCAATTTTTTAATACCTCATTAATTTATTTCACAACTGTAGCATTTGAAAAATCTAGTTGGACAGTAATTTTACGGACTACAGATTAAAATTCTAATTGATGTGGTTATGTATAATATTACATCATTTTAAGACATTGTTATTGAGATACGTATTTGTAGATGTGGTGAGCTGAGTTATTCCAGTATCAATGTAAAATCATAAAGCACTAAAACCTTATTTCTATTCAGGATATGTGTACTTAATCAATGTTATTTACCTCAGTGTGAACATACAATACTAAGTATAGGCTTTTGAGACTGGTTACATCATAGTAATTTTAATGGTTACAATATCATGCAATCAGTGTTGCTATATACCCCATGAATCCCTATAGTAAAAGCTTAAAGGCTTTAGTAGAAAACAAAGTAGAAGTGAAAGTACTAGTCAACCCATGTTGGGGCTATATGTCTGTACATGCTTGCTGGAGTGGTGTTGTGAAATACCCAACCCGGCTTTCCTTTTTGTTGACCATTGGCAGTATTTGTGTTTCGGTTTCCAAAGCATTACACTGACCCATGAAACCCAAGCAGGCCATGTATTGATCAGAAGGTTTAAAAATATTGGGTTAAATCAACTGTATTTATTTACTAATGGGCCTGGGTTTTACAGGAACCTATTGTAATATGTAAATAGACCAACCGATGAGCTAGTAGATAGGTATTCAATCAAAGGAGACTTAGAATTACTTCCAATTATAAGTTTTTCTAAGATCATTTATTAATTTAAGTCAACGAAAGGTTTTCTTTTCATTTTCATGAAGATAGTTTTTTAGACCATATATAATGGTGTAATTGTGAAGTCCATGTAAAAACCAGGTTAGCTTTAGTTATTTTTTATTGAATATTAATGGAAAATAATTCTGTAGTGAAGAAAGTTTATGTGTTTAAGACTAAGAGTTGTGTAATAAGCTGGTCTTAGTAAATTGCAAGTATTTATCAAAACAATATATCATTGATAATAATTGACTTTGGAAGAATGGAAATTTCTTCAGGATGTCAATGATGAACTTGAAACTGTTGTTTCGTACAACAAAGTTCGGAAGATGTCTTTTTAGGATTCTAACCTTTAAACTTCTTTTCAAAGCATATACAGTGTAAGATACAGTGTATATTAATTTCAAATTGATTCTAGAAATCTTTTGAATGATTGTTAAGTTTGGTTTTTGCTCATGTGGTATTACAATATATCATTTATTATTAGTTTTTAGTTTTTGTCTTTATATGTGATTTTAATTTGTATTTATTTACAATTGGTGTTGTGAACTTAAATTTGCTGGCTATATGCCTGCAATTCGAACGGGGCAAAGTGCTTAAGTCAGCTATTGTGAAAGGAGTGTTTTGCTGAAATTTTATTGTAACAATATAATGACCATCATTTAATTCAAAATTTGAGTGGGAAAAAAGTGAAGCTCAATGATTTAACAAAAGGCAAAATGTGTATAACTCTTTAAACCAAACTCCTGATTTTCAACAGAATTATATGATAATTTCTGTAGTTATTGATAAATTTTTAACAAAAAAAATCCCTAATTCATACATCATTCATTTATAGACATTTACCTCAGATAACTTTATAAGGGTTACATCTTAATACTTGGTGTACATTAAAATGTATAGCCTTTGTTTGAGTGTTTTAAGCTACCTTTTATCTGGTCTTCAAGTTATATTGATGACCAGGTTTAATTATCCTTAACACAGATCAGGGTAGGTATTAACTTGTCTTGTTGGTCTTATTGACACTACAAATTTTGATAGCCACTTTTAAGTTTTGTGTGAATACACCTACAAATCAGTTATACTGCTTATGTATACTTCAGTAGCCTGACTAAACTGCTGTCTAGGTTATGATCACTAACATTGGTAAAGGCCTGAAAATTAATACATGTTTCCACTGCCATGCAAAAAAAGAATAGGTAGGTCAGGAAATCTTTTTATCTTTGAAATATTTTTACGAGGGATATATACTGGTATAGATGGAATCTTTACTTTGATATCCCTACCTATAGAATTATAAAAAATAACCATGTTAACATTGGCTCAAAAAAACATAGGTCGGTCAGGTTAGCACATGTTGTGGGCTTTATGGAAACATGTATTTTTTCTCTAAGTTTTATTATTAATGAGCATTGATCATGAGCTACAAATTAGTTAATATATACACAGATCTTTGTAGTTTTTCTGATTTATACATCATGTTTGTCTTAAAGATTTCCATGTCACCTCACCTTTTAATACAAACTAACCACCAGCTATTTATAGCTATACGTTTTTGTAGTTATTTCTAGTTATATGTAATATTTTATCACAAAGATATCCATGTTAACCTCAGATTTTAGTGCAAAGAATTTTGTAATTCAAACTTCCCCTCTGTAAGTTCTTTTGTTAGTAGGTTCAATATTAGACAATTTAGTGCAATCAGTAGAAAGTATGAGCAGCAATACCAATGATAAGGTACTTCAACTCTACAAGCATCCTTCAGTCTGTTTATACCTGGTGTGTCCACCCCTTCTACTGTAGGACACCCTATAATTTTATTTCTATACTAATTATGCATATCATTTATGTAAACGTAGGTCAATGCTGTGTCACATTCATGGTGACTGATATGATATTTGAGAAACACACATAAATTAGAACATTTATTGATTATGTCAATAAAAGATCAATGCTGGTGTTTGCAGTTTATTATAACTATGCAAACTTTTTCATATAACTAAACCATGAAAAATATTCAGCATTTATCAGATCCCTTCAACAGATAAATACTATTCATATTCTGTTATCAAAAATTAAGTTCAAAGTTCAATATTTAAGTTAAGTACCCGTACTTGTGGACCAATATACCTGTCTTGATTAAATATTTAGGGTGTGATGAAATCCAGACAGTTGCTTAGTTAGGGTGTGATTAACACCCAACCTTTGCTTAGTTAGGGTGTGATGAACACCCAACCTTTGCTATGTTAGGGTGTGATAAACCACTGGACCTTTGTTCAGGTTGAAACCAGAGTGGCCAGATAAGACAGGTAACTTACATGTATAATAGTTAGGTTCTGAGATCTTTCACTTCTGACTTTTCAGACTAATCCACTGAATGCCACTTGCTAAAATCTCATTGAATTTTCAGTTAAAGGGAAGTAATTTCCAGCATATAAAACAATCTATGGGATATGGCTGTACTTTGTATTTTGCAATTAGGTCATTGACCCTTACCCTACTGCCAATCTCTAGTTAACTGTGTCACATAATTTACATTAAGTTTCTGCCTTAAGGTGTTTTGATATGAAGTCGTAATTGAGATGTAATGATAGAAGGGTGTTTTTGTCCCTGTAGAATATTTCATTTTGTTTATTTCTTGTAGGTTGTGGCAGTTTTATGAAGTTTACCAGAAGTGCTAACAGAAAAATGATTTACCTCATTTAGTTATGTTATTATATCTTATTAGTAAGCATGTATGTGAAATGAATTTCTGATATGTTTTAGTCTTGTCTTCCTGAATGATTATACTCAGCTGTAGTTGGTTCATCATACAATCTATACAATCTGTACAAAGCAAGGTAAAACAGATGTTCATAAGAACCAATCACCAAATAATTGTAAATGTGATTTTTGCTTATTCCGTTCAATACCATATCAG